CACGGCTCTTGCTAGAACACTGCGGGGTGATCTATCAATTCAGGGTGAGATTCGGTTCACGATTTCTAGCGGTCGAGCTCGTCTCCATTGCCTAGGTGCGCACAGCCGTTGCCGGCGAGCCACAACTCGAACCATCGCAAACCGTGGCCTTTCCCGACAAGCTTCGGTCGTCCGAACGATTGGTACCGCAGCCATGGTGTACCGCTGGGAGCAGCATCGGCTGACATGCTATCGTTTATACGTCGAAGAAAAAAGGTCAATTGAAGATGTGGTGGAATACATGTGAGTGCATCATGACTTCACTCCGAGGCAAGTAACGAACGCAATTGTTGTGCAGCTTGCACATTTCCCTCACCGTACACCCACCCTCCTCTACTGCACCCTGCATCCTGTGGGAATGCAACTTTCACCCTTCCATCACCACAGCGGCTCCGAATGGCCTTTATCGCGCCATGCATCTCTTACACGCGCAAGCTGACCGTGACCCGGCCGTTTCTGTAGTCGTCGCGCCTTCCAAGGAGCATTTTCCCGCTGGGGATTCCCCAGCAAGCTGAACCCCGCCTACAAGAATGAGCAGCTTGTCGCGCGGGTGAAGGAGCTATGGGAGCGGAACCTGTCCCAGAAGGAGATGGTCTCCATGCTTGCCGATGAGGGTTACACGGTCGGCGACCGTGAGGTGTCGCGGATTCGGTCCAAGAACGGATGGCTGCTGAGGAGCAACGGCGGATATCCTGCGTCCGACGTTAGGCGGCAGCGGACCGGTAGTGCGGAAGACAGCGCTGGCGGCGCTGAAGTGGGAGATTACGCCGGGGATGGCAACGGCAATGGAGTCGACGCCAGCGGTCAAGTCCAAGGGGCACCAGAGCGACTACTGGAATTACGGGGCTAACGGACTAGATATCAGTCGACGCGCAGGTGCAGGAGGGAGACCCTCAACGCACTGCGCGAGGGCCCGGAGAAATTACCGGAAGCCGCGCTTACCGAGGCCGAGAGCCAGGGAGAGGTGGGGCGAACAAGAAGCGCCGTCGACATACCAAGCCGTACGGAGGGTCTGCCCCCCGGACCCCCCAGGGCCGGCCCGCTTCCCGTCCGAGACCACCCTCACCGAGGCCAAACAGATCCTGCAGTTAGACAAGGAGACTTACGCCGCCATGCGACAGAGCTTTCTACATCCATTTGCGTGGATGCAGGGCGTCTACAAGAAAACGCTCGTAGGGCCCCGAGAGATGGGAGTCATTGAAGGAGCAGCTTGATCCGCGAGAGCATGCAGGCTCCGTTTCCATCATGTGGGACCACACTGATATGGACAAGAAAAAACTGGCCCATCGAAGGTCATTGCCTGTGACGGTGACAAAGAGGGATCAGGAACCGAGGCCACTGCTCGTGACATTGGCCCGAGGCCCAAGGTCAGTTTCTTGGGTTTAAACCCTGGAAGAAGGGGAGGTTGGTCCGCAGCCAGCTGTACAACATTTTGGCTCAGGAGAAGTTTACGTCCAAGCTTGAGGAAGGACTAGACTTTTTTGACGGGCTTAAGAAGCGATGGATTGCCGAGTCGCCTGAGCTGAGCAGAATCGTTGCGGTTGGAGCTACCGATCCCGAGTATCAGCGCAAGTTAAAGGCCATTAACGTGCTTTGTAAAGACGCAACTAGTCGGTACCGAGATGATGTGTTCCGCTTAGGAAAGACTCCGGCGATTTTACTACTGCCCCCGGAAACTCCGCCCCCAAAGTCCAAGGGGAAACAGCCGACCCCCGCAAGCAAGGAGGCAACCCAGGAAATGACACCAGCACAAACATCCAGTACGCCTGGGCACGACTCCGCCATGGCGGAAGAGCCTGCAGAAACAGTCCAACCGCGACGGCGCGGCCGACCCCCGGGCGTCAAGAACAAGAAGAAGCCTTTCCCCCATGTCCAATCTCGCCTGGCCCTGGCCGACGCGGGAGGCCAGACGGACCAGCAAATGGTGGATGCGCAGCTGGGGGCCAACATATCGGTTGAGCCGCAGAGCCAGACCCCTTTCGTAGAGGATTCGTACGTGCAAGTATATGACGTCGCTCAGCAGGCACAAATCTACCAACCGCAACAGCCGCCGCCGCCGCCACAACAACAGCAGCAACAACAACAGCAGCAACAACAGCAGCAACAACAGCAGCAACAACAGCAGCAACAACAACAGGAGCAGCAGCAGCAGCAGCAGCATCAACTACAGGGGCCGCAACAACTGGTACCGGAGCCAACATCATCTAGCGGCGTCGCTGCCTTCTTCCGGCTGACCGGTGCCGCCATGATGATGTTCCCCGGCGTACAGGGACAGTGGATAGCACCACTAACCGAGCGAACCATGGACGAGCTGCGGGCGGCCGCGGTGCAAAAGACACCCGGCGGCATCTGCTACAAAATCGAGGGCATCGTCAAGGACGGCAAGGGTGGCGAGTTACCGCTGCTGGTGAGCGACGGGGGCGAGCTGGAGACGTATCTCCAGCACGTCCAGGGCACTGGTGGACCGCCAACGTTCCATATTCATGTCGTGCCTGGGGATGATAACCCATGGAAGTAAGGGGTGAGGTGAGGGGGCGTTGGGGGTGATGGAGAAGGCGGACTTAATAGACTTTGCTATGTAGATAGAGTACATTGTTTAACTCGAGTGTGTTGTGGGATTATTGTGCAATCACCGCCTAGCGTAAAGAGTATTCTGCTTAGAAATTTAGACACCAACTAGGCACTAATACAGGTAGATATTTATGTTTGTCACACAAATCACCAATTGTGAGATGCTGGCGTGCTTCCGGTGTTCGATGTCATCTTTGAGCGGGAGAAACCCCTGCTCAACGGCCATTGCGGGGCTCCACCATGCCGGAAGCTCCGACCTTTTTTCTCTCCCGCATCAACTTTCAGACCTTGGCACTCGGCTTGACATCCCCGGACCAGCGACGAAAGCGATAGCCGACGACACGGCATGCGGCCGAGCTAGCTTCCAGCTCCGAACCCGAGCCCAATTGACCCCTCAACATACCGATACACATCCCGATACCCGCCATGTCGCGGCTTGCGGGCAGGATGCCCAAAGGCCTGGGGCAGCGTTTGACAGCTCCGGTTGGAACTGGAGCTGGTGCTGCTGCTCGCCGGTCGACATGTCTCTCCCTCCGTACAGCACCCGCGCGCTTCGCATCGGCAGAGAACAACAGCAACAAGCCTAGGCCAAGCGGGCATTCGTTCCAGGGCCAGCTGACCCACAGTATCATGAAACGTCTCCAGCGCGAGAGGGCCGACCTTGAACGTATGGCCAGGACGAGGCCCGAGTCGAGCATGGCGAGGAACTTTAGTCTTACCTTTGGTACGCCTACTTCCACTGGGCTCCCTTACGCTGCTACTATCGTTACCTCCAATGCGCCGCCAATCTGACTGTTCATTGTGCCACAGTCCTCTTCTTCGTCGGCTCCGTTTCATGGCTGCTGGGCTACCAGTACCCGCGCGACGTCGACCCCAACTCGACGCTACCCCTGAACGCAACACAACCGCCGAGCTACAATCTCAAACCCAGCCCACCTGGAGGCTGCCTGGGCCGACTTCGTCGAGATCGTCGGCCAGGAGAACGTCAGCACGATCGAGGACGACATCCAGCAGCACGCCACCTCGGACTGGGTCCTCCCACCAGTCCGACCCCGCCCACAAGCCCTTCTGCGTCGTCTACCCCTCCACCACCGAACAAGTGGCCCGCCTCATGAAGATCTGCCACGTCCGCCGCATCCCCGTCGTCGGCTACAGCGGCGGCACCAGCCTCGAGGGCCACTACACGCCGACCCGCGGCGGCATCTGCGTCGACTTCAGCCGCATGGACAAGGTGCTCGCCCTGCACAAGGAGGACCTGGACGTCGTGGTGCAGCCGGGCGTCGGGTGGGAGGCCCTCAACGAGCAGCTGGCCGAGCACAACCTCTTCTTCCCGCCGGACCCGGGGCCGGGCGCCCAGATTGGCGGCATGATCGGGACCGGGTGCAGCGGCACCAACGCCTACCGCTACGGCACCATGCGCGAGTGGGTCCTCTCCCTCACCGTCGTCCTCGCCGACGGCACCGTCATCAAGACCCGCCAGCGCCCGCGCAAGAGCAGCGCCGGCTACGACCTGACCCGCCTCTTCATCGGCTCCGAAGGCACCCTGGGGCTCGTCACGGAAGCCACGCTCAAGCTCTGCGTCACCCCCGCCGCGGCGTCCGTTGCGGTCGCCAGCTTCCCGTCGATCCGCAACGCGGCCGACTGCGTGGCGCGCGTGGTGGGCGACGGGGTGACGGTGGCGGCCGTCGAGATCCTCGACGACGACCAGATGCGCTTCATCAACGCGCTGGGCAACACGACGCGCAAGTGGCGCGAGGCCCCCACGCTGTTCTTCAAGTTCTCGGGCTCGCCCGCCGCCGTCAAGGAGCAGGTCGACCTCGTGCGCGCCATGGCCAAGCGCGCGGGCGGCCAGTCGTTTGACTTTGCGCGCGATGAGAACGAGCAGGCCGAGCTGTGGTCGGCGCGGAAGGATGCGCTGTGGGCGACGATGGGCCAGAGGAGGCCCGGCGATCATGTCTGGACGGGGGATGTGGCTGTGCCCATGAGCAGGCTGCCGGATATTATTGAGGAGACGAAAAAGGATTTGAAGACGACCGGGTTGACGAGCTCGATTGTGGGGCATGTGGGTGATGGGAACTTCCATAGTACGTTTTGTTCTTCTCTCTTGCCAAACTAACTCCCTCCTCGCTGGGGTGGATTGATACGTGGATGGGACACGTGGCTGACTTGTCTGATAGTTATTCTCTTGTACAACGAGGTCGAGCGGAAGTTAGCGGAGGATTGTGTCCACCGCATGGTGAAGCGGGCGGTCGAGATGGAGGGCACCGTTACGGTAAGCACACCAACGACCTCTTCCCTCTCACAAACCCTTGGTTTTATTGACTGGATTTCTTCTTCAGGGCGAGCACGGCGTCGGGCTTGTCAAGCGTGATTACCTACCCCACGAGTTGGGTGAGACGACGGTGGATGCTATGAGGAAGGTGAGAAGCCCCTTTTTATCACCTACAGAAAATGTCAAATATCTGCTAACCACCCCGCCAACTATTCAGATCAAAGCTGCTTTCGACCCGCTCTGCCTCCTCAATTGCGACAAGGTCGTCCGTGTGCAGAAGCCTGCCCGCGGGGAGGTGGCGAAATGGTAGTGGGCAACAGCCATCTGTACTATTTAACTCGACGACTTTAGGTATCCTAGGTGTCGAAAATGTATACCCCGTCACATATGCGTGCTGTGTAGTTGTGATACCATCACCGGAGGGGCGTCTGACACCCCCCTGCAAGCTCCCGCGCCCGCCTTTTGTTCGCGAAGACCCGTGTTTCGGCATGCCGTTGCCGGCCGACCGGAACGTGTTACACATTGATGATTCCATCGGTTATGTACTGTGTACATACATACATTCATACATTACCCCAGTCACTAGCGAAACCGGCTTCCGCTTTGCTTTCACACATCTTTCTGGCGCACGGACCGTTTATGCATCTAACCAGCCACACCGTGTGCCCTCGTACCCATTGGTGTACTGTACATACCAGGCAGGATATACATGGTAATGCAACAACGTAGTATTACGATGGATGACGTTCAGCCAACCTGGACTGTCAGCCAGAAATGGCTGTTATTACGATGACCGTGGTCGAATAATAAGCCGAACCCGGCTCTTCCATCAACGGTTAGGTTAATAGATAAGAGAGGGCACGTCTGGCTTCCTTGACCAAGTGCTGGATGACGATGGTTCTAGTTGTTGCTGCTCGACTGCCGGCCCGCCCGTCGTCTGCCGTCCGCATTTCGGACGATGCGGGTACGGTCTCCGTGTCGCTGTTTGTCAGGCAGTGGGCTTAAGGTGGGGTGCATTAAATCCAGCCGCCGCCCAGGGGCCATTGCTCTCCATCTTCAGGGCCGAAATCAGGGCACATTTGCTATTGGCCAATTTAGCCGCCAGAGCATGCGACTGTGTATTCCGTAATCTGTACTCCGTAGTCGCTGCTAAATTTAGCTCGTGCCAGAATCCGGGCTTGGAGGAATCGAGGGGTCCTGGAAGTGAGGCCCTTGTAATCTGTACGCACTCCGATTTTGCGGACCCCACGCGATCATCGGATCAAGCAATCTGACAGGCCAAGCACTGTTCTTCGACGGAACGCAGCGACTTATCCCTACAAGAGAAAGCAGAAGCTGCCATCTTGTGAACGATCACACTGTCGCCGTTGATGAGGTGATGGTTTATCGTCGATGAGTAGGTTAAAGCGGCTTCGACAAACCCCGCGCTAGGCCAACCCTGCGCAATTGGGTCGAGGCAGTTGTGTCGGGCAGCGGTTGGGCAGCGCGACGCCCTTCTCCCCAAACCTTGCGATCTTCAAACAGATTGCTGTAACTAGCCACGATTCTCCATCGCTCCCTCGAACCAATTCCTCAATTCGTACATATTACACGTCAATCGTTCCGTTGTTTCCCGGCACGATGGAGGGGCTCGGGGCCGTCGCAAGCGCCATCGCCGTCGTCGAGTTGACCGCCAAGGTCGGCTCTCTCTGTCTCGAGTACTCGTCCGCTGTTAAGAGCGCCAGGTCCGACATCAAGCGCCTGCGAAAACATACCGATACCTTAAAGACAACCGCTGAAGGCGTACGAGAGCTCCTCCAGGGTCCATATGGAGCTCGGCTCGAGACGTCGCAAAAGCTGCGCGAAGCCCTTAGCAATACCTGCTCGCAGCTTGGTGATGTCGCTACGAAGCTGGAAGAGAAGTTGCACAAGGGTCATAGGGCAAAAACGATGAGACGTGTAGGGCTGCGAGCCTTCGGGTGGCCGTTCGAGAGCAAGGACGTGGACAAGATCATTGCGAACCTTCAGCGGGACCAAGACTCCTTTTCCGCCGCTCTTCAAATAGATCAAATGTATGCGCAAGCCTCATACCTTGGTTAATACATAGCTAACAGTAATTTCCAGCACCGAAATTCTCGATATCCACTCTAAGATCGACCTAGCAGCGCTCCCGGTCGCAAGCGGCGCGGCCTCCGACTCGCACGCCGAGGAGCACAACGCACGTTGCCACCCCGACACCCGGACCAAGCTCCTTCGCCAGATCCGGGAGTGGGCAAGCGATCCTCAAGCCGAGAACATATTCTGGCTGAACGGCATGGCAGGAACAGGAAAATCCACCATCTCCCGGACCGTGGCCACCTCGTTCGCGAAAGACGGCCTACTCGGCGCGAGCTTTTTCTTCAAACGGGGAGAGGGCAACCGTGGCAACGCTGGCTTGGTTTTCCCTACCATTGCTCGCCAGCTTGTACACAAAATTCCTGCCCTGGTGCCTTCTATCAGAGAGGCCATTGATGCCGACCCGGACATTCCCAAGAGAGCACTAAGGGACCAGTTCGAAAAGCTCATCCTCCATCCGCTTGGCTGCATTCAGCGCACCACGGCAATCGTGGTCATCATTGACGCTCTTGACGAATGTGATGGAGACAAGGACGTCAAGACTATCATCTCACTGTTCGCACAAGCAAGCGTCATACGCTCCGTACGTTTGAGGATTTTCATCACCAGTCGGCCTGAGCTGCCTATTCGCCTTGGTTTTAAGGACGTCCAGGGAAAATACCAAGGCTTAGCTCTGCACCAAATCCCAGAGCAAGTTGTGGAACAGGACATATCCACATTTTTGGCGTATGAGCTCACGCGAATCAAGGATGAATACAACGGACAAGTGCCACTAGGTTGGCCGGGCGAAAATGACATTCGAACTCTCGCTCAGATGGCTGTCCCACTGTTCATTTTTGCCGCAACCGTCTGTCGTTTTGTGGACGATCAGGGAAGGTCGAACCCTGCCAAACGACTAAAAGAAAGTTTTGGAATACCGGACGGCAGCTCGCCACTCCACGCTCGACAAACTCGACGCCACATATCTCCCCGTCCTCGACCAGCTCACCTCTGGACGTACCGATCAGGACAAGGCCGAAGTGCTAGCCGAGTTCCGAAGTATCGTTGGCCCCATTATACTCCTTGCTCAGCCGCTCTCAGTACGGTCACTAGGACAACTTTTAGATGTCGAATGCGAAAACGTCCACGCATTGCTCAACTCTCTCCACTCTGTCCTTGATATCCCCTCAGTGGACGATGCCCCAGTCAGGCTCTTTCACCTATCCTTCCGCGACTTCCTGGTTGACCCGGCCAAGCGTACCAAGAATGAGTTTTGGATCGACGAGGCAGAATATCACAAGACGCTTACGGAAAGATGCATCCAACTGATGGACCAATGCCTGGGACAAGATATCTGCTGTTTAAAGGTGCCGGGAATGCTGCGGTCAGAGCTCGACCAGCAGACTATCAACGCCCACCTGCCGCCTGAAGTTCAATACGCCTGTCAGTACTGGGTCCACCACCTAAAGGAAAGCAAACATAATATCGAGGACGACGGCCCAGCCCACGCCTTCCTGACAAACCATCTCCTTCATTGGCTTGAGGTTTTGTCTCTCCTGGGAAGGCTCTCTGATGGGGTGTTGTTGATAAGAACGCTTCTGCACGCTGCCCAGGTCAGTTAATAATACCGTTATAATGCTATATAGTAACTAAATATTGCTAGCTACAGCCGGATACAGCTCCTAATTTTGTTGACTTCTTGAGCGATGCAGAGAAATTTATTCGCAGTCATGGAGCGATAAGAGCTGGTGCCGATGGACAGAAGCTTTCTGTTCCGACCGTACAGCCTCTATCCAGGTCAACGGGCATGCTGCGGAGCGACGGGACCTCCCACAGGCTGGCCTGCCCCAAGGCTCGCCTCTCTCCCCTATCTTGTTCCTCTTTTTCAACGCGGACCTGGTCCAGCGAAAGATCGATAGCAACGGTGGTGCGATAGCCTTTGTCGATGACTTTACCGCCTGGGTCACAGGACCGACGGCACAGAGCACACGCAAGGGCATCGAAGCAATCATCGACCAAGCACTAGACTGGGAAAAGAGAAGCGGAGCGACATTTGAAGCAGACAAGACGGCCGTCATCCACTTTACCCGCAAGGGCCCTAAACAAAACCAACTCGGAGCCCTTCACCATCAAGGGTCAAGATGTTCAGCCGAAAGACCACGTCAAGATCCTTGGAGTGGTCATGGATGCCAAGCTCAGGTACAAGGAGCATATCGCAAGAGCGGCCTCCAAAGGGCTCAGCGCGGCGATGGAGCTGAAACGGCTCAGTGGTCTGTCCCCGGCTACGGCGCGGCAGCTGTTCACCGCCATGGTCGCGCCAGTGGTGGACTACGCCTCCAGCGTCTGGATGCACCAATGCAATTGGGAAGACCGCGCCGGCCATACACAGGGTGCAGAGGGTCGCGGCGCGAGGGATCATAGGAACGTTCAGCACGGTAGCAACACGCGTAGCAGAAGCAGAAGCTCACACCCCCATGGCTCAAGATCGATTCTGGAAGAGGGCGATCAAGATGTGGACGGACATTCCACACCCTACCAGAGACGAATCCACTCCGCAACGCCACTTCCCGGATGCGCAAGTTCCGGGGATCTTACCGCTCGCCTTTCTTTCAGGTAGCAGATCTCCTCAAGGACGTCCCCATTGGACAGCCTCGAAACCATCGCTCCCGTCGTGTTAGCGCCATGGGAGAGGCGAGTCCGCACTACGGTTGACGGAGCAGGCATCCAGCAAAAAGAGACAGAGTGGGGCGGTCCGGATCGCCGTAAGCAGCTCCGCACGAAACCAATATGGTAGGGATCGGAGGAGTCGTCCGCCTCCCCGCTGCCCGATGCGAGAGGGCTCAAGGAACAAAGCCTTCAGTGTGACTCTGGGCTCCCAGGTCGGAGCAAAGCCCGTTCTCAGGCGGAACTTGCGGCTGTTGGGTACGCGTTGAGGTGGATTCGAAATATCAGGTACCGGAAGATCATCCTTGCCACCAGCAACAAAGGCAGCCGTGATGGCCTTGGAGCGACCACACCAGCAATCAGGGCAACAATATCTCTGTCAGGCGTACGATGCGATAAGTGCCTTACGCAAGGCGGGAAATACGATCTCGCTCGTCTGGATCCAAGCGGGTACCAAAAACGAGCTCCTGAACACAGCCAAAGCGAAATCAAAGGAAGCAACGCGGCAGGACGCTACGCCACAAACCCAGGATCCTGCCATGCGGTCAACAGCCCTCCGTATCGCATGGGCAAAGCGGGCACCGCCCACGTCCTTACCTGACAAAGTGGGCAGACATTCCAAGAGAGTCGATATAGCGTTACCTGGGAAAGCACACTCGACTATTATACGACCACCTGTCCCGAAGCGAGGCCGGCGTGCTTGCTCAGCTTAGAACAGGCATGGCCAAGCTCAACACATACCTTGCATCGCATCAAAGCAGCACCGTCAGATCAGTGTACGTGCGGACAAGCCCGAGAGACAATGGACCACTTCCTCTTCCGATGCAAGCAATGGGATCAACACCGTAGGGAGATGCTGCAATATACGGATGTCCACAGAGGGAACCTCTCCTTCTACCTGGGAGGAAAGTCGCCCTCGGATGACAAGGACTGGTCCCCCAACATGCGGGCGGTGCGGGCGACAATACGTTTTGCCATTACCACAGGTCGTCTGAGGACAGAACAACAATAGAATGAAGCAAACTAACCTCACCATCCTAAACCCCGACTAACACCCCTCCTTCATCTCGTGCCACACCGAGCAAGCGCGCTTCAGTCGCCGAAGATAGGACGTTGGACACTTGGAGACTAGCCTTCAAGCCAGCTTACTTTTCGTACTACTAACCCACGAGCACCCGCAGCAGAGAGGGCAAGATTGTAAAGGAGTTAAGCCAGAAAAGGAGGATGTACGGGCTTCATGAGACCAGGATCCATTTTAGGATATGTATTAGTAGATTGCATGATAGTTGCCCTTTCGGGTTAGGCCCGCCGGGCGGAATAAATTGTGTGTGTGTGTGTGTGTGTGTGTGTGTACTACATAAGTAAGTACTATCCATTCGGCTCGCGGCACGGTTTAATAATCTGTATATTTTCTGAGGAGCTCCCGAGCCCTCCCCGGTGGAGGGACCGCCATGCGATCGACAAGTTACGATTGGCGAATGACGAGGCGAGGCAGCAATTGGTGTGCGCAACTCCTCGGCGCCTTGCATGCCGATGGGCGTGTTCGGACGTCTCATTGCAGACGGGAATTGCGCGGGCCCCGGCGATCCAAATCCCACGGAACCCCCTTCTCAGCCCCGTTTTCGGCTCGCCGTGCCCTCCCTCGCCGGTTCTGGGTCCGGTGCCGCAACGACGCCCTACGTTCGGCATGACTCAAGTCGGCTGGGAGTCGTGAGATGCTGGGGCACGGTTGGATGTTGATTGGGTTTGGTTTATTAATGGAGGTGTTGGATTTGGCTGGATTTGGCTCGCCGGTTGAGGGCCCGGAGATAACGGGGAAGTGAGGTGATTCCTACACCATGGGATGAGAAGTTACGGTGCCGGGAATGGCATCTAGATGGTTTGGTGTGCTGAAACCGACTATTAATAGCTGACATGACTTCTATGTGCCAAGGTCATGTTCCCCTGATCCAGAGTATCCAACAAGCACAGTTGTTATTACGACAATGAATCCCGTCAATACCAAGCCCTACAAGCTGCCAAACGATGCAGTGTGGTTGAGTGAGCCCACCACGGAGGTCATCCCTTCGAAAACGTGAGGAACTAACCCGATCTCCAGTAACCGGCTGCTCGTCGGGCATCGGCCGCGCTCTCGCGACGCTCGTCGCCAGCAAACCTAACCACCGCCTCATCGCCACGGCCCGCAACCCAGCCGATCTCGCCTACCTCCCCGAGGGCAACGCCAATATCCTCAAGCTCCCGTTAGACGTGACCTCCCCAGAGTCGGTCAACGCCGCCTTCACCGCCGCCACAGAGCATTTCTCCAAGACCGAGAACGGGGGCAGATTTTACCTTGACGTTGTCGTCAACAACGCCGGCTACTCGCTCTCGGGCGACACCGAGTCAGCCACCGAGGAGGAGACACACCGCGAGATGGAGACGCTGTTCTTTGGCACCGCGCGCGTGACCACGCGGGCCATCGAGGCCATGCGTCAACCGGCCAAACAGGGTAAAGGGGGGGAGGTTAGAGGTGGCGTCATTTTCAACATCTCATCGCTTGCCGGACTGTGCGCCTTCGCCGGCCACGCGTACTACCACGCGGGCAAGTTCGCTGTGGAGGGCTTCTCGGAGAGTGTCGCCAGAGAGGTCCACCCGGATTGGGGGAGTAAGTGCAATAGTTTTCATCTCACCTGACCTGACCTCACCTGACTTTGCTTGTTTGTCTGAAGTTGCGGATCCACCGGGTTAGGGCACGATATGCCTGGTGGTACATACCACACCCTGGGGGTTGCAACGGTGCACGATCTGAGACAGTCTGCGTGTAGTGCGATGGCTGACGTAGATGACAACACCCCAGTCAATGTGTGCATCGTCGAGCCCAGCGGCGTCAAGACCAACTTCGAGGGCCACAGCAAGGCACGCACCGCCGCGCACCCGGCGTACGCGGCGCCCGACATGCCGGCTCGCAAGCTCGAGATGTACGTCAACATGGGCATCAAGTCGGGCGTGGGCATGATGGAACCTACCGCCGTTGCCGATGCGTTATACACTGTTGCGAGTCGCGGCGAGCGCATTCCGTTAAGACTGCCTCTGGGCGCCACGGCGTGGAAGATGGGCAAGGCCAAGTTTGAGGGCTTAGTGCATCAGTTCGAGGAGGTCAAGGAGATTAGTGCGATGAGTCAACAGTTGTGAGAAATATTTTGTTGTGCATGTAACCTGAGTGAGTGGTTATGAAAACTTACCTATTTTTGACTTATGTTTGATAGTTAAATGGAACAAAAAAAAAACACCAGTGAATCGGGACACGCGCGAAATGGGAATGGAGACTTGGGCTGTCGTGACGTACTTAGCGCCCTAATTTAGCATGCAGCCGAGGCCCGTCTTCCCTTATCTTTGGTCACCCCTCCTCGACTTTTTCAATTTTATCAATTTTACTAGTTTTGTTCGTCACGAGAATCAAGGCGAGATTGTCAGACTCTCGTCTCAAACCCAACCAGATTTCCCGCTTCATCCTTCCTCGTCCCTGTTTCTGCGTCCCCTTGTCTCGACAGGAGAAGACTCTCCGGCTGAGTGTGACAGGAGTGCAGTGTGCGACCCGCGGAAGAGCCCCCCCAGTCCAATGGTCGGCTTTCGTTGGCTGAGCTGTGCCCCACTGCTGATTGCCGAGAGGGTGGTGCGAGGGTAAAAAGGTTGGGTCCAAGGGACTTTGCGAAGCGGGGACCTCAAGATTCCCATGTTGGAATCAGGAATCCCATTCTCTGCAGCCCCGCCCCCCCCCCGCATCCCGCTGTGATCGACAGACTCAGTCGACAAGTGACGAGTCTGGACCACCTGGACATCGACCGACAAAATTGAGTGTCGGACTGCCGTCCCTTCCGTCAAGTCAAAATATTTTTTTCCCTCGTTTTCTTCTCTTCATGCACATACTATACGCACCAGACATCTTCAAGTTAGAATTCGTTTTATCCTATTTTTCATCTTTTTCGCCACCAATGTGCACGTGCATTGCTTTACAGGCAGTTGACAGAGCTTGCCGGGTCTAGACCGCGCCCCCCCTCCAAAATCTAAGCTGCTGTCCCGACGACCCCATACTTCCCCCATTTCGCCATCATGTCTCACCGGCGTTCTCTATCCTCGGGCTTCATGGGCTTCGGGATGCCGATGAACATGGGTTCGGGAACGTCCACGCTGCAGGTTCGCCTTAAGTCCCATTCTTGCGAAGCATCATCCCACTGACATCGGTTTGACGATGTAGATGAATCCTGACCCTGCCGACACAATATTTCCGCTCGACAGCTCCTTCTTTTATCAATTTGGCGACCGCCCAATGTCCATGACGCTGGACGCAATTGACCCCTTGGCCTCGACATTCGAAACCCCGCCGGGCCAAGCCTCCTCGGCCGCCCTGGTCGGGAGCACCCCGCAGTCGACTGGTTTCTCTCCTAATGACACGACGGGCAACGACCTGGCCCAGGAGTCGTTGGGAGCTGGAAACCAGAGCCAATCCAATGGGTTGAACGAATTCACCAAGCGGCCTAATTGGCCAGCTCGAGTGGTCGATGTGCTCCGGGACTTGCTGCACATCTTTGACGCTGATGGGAGGATCAAGACTGTCTCTCCAAGCGCCGTAAATCTCACCGGCTATCAGCCGACCGAGCTCTGTGGCCTGCTCATGCAGGACTTGTTGCACCCAGATGACGTGGGCGTCTTCACAGCGGAGCTGAATCAATCCATAGCTTCGGGCAATCCGTTCTGTGTCTTCTACAGGATGAAGAAGAAGGACGGGACATACGCCATCTTCGAAGCCATTGGCCATGCCCATATCGCTGCGCCCAAGTTTGCGCCCAATCCAAACAACCAGACGGCCTTCTGCCAAGCCGTCTTCATGATGGCTAGGCCGTATCCTACTAAGAATGCCGTTCTGCTTGATTCATTCTTGGAACACAAGATGGAAAACGAACGCCTCAAGCGCAAGATCGCAGAGCTCCAGAAGGAGGAGCAAGAAGACACCGAGGAACTCGAGAGAACATGGCGGGGAAGCCAAGAGACCACACCGTCCGAAAGCGGCGCGCGCTTCGGGCCGTCGCCCTTGCAACCTCAGTCGGATGCATCTATTCCACCCCGGGAACAGGGAACGTCCCTAGACGGCGGGCTTGCGGAAGGCATCATGGGGCCGCGGCGGTCCTCGATCGGTGTAACACACACTGACACCATCGAGATGCTCACCGGCCTCCGATACCAGGAAGGCGAGCGAAGCCGTGGTATCACGACGGGAGTCGCTAGCCCCACGCTTGTGTCGGGGGATATTGGCATGATCACCGGAGACGTCGGCATCGCCATCCCACTGGACAGAGATCAGCGTACAGGGGACAAAAAGAAGAAGCTTAAAATGGTTGAGGAATATGTCTGCACAGATTGTGGTGAGTTCATATGCTTCCCGGCTTAGGGGTTGACGGCGCTGACTCTCTTTTATTAGGGACACTCGAGTCCCCAGAATGGCGCAAAGGGCCGAGTGGACCTAAAACTCTCTGCAATGCCTGTGGCCTCCGATGGGCGAAGCGGGAGAAGAAGAAGAGTATCAGTCACGGTGGCGGGGGTGGCCCAGAACATTCCGGGCCTGGGTTTGATATCTAACGGCTAGAAGCCGTTCGCCTGTCCTGGGTTGCTAAGCAATACACGCGTGTGGCTTATGGAGGTTCTGAGCCCTTCGCCCGAAAGCTGGCGAGGCTGATTGGCTTTTGAATTCAAACTCTCCGGAATGGTGGAAAGGACCTGGTGGCTCCAAAAGATTCTGCAATACCTCCTAAAACGTTGGGTGAACGAAGAGCGAGAGCCTCAGCCATGACGGTATGAAGTTCTATGAAGTTCCGTGGTATTTCGAGTCCGAAAATAACACTACTAAGGGCTAGAAACGCAGGCTTGCTCAGAGACAAGGCTAAGAGTACGAAACCCAAAGTGCAAAGAACGCTTTACAGGTCGTCGGGTACTGGCCGCGGTATGTTGGTAGGTAGGTATTATCAAGGCGACGGTTTTGGCGGTCCTTGGTTAGCACCGTACCGAGTCTCGGGCTAGTTCCCCAAAAATAACTAGTTAACGCAAATGATGAAATCACAACGGTTGGCTTGGTATGGGCCTAGTCCTGGGTGCACAGGTTGCAACCCCCTACTAGCAGCTTTCTTAATTATTACGCATCTCTCTTACAGTATGTCTTTTCCAAAACATGTTCAACAGCTGCAGCAACAAAACTACAAATCACATCAAATTCTTGTGACCAACCCTCGGCCCGCATACCTCAATCACCTGCTCAAGGTGTGGGGTCGTGGGGTGAAACACACCGTGGCCCTTGCCTGGCGTAGGCCGGACCCCTAATTGGACTCAGAAGGACCCCACGATGGCCTAGACACAAGCAACGGGAGGAGAACTTCCCCTCCTTCAGCTCCCTTCGTCACTTACCCCGCCAAAGTGCAGCTACTCCAGCGTACCCCTCTTCCTCCACTTATACCCCTCGAGCAACGGCTTGTTAGGGAACAGCCCACTCTTACGAAAAGCAAACCGGCCGTGGACGCAATCCTAAGTCAGCCATTGCTTTGCTTGATACACTTGGACTTTTAGTTCCTAACCGCCGCAGTTGAACGCCAATTACACACGTCTACCTCTCAATCTTGAACATTCAGAAGGCAACATGGACGGGCTCCTCGGAAAGGCTGTCGGCAAGGTGTTGGGTGGTGACGATGAGCGACCCCAGGGTAAGTGAGCACGGATACAACCTCAACCCACAGCAGCTATGCAGCAACTTAGAAATGGGAATCGCTAACAGACCCGTCCATCCAGGCCTCCAGCAAGGAGGCGGTAACCGTACGCCAACCTCCCTCCTGGCCCCCTTAACCACAACCTAACATTTTGGCAGTGACCCACGGCGGCGCCTACCCCGCCGGCGGCGGTTACCCGCACGACGACGACGATGACCTGCGCGGGGCGGCCTCCATCGCCGCCAAGGAAGCACCAGAGGACCAGAGCTTCTTCGACGACATCCTGGGCAAGCTGCTCCAAGACAAGCCCAAAGCCAAGCTCGAGGAGGAGGATCTCGACGAGGATGGTACGCACCCCCAACCACCCACCTACCTACCTATCTACTTCCCCTCCCCCCGCCCTTTTTACCACCCCGCAACCCAACTAACCTCCGCACCCCCTCCCTCCCCCAAATAACAGACGCCGTCCAATCCCACCGCCAATTCTTCGGCTTCGGCGGCGACTCCGGCGCCGCTCAACCGACCCCCGCGTCCACCTCGTCCCTCGGCAGCGCCGCCGCCATGCAGGCCCTCAAGATGTTCACGTCGTCGGACGCGGGCGCGGCCGCCCCGCCGCAGAGCCAGAACGCCTTTGTCGGGCTGGCCATGGCCCAGGCCGCGAAGCTGTTCGATGCGCAGGCCTCGCAGGGTAATGTCGAGGCTGGTGCCGATAAGCAGAGCGCGGTGAGGAAGGCGGGCGAGATGGCGTTGAAGATGTACTTGAAGAGTAAAGGGGGTGCTGCAGGGGGTGCGGGTGTGGGGGGGATGGGCGGGTTGTTGGATATGGCGGGGAAGTTTATGAAATGAGGGAAGGGACCTGGGAATGGAATGGCAGTGGATGGGCGGTGAGTTCACTGCGCGATATGTGTTAGGTTGTTCTTCCTTTTTGAGGCTGGGTTCTCAGTTAGTTCAGCGCCAAGTTGGTGTTGTTTCCAATGGCATTGTTCTCGTGGTTGGGTGGTGAGTGTTGGAAGATATTCGGAGGGATGACGGGCACAATTGGCTGCCATGACTCTGAGTATGGACCGCGGGCCGTGGGTAAGAACGCAACCATGATATTACCCTTGACTACCTATTTATCGAAGCGCAAGAGAGAGCGGACAGTGTCGAGAATAACCCAGTCTCTCGAGCCACAAGGGTCCTTAAGTTGGACCCACTTTGCTGCCTAGCCTTGTCCCGTGATCTCGCGATTGGAGCTGATGGATGGAACGCTCTCAACCTCCACTTCGGGTCGCGGCATCACGCGTTCTTACGATCGACATCGAGAACCGAGGCCCAGAACACCGTTTCCTTTACTCCTTTAAAGGGTTACATGGAACTGCCCCTCCCCAGCCCGGGCCTGACCCCATCGCACCGCCATGTCTAGGATAGAGAAACTCTCAATTCTTGGTGTGCGTTCCTTCGGGCCGCAGCACCAAGAGACCATCGCCTTTAACACACCCCTGACCTTGATTGTCGGATACAATGGCTCAGGCAAGACGGTGAGCCCCTTTACTGAAATGGTTTTGCTTACCGCTGCTAACACTATGCTAGACCATTATCGAATGCCTCAAGTATGCCACCACCGGCGAGCTTCCCCCGAACAGCAAGGGCGGCGCCTTTATCCACGACCCCACATTGGCTGGCGAAAAGGATGTTCGCGCCCAAGTCAAAGTATCTTTCCGATCGACCGTCGGCGAGTCATACGTGGTGACACGCAATGTCCAACTCATGGTGAAAAAGAGCACGAGATCGCAGAAAACACTGGAAGGGAGCCTGCTGTTGCGGAACAATGGAGAGCGGCACGTTATTTCCACACGGGTCATGGAACTTGACAAGCTCGTCCCTGAGAAGCTTGGTGTCTCGCCCGCTGTTCTAGACACTGTCATCTTCTGCCACCAGGACGAGTCCTTATGGCCCATGAGCGAGCCCGCCGCTCTCAAGAAGCGGTTCGACGAAATATTCGAGGCTATGAAGTACACGAAGGTTATCGACAACTTGAAGATTCTCCGCAAGAAAAAAGGCGAGGAACTGCGGGAGTTGAAGTTGCAGGAGAGCCAGGACAAGGCGAATAAGGAGAGGGCGGACAAGGTCAACAAGCTCATGGGCCAGCTGACGAGGGAGATCGAAGAAGGCCGGGACAAGTACGACGAGCTCACGGAACAAATGGCGGAAGAGGGCACCAAAATCAAATCAAAACACGAGCAGGCCAACAGCTTCCTGAGAATTGTAAACGATCTTCAGACCAAGACCGAGAAGCTGGAGTACAAGAAAGAGGCAGTCCAGGAACTACGCAGCCGCATTGAAGAATCAGCCGACACAGACCAAGTCCTGAAGAACGCCCTTGATGAGTACGAACAGACAATCGAGAGGACCGTTGCCGACCGCGACAGAAAAGCCACCCAGTTCCACGAACTCCAAGGGGATCTCAAGTCCTCCCGGGAGCAACACACCGCCAAGGCATCCGAGCAGGGGAAGCACCAGTCCGATAAGGACAAATACGAGCGCCAGCTCGTCACCCAGGACCGCATGATCCACGACGCGGCGACTCGCCACGAAATCCGGGGTTACGACGGGGACCTAGACGACCGTAAGATCGCCGCTTTCAATGAACGTATGCAAAAGACACTCAATGACAAGAAACGCGAGTTGGAGCGCATTCAGCGTGATAACGCTGAAGAGCTCGACAAAAAGTCTGCTGTCATCACGGAACGCGAGAGCCGGAAGGCATCGCTGATTCGGGACCGCGCATCGGCAAAGCAACGCATCGTCACAGTCGGCAAGGAATCGGCTGCTATCCAGAGCGAGCTGAGCAAATTGGATATTGACGAGGGCGCCGAGGCCATGCTCCGAACAGAAATGAAGGAGCTTGAGGCTAGGATCGAGACAGGGAAGGCCGAGGAACAAGCGGCGGACTTGGACGCCCAGATCAAGAAGGTCAATGATGATATTTGGAACCTTGAGGCGCAGACCGCCAAGCTCGCCCGAGAGCTTGTCGAGTGCACAAGGCTCGCATCTGAGCGGGCCCAGCTCGACCTACGAAAGAAACAGCTAGCCGAGCGGCGGCGAGAACTGGAAATACTCAAGAAGACTTGGACCGAACAGCTTTCGGCGTTGGTTGGGAACGATTGGCAGCCGGAAACCATTGAAACTGAATTCCAGGACGCAGTCAAACGCCAAAACACGATTGTTACCGAGTGTAGGAAACAGAAAGATGCGACACAGCAGGAGTTAAAACAGGTGGAGTACAGGCTCTCAAACGCACGGGATCGGCATAACAAGCTATCCACGGAGAGAGAGAACTGCAAGCGCGCCGTCACGAAAGCCCTCCAGGATTTGAGGAACCCCGACTCACCGCCCGTTGAGGATTACACAAAAGAGCTGGAGAGCATCGAAACCGAGTTGAGCCAAACCGAGACGGATTTAAAACGGTACGATGAGAGGAAAAAGCACTATGCGAGCATCAAGGACCGGGCGGTACGGTTCAACAAGTGCTATTACTGCGAACGGGACTTCAAGGACCAAGCCACCGCGAGGTCGAAATTTTTTGGACAAATTCGCCAAGAAGCTTAGCGACGAGGACAAGCAGGAGTTGATGGAGGACCCAGTTCATTTCACTGAACAGATCAAAACTCTCAAGGCCGTTCGTTCCAAGTATGACAGCTATCGTCGTCTTGAGGCTGAGCTGCCATTGATAACCAAGGACATTGACTCGGCCTCGTCTCAGCGGGAGGAGTTGGTTCGCCGCCTGGAAGACCAAGATCTCGCCTTCAGAGAGGCAGAGGATAAGCGTCAAGAGGTTGATGGACTGAGCAAGCACGTTCTCAAGATCTCCCAAACGCACAAGGATATCATCGAAGCTGAGAGGCAGGTGGAGAGGTCGCAGCAGTCGTCGAGCATTGCGATGCGGAGTCCCGACGAGATCAACGAGGAACAAACCGCTTGCGCGGAGCAGACCCGAACGGCTCAGGCTAAGCTCAGTAAGCTCACCACCGAGAGGCAGCGCCTGAAAGATCTAGCCGCCCAGCTTGAGGTCGAGAAGCTCGAGTTGAGGCATAAGATCAGCAGTGCCGTTCAGCAACTGGAGCGGAAGAAGAGCCTCCAAGACTCCATTCGCAGATACAAGGAAGAGCAGGGGCACCTGCGGGAAACCATCCACGAGGCCGATAAGGAAGTAGAGCGTCTTGAGCCAGAGATTGCAAGTGCTCGTGCAGCGCTAGAGGAAGCTCGACAACAGGGGCGAGCTAAGGAACAAAAAGTCGCAGAAGAAAGAGACAGCATCGCCACCACGTTCAGCGAGCTCAGGATGGTCAGCACTGACATCCAAGAGTACCTGGATCGTGGTGGCCCTTCAAACCTGGCCTCAAATCAACGGGCCATTGCTACCCTAGAAGCCACGATTACCAATCTCGAGAGCGAGATGAAAGACTTGACAGTCCAAATCAACAAATTGAATAAGGAGATCGACAATAGCGACGCCAAGAAGAGGAATATCGCCGACAACCTGACCTACCGCAAGAACCTGCGTGAGTGCGAGGCTCTCGAGGAAGAAATTATCGAGCTCGAGTCTCGCAACGCCCAGGAAGACTACGATCGCCTCACCCAGGAAGCCCGATACCTCGAGACCCGCCGCAGCAAGCTCACCGCCGACCGAGAGCGCCTCGTGGGGACCTTGACGACCAAAGACGAAGAGTTCAAGCGGCTAGACGAAGAATACCAGATCGAGCTCAAGGACGCCAAGGCCAAGTACAAGGAATCCCACATTAAAGTCGAGACCACCAAAGCCGCCATCGACGACCTTGGTCACGGTACCGCTGCCCTCGACCACGCCATCATGCGGTACCACTCCCTGAAAATGGAAGAGATCAACCGCACCATCGGCGAGCTGTGGCAGAGCACATACCAGGGCACCGACATCGACACGATCCAGATCCGGTCCGACGTCGAAGCCGGGGCCGCGTCGGGCGGCGGCAAGCGCAACTACAACTACCGCGTGTCCATGGTCAAGGGCGACACCGAGATGGACATGCGCGGGCGGTGCAGCGCGGGACAGAAAGTCCTTGCCTGCATCATCATCCGTCTGGCCCTGGCCGAGTCCTTCGGCGTCAACTGCGGCCTCATCGCCCTCGACGAGCCCACCACCAACCTCGACAGCGACAATATCCGCAGTCTGGCTGAAAGCCTGCACGGTATCATCAAGGCCCGCCGCTCGCAGAGCAACCTGCAACTGATCGTCATCACGCACGACGAGGAGTTTTTGAAACACATGCAGTGCAGTGATTTCTGCGACGACTTTTTCCGGGTTAGGAGAGACGAGAAGCAGAATAGTGTAATTGTGCGAGAAAGTATCACGAGGATCATGGAGTAGGAGGAGGGTGAGGGTATGGGGGGTTTCTGCTGCTTCGCTATTTTGTATGTAGCTACTTAGGGAGTTGGGCATTTACCGCCGATGGTTGAGATTGGCGTTTTGGGTCTTGCTGGTAATGAATGAAAATGAGGAGATACCAACCAACAATCTTGTTCCTGGGATATCCGATACTCGCTGCTTTGTTGGCCCCTTGATTCCAACTAACCGATACGGTGTATCGTATGCAACCACGCCACAAGAACTCAACCATGGTTATGACACCCCAAGTTGGCCATGACACACCAAGTCATCCCTAAGCAAGGCAAACCCGAACATTCTTTCCCCTTACCAAAGCATCTGGTAAACAGCCCCCTCCTCCCCTCCCCCTTCCACCGCCCAACCCGCCCACGATTGGCCTTACTCCAAACGCCAGCACTTATGTCCCCCTGCGTCTGGCCAGACGGCAAGGCCCACGACGACGGCGCGAGATGCGCCTCCCCAAAAACCGCCGGCGAAGCCGCACCGCTCACACCCACCGGTCTAGCTCCTCGGTTTTCGGCGCGGAAGCCGTGTCTGGCTTCGTCGCTGAACCCCCGTCGCCACTACTGCCGGCGCCGTCGTCCTTTTCGGTGTTTTCCTTGCCACCGTCCGCTGACTTGGTCGCGAACTTCGGTTGCCCACTGCTCGCCTCGGTGGTGGAGGCGGCGGCATCCGGAAGGACGACGTCACCTTCGGCATCGCGCTTCGGTTCCGAGGCGGTGGTGTCTTCGTCTTTGGGCTGTGGCTCTGTGGTGGTGTTTTTGGGGTCTGGGTCTTGGTTTTGGTTTTGGTCTTGGGGCTCGTCGTCCTTCCTCCTCTTAGCAGGGGATGCCGCTTCCGGGCTGTCACCCGCCTCGCGTTTTGGTGTGGTTTCGCCGCCCTGGTCATCGCCCGCCTGCTGCTGCTGCTGGGGGGAGGCCGGCTGGACACGCCGCCCGACGGCGGCCTCCATGTCGAGGCCCTGCACATTCATCGGGCTGCCGCCGGTGGCAATGTAGTTGGTCGTCGCGGCGCTCTGCGGGCCCATGTCGGCGGCGCCGATCTCCTCCGGGCCCCGGGCGTGGGGCGTCTCTTCTTCCTCCTCCTCAGCGGTGCCCTCGGTCATGGTGGCGTCTTCCTCCGTCGTGGCGCCTGAATCGCCCTGGGTTTGCTGCTGCGACGGCTGCTGCTGTCTGTTAAGCTGGTTCAGCGGCACGAGGCCAGCGCGCTGCTCCTGGCGTAGGAGCTCACCCTGGGTGACGCTGCGCTGGGTGAGCAGAGCCACGCCGGCGCCGGTGGACGGGATGCCGTTAACTGACACCGAGACGGTCTCGATGCTCCCGATCCCGTTAGGTCCTTCAATGGTCTCGGTGCTTTCCGTCCGTACCCGGCCCTCGATATGGCCGCCTGGTCGTTGTTGCTGCTGCTGCTGCTGCTGTTGCTGCTGATGCTGGGCCTGGAACTGCCGCTCGGGATTCTCACCCGCTGATAGCGGGGATGAGCCGCCCACTTCGCTTCCGTCTTCGCTGCCACTCCCGTTTGCTCTCCTTGTCAGCCAGGGGATTGGCGTCAACAAAGCCCCGCCCAATGCCTCGTCCGAACCCAGACTGTTGGCCGCCGCTGTGTCGATAGACAAATTGCCTGCGCTGCCACCGCCTGCACCATTCGCTAGGAGTGACATGGCCCCTACGTCGGGAAGCGCCGGGGGAAGCGGGTAGACATTCGCGCCGCTTGTTACGTGAACAACACGGTCAAGTGCGTGGAGATAGGGTACTAGGTGGCGATAGTGTTGCCGTGGGCGCAGGACTAGCTCGGATAGCCGTTGGACAGTGTGCGGCGGGTACTGGGGAAAATTCGTGCGCAGGATGGATAGAATCTCATCAAGCATATCGGCGATGGGCTTCGGGAGGGAATCGGTGGATGTGGGCTGCTGAGTGGGCGTGCTCGAGCCGGGCGCAACGTTCGTGCTGGCACTGGCGCCAGTAGTGGCGGAGGGTAGATATGGGTCGGTATTCTCCTTATTTGTCCCTTGTGATGACGACGTTTCTACCTGGTCTGGCGCATCAAACGGGTCGGAGGAAGGGAGTGGGGCGAGGAATCGCGGGGAGGGTGGTCTTGCGGGTTGGGCGGGCGGTGGGATGTTGGGGATGGGGAACTCGGTATGTGCGATCTAAAAAGTAACATCGTTAGACTAGACAAAACCGGCGTAGACCTGTTAAATCACATGCTAATATCCGCGGAAGACTCGCCTTTTCGATCCGCGACAGAACTGTGTGGAGTAGCTCTGGCCAGGCTGAACTGTGAGATGTTGGATTAGTGACATTGCCGGTCGCAGTCCTAGCATAGTAAGTGATACTTACTAGTTCATAGAACCGTCCAGCGCTGCCTTCTCGAGAATGCCATCACCGGTGTCTATCTCCATTTCGGCCATATTGATGTGGTGGTGGTGGGGTGAAGGTGCGCCGTGGTCGATTGGAGGTTTGGCGCGTGCTGGGTTGCCAGCGCGTCCTGGGCTAGGCTGGGCCAAGAAACTCCTCTGCGCAACTCGCAACAAGGTGGAAGACCCCACCAAGTTGGTACAGTTAGGAAGGAGGCCACCGGGTTGTCGTCACAATTAAAACGCCCATACTTGGGTTACGTCCCGGTAGGTAGTTATGAATGTCTGAGGGAGGTCCTCGGGCTGGCCGAAAAAAAAGCTGAACTCTTGTGTGTGCTACCGAAACCTTCCGCAATAGGAACGAGAAGAAGGCCACTCGGAAGCTCAAAGCCGACTTTTTATTTGACTCGGATTCTTTTATTTATTTATTTTGAGCCATTTTTCTCTTTACCTCTTCTCTTTGCCTTCTTTACTCTTTTGTCTTTTCTTGATTTCTAGGTACGCCTTTTTTTTTTTTTTTTTTTTTTTTTTTTTTTTTTTTTTTTTTTTTTTTTTTTTCGACCAGATGGTCCGAGATAGGCACATTTAGTTACTTTGCTTTCCATTTTGCCTTGGTGTCTTGCAGGATAACTACCTGTTCGATACAACACCTTTACACAACCCCAATTGATCGATTTCTATTGCGCCTCTCATGCTCTTGAGAAACCAAGTGGTAGCAATCCATGGCCCGAGCCTCACGATCTCGAGCCGACCGAGAAGCGACAGACATGCATGCCTCCGAAAGGATTGATTGCTTCGTATCGACCACGAACAACCGCGATCGCCGGTCCCATTTGCAGAAAACCATCTCGCCGATCACCCACTCTCCATCTTGGGCTCTTTCGTGGCGCCCAAAAACGAAGGTCATACCACGACAATCTCTGCGATAGACGGGTAACTAACTACATACCGTTATCAATTACGGTGCGGCTGATCGTCCTCACCTCTGTCGTCATCTCACGGAGAAAGACAAACCGTGATGCGGCCAGCATGAATGTCGTCTGCTCGGCGTTTCCCACAAGGGATTCTGACCCACTTGTTTAGCCCAAAGCCGCTATTCGTCCAGGGTTCAACCTGGCGCGAATTGACCACGACGGCATTCGGCAACATCAAAATCGAAGCGTCTCACTACGAAGCGGGATTTCGGCAAAGAACGAAGGAGCCTGCCCCAGCCCGGAGTTGCTCCCGGAGTTGCTCCCGGTGTTGCTCCCGGCGTAGCGAGGCGCATCGGAGGAGCCCATGGTCAACTTTGACGATCGAAGACCAGCTGTCGTGCGAGCACTCAAAGAAATAACCCCCAGAGCTTCTCCCTGGTCCATGAGCCTGGCGGACCCACGTGGGGCTGGGCTGAAAGGGCTGATTGACTCCGCGGACCAGCTGGGGATGCCGAAAGACGGCGCATAAAGTTAATGACTGGATAGCTTAGTAGGAGCAGTCGATCCTCTGCGGGCTCGACGTGTTATGATAGATTCTGTCTGCAAGGCCTGAAAAGCTATAAATGATGTCTGCTGCTGTTGGCTCGATTGAAGTTGGTTGGTTGGGCTGTGAAAGCCCGTTTGCATGTCCGAAACGGCATGTGGAGCCAATGCAAGTCGGTGCAGCAAACGAAATACGGACGGAACCCATGACAGGTGCCTGGCCGTCCAGGCTGTTCAAAGCAGAAAAGAGAGGAAAAATGAACCAAAAAAATTCAATGGAGGATCATGGAACTACCGGCTACCGACAGCTCATGATACACGACGTCAACAGACTACACAATAGTGGAGGCTTGAATTCGCAATGACATGAACTGGGCTGACTTGCACAGCCTCGAACCTCCATAGCCGAGCTTGGCTCTGCAGGAGGCTGATGGGGAGAAACTAGCCCCTGTTTGGAATCCTGGCTGATGCTCGCCAGAGTCCTGGTTCCTGTCTTGGCCCGTTTGTCACCTGCCAAACCCCAGTCCTGCCTGCAACATCCCACTCCGCAGGGCCATGTCCTGGGTTCCCTCTTTTTTTTCATCCGATCGTTTATCATTTGAGGTGCCCATTTTGGCCATCTTTCCAATCTCTCTTTTCGTTTTCATTGAATCCTCTGAACTCCACCCTGCCGTGCCCCTACCGGTAACCGACCTAACGGCCCTCTGCAGCGACTCCTGACAAACCCAACAAGCCAAGTCCTTCCTGTGACCCTCGAACATCCCAACTCCTCGACGTGTTTCAGCCTGGCCTCTGCCGCCAGAATTCAAAGCGAAATCCCCCCTTGACCGAACCGAACTACATCTTTGATCGCAGCGACGAAAATCCGTCGGCATCGGCAGAGAAGCGCTCGGCCACTGTTCGACCATCGTTCATTCACTCGCCACTAGGTAATTCCCCGTGAGGCGCCAGCGGTCACCCGACCTTTTACCCTCCCCACCCGACAACCCTTTCCAGCGACCCTCGACGACCACACAACACCGGCCCGTCCATCCAAGCAAACAACGCTTGACAAAGAACCCGAGAAAATATTAAATCAGCAGCCAAAGTGCCTCCAGAACCGCCCGTCCTGGATTCGCAACGGGAACTTCGCCGGTCCTATTTGGCCGGGTCGCAGCCCATCTCGAGCTTTGACGGGGCGTACAACTACAGAGACAGCGCCATGATGGCCTCAGGTGTCCCGCCTAACTCTGGGCGCAAAAAAGCGCTTTTTTCGTCAGAGTTCCTCGCCTCAAAATGGGCGAAGCTCTTCTTCCTCATTGTCCTCCTGCAGGCTTTAGCCTGTGTCGCTTTTGAATCGTACGTCATCATGCCGCCAACCGCAACCGCGAAACAAGACTACGCAATACTGACATGACGATGCAGATATGTGTTTGGGAGGTTCCAATTCAGTCTCGAGTATCAGAGGAATCGAACATTGATGACCGCCTAAAATCACAATACCGCACGATCCCGACCTTCCTGACCTTGTTCATTTTCGGTTTCCTCTACATGTTGTTCCTAACATGGGACGCCCTGCGGCTGAAAAACACCATTCAGATCATCGGCCTGTGCGTGGCCAACCTAGCCATTTTCGTCTACGCCATCCTTCAGATCGATCAAATCAACAATTCGATCGACGTGCTGCTGCGAGAGAACGCCTTGAAGCCGGATGAAGAGGATAGGAACGTCTGGGCGCTCTGCAAGCCCTTCCTCATCGCTGTCCCGGCTGTCGTAGGCGTCGTCACCGTCATCATGGGTGGCCTCGCCTACCAGCTCTACCGAGAGTTTGCCTGGGATATTCTTAAGCAGATTGGTGCTGACTACCGCATGAAGAAGCGCTTCCTGCACTATCAGGTAAGGTTAAGCGACGGTTCCTCTCAGAACGCCGTGTTCTAACAACTCACAGATTTACATTGCCCTGCTGAAGTTCGATTTCTTCTTCTTCCTCGGCTTCACTGTTCAGTTCCTCGTCATTGTCAACGGCCTAAACGAAGTCGAGCTGGGCCTGCACGTGGCCGCCATCCCGATCACCATCGCCATCCTGCTCTGCGCCGCCTTCTTTACCCGACGCGAGAACCGGATCGGAGTTTGTTTCGTTATCCTCCTTTATTTCGGCGGTCTAGCCTACTTTTTCTTCAAGCTCGTGCGCATCTACCAGCCGGGCCATAGCCAGGACTACGACGCCGTTCGACGGTCGCTGACGGCCTTCGCCGTTCTCACCATTATCCTAATTATCCTGACCATCATCAACGGTTTCATTTGCATGAGCAACTTTGGCGCCGGCCTTAAGGCCCACCTTCTCAGACCCACCGCCCCCGACCCGGAGAAGGAAGATGCCAACTCGTACCAGATGAACGACCAGAAACCGACATTGCCGAGTCGGATGACCATCGACTAGGCGGGTGGTCAGGTGATAGGGAGGGCCTAGTAGAGATGGTGGAAATCGAAAATTAGGCGGGACACAGGATCACCTACACCAATAACGAAATTTACGACGACTCTGGAATCTTGAAGCAAGGCAACAAGACTAGCTTAAAGAGAGAGCCGAAGGAGGAGTGGCATTTCCTTGTTCAACTTGTTAACAGCGAAACACCATAGCCACACCCGGCCAGTATAGATATCCCCATTGCTTTTTTGTTATTTATTTCCTTGTCTTTTCTTCTGTAGGCTTCGGTTCGTTCAATCATACAACCCCAGCCGTTATCTTATTACATCTTTTGTGAGCACATCATTGCTGTGCCTTCACAGGGAAAGGCAGCGCTGGAAGGCAGAGAGGAGAATGGCGTTTTATACTCTTTTTTTTTTTTTTTCTTCTCGGGGGTTGGTTTGGCCTTGATCGGATCAGGCCCGGTCGGTGGCTTCGGTTTGAATTGTGGGATGGGAATATTTCTCCAGCCTGGCTATCAGGACTCTGCGCTTGCATTAACCGCGCTCTCTCCTGCTCGTCGGCTGGCTGGCCCGGCAGACGGTGATGATGATTAGGGGAGTATATGATGTGGGGGTTTGGTGCGGGATGGGATGGCCAATGAAGAATGTATGAGGAGGTAGATCGGAGAGCAGATCGAAGCCGGGACGTGTTCAATGCATCTGCAAGTGCACATTGGTGACAGCTGCTTGGCGAAGTGATCAGCAGCAGTATGGTGTTAATAAGGAGGGAAGAACTTGGTTGAAGAAGCTGTTGACCCCCCCCCCCCCATGGTAGCATTGCGTCCCACTTATGGCGTTCCGGTTCAAAGCATAGTAATCGATATCATCAATCTACCTCTCTGCCCGGACTCCGTTATCGTTTGCCTGCTACCGATATTCTTGTGAGCTCACCCAAACCACGCATGCCCTGCCCATAGCCCAAACGGTCCCCAGAATAACTCCAAAAAGGAGGGAAAGCAAAGCCTCGAACCACTCGGTATGCTCCTGAGCCCATTCCCATCGTTGCTACTAAAGGGCAAAATACGCCGCTGATAAAAAAGGAAAAGGAAAAGAAAAAAGACCGCCCTGTTCTCGCTATTCCGACTCCGAGTCCGATTCCGATCCCCATTCCGATAGCGTAGCCCCATCCTCCACATACCGAATCCGGAACTCCTCATGGGGCACAGCGTCCAGGCCGTCGACGTCCGCCTCAATCACGTCCCCCTCCCCCCAGCCAACCCCCAGGTGTAGAAACCGCACCCCGTCGGTGACCGCCGAATCTATCGGATCACGCTCCCTGTCCGTCTCCGCCTCCTCGAAGACACCAAGTTCCTCGCTGTCCCTGTAACCCCTCATCTCCCCCGGGCTGTGGTGCCGTTCCGGATCAGAGTGCACCGGCCTCTCCCCTGCCCCGACTGCCTGCTGGTAAGCAAAGAACGCGTCCCACGAGTCCAATGTGTTGTAGACGCCATGCAGCGTTTCAGGATCAGGTAGCGACGTCGCCGCTCCCGAGACTGCGTTTAGCAGCTCGCCGCCAGGCTGAAGGAAACTCTCCAGGGGCCGGGGAGAGTCGGCATCCTGAAAGAGGCCGTCAAATACCCGGTCGATGACAAGCGCGAGAGAGACGTCCACATCTCCCGAGCCAGGCGCGGGGCCCTGCTGATGGGCCCCGTCGTCGTAGGCACCGTCATGCCCCAGTCCCGCGCGGCGTCCAACCCTCCTTCCGCCCGTCGAGTCCGCGCCACCCTACAAGACGACCCTCCGGGCGTCTTTAAACAGCCCCTCGCTGGGACAGTACGGACACTTGAATCTGTTGCCCTTGCACAGCTTTTGCAGCGTCTCGCGCGCCAGCATGTGGCCGCAAGGGATCACCATGGGCGGGTTGTCCTCGGTCGTCTGCTCCTTGGACACGGGGCAGACGAAGATGCTGTGGAACAGCATGCTCTGGGGGAGCGGTGTCTCAAACGGTAGTTCCTGCGTGGTGGTCCATTCGGTGCCCTTGGAGCGAGTGGCAAGCATGAACTTCATGAGCCGGGGCAGGGCCAGGGCGCCGGCAGTGACGGCGAGGTAGAGGGGCGATTCTGCTGACAGGCCGAGCAGGCTGCAAAACTCGCGAGTGAAAGAGGCAGCGACGTCGGTAAAGGCTGTGGAGACAGAGGCAAAGGTCAGGTGGTAGGGAGAATCCGGGAGGTTGGGGGCGAAGACCATGGCCGACGCGAGCTGTTGGATCTCGCGCAGATGGCGGGCTTGGAAGCGGCCAAAATGCTGGCGAGCATAGGCAAGCGCACCCCGACGTCCATTGTTTTCGTCGTCGGGGAGGTTGTTGACGGAAGGGCCTTTGAAGAGCCAGACGTATTGAAGCTTGGAAAGCTCGAACTCGAGGTTGCTGCCGCGGGCTTCGAGCTCAGCCGAGTTTGAACGGGCCCATTCTATGGCGGGGAGCAGGTTCTGTGCTTTTAGCTGCTGCAGGATTGTGTACATCTCGGCGAACTTCTCCTGAAGTTCCTGGGAGTGGAGCGACGAAAGATCATATTCGTCACTATCGTGGACGTCCGAGAATCCAGCTGTGTTTGTATGGGCTTCCTCGGCCTCTGCGTCCCCATCCTCGCCCTCATCCTCGTCTTCGTCTTCGTCTTCGTCCATGGGTTCACTAAAGTGGGAAGCGGGAGCAGGTGGGGTCTTGGTTTGGACTTCGTTTATAAAGGTTGAGGCAACCGTGAACTGGCCTTCCCGTAGCAAGTGCATAGCGATGGCGCGATTTACCAAGGGTAAGCGATCCTCCATACCGTCATCGTCCGTCGGCAGTGGCTTGAGCGGGAAGTGCTGGTGGCGAGCAAATGTTAGTTAAGGCTCTGAGCCAGGGCTGCTGGGGCGGACGAGAAGAGTACATGCCTTGTCTAACGACCTCCCCACCTTCTTGTGTGACGATGAGGCCGCCTTCAGGTCGTCGTTTATTTTCCCAAACGCAAACTTGATAGGGTTTTGAAGCATCGTCATGGTCAGGCTCGCCGTGTGAGGGTCCATACCCGCTGCGCCCATGTCAGCCGAGGAAGCAGAAAAAAGGGCCCAAAAACTCTCAAAAACACCAACATTCGGCTATCCTCTCCCGAGCCTCACTGAGCAGCTGGATGACCTGATCGACATCGCTGACAGCTGACGAGAGCCTGGGCAAACGGTTCGCTTTGGACAGCTCGTCCAGGAGGGAGTCCAGCCTCTGTTTTGCCTCGATTTGTTTTGCCTCCATTGTTCCAGGTTGTGACTTGGTGCTCGGGTGCTGGTGTAGTAGGTGCGAGGGGTGCCCACGGCGTGGTGGGTGCGGTGCAGCAGTGGGCTATGGCGCAGAGGCGCCCAGCATTGTCCTGTCGGCGGTAAAGTAAGGAATGCTGGTGAAGATGGGATGGGTTTACTAGGGAGGGTGTCGGCGGCGGGGTCGGGCGTCTCTTGTGTCGCCGAGCCTGGACCAAGTTTATTAGTAGTTCGGCTTTGGGTTGCCACGCTGGGGATTGCATTCCTTTGCCGAACTCCCAATCCAATCTGCAAGCGGGCCCGTCCGCGGTACCATTTGAATGGCAGGCGCTAATTTGCTGGCTGGTCCAGGTGACGTATGCACCTCGCTGCAATGGAGCCCCGGGTCCTTCCAGTGGCTCGACTACATATGCGCAGGAATTGATGTTGGTCCAGGCCGCAAGCCCTGAAATCCCACCGAGCACATTGCATCACATGCCTGCTTGCCTGCTGCTGAACCGAACCAGCCAACACCAAATGCATCCCGCATTCCACATTCCTGGTCGCAACTACCGTTGATAGATTTTCAGCAACGTACTTCGTACACAATAGCGAACTGTGGAAGCCTTCATCAGGTTCCTTCAGCCCAGTCACTCGACAGTGCGGCATATTACCCTAACTCTCCACACCGCTTCTATCGGCCCCACGATGGGCCCTGGACTTTGGGCCTGGGTGTTTCGCTAACTTCGGCCGTGGTCCCTACCGTGGACATGGATGTACCCCCCTGGGGCGCCGTTACCGGGTCTCTGCCCTGCTCAATTGCTCCGTTGACGTCGACGGAGCACCGACATTATGTCCCTCCGCCTCTCTTTCCCGACCGCCGTAGATCCAAGGGCTCACCGGGAAGAAGAACTGACGCTGGCCCGCACAGCTTCGCATCACCAACAACAGAGAAATGCGAAGTCGGCCGCTCCAGAGACACCGGACGGCGCTGCCATGAGCAGCGCTCCCCCCGCCACTGCCACCCATAGCACGGGCCGGCGCCGTGTCGTTCTCCCGGATCCCGTTGCCTTCAAGTAGGCATCCTCTGATCACGCAACATCCATACTGCTCTGGCGACTGACAGCTCTTGTGTGCAGGTTTCTAGAAGGCGACCCTTCGGTTGCCATTGTCGAGCGCAGACATGTCCTTCCCGGCTACGAGCTCTACTTGGTCGAACAGTGGGCGTGCTCACGCCAGTCGCCCACACTCGTTATTGCCGCCTACACGGGCGACCCAGGGCACTCGGTGGTTGTTGGTGTGTTAGAGGTGCCCGCAGACGAGAGGGACTGGTCGCCGAGGCTGAGAGTTTACTTCCGGGCCATCCACCAATACCACGCGCGGCCGAAGGAAACAGAGATCGGGGAACTCATGGTCACCAACCTCAGCAGCTTCCCCTCAGCTCTGACTGTTATCCCTGTGCCAGAAGGCGACATACGGAAGCATCGCCAGGAATTCATTGTTAACGAGAATCTGAAGCGGCTGGGCTGCTCGGGGCGGTCCGGCCTCACATTGACAGATCCGACATCGGCCACTCAAGCCAAGTTCATGCAGATGTACAAGACCAGCGACAGGATACCCTTCATCCAAGCCGTTCTCGAGCTTGTAAAGCTGTGCCAGGTGGCTCTCTTCCTATTCGGAAAGCTTGAGCAGGAGTACATGGACGGTCTCCTTTGCGACGTCACCGAGAAAGCCATCAACGACTGGTGGACCGAGATTGGCTCCGATTATTTCAACATCGAGCCGACCGACGGCATCCTAGGGCCAACCACAGTCGCTGCCTTGCTCGGTACCCTTTTGGGCTCAAGGAACCGGCTCAGCTACTGGGGGGCTCCGGTGTCCAAGGATGTGTTCGATATTGAATGCACGAAGAAGGGCGTCGGCACCTTCCAAAAGGCCATGAGGCTAGAAAGGACGCGCCGCCTCGACCGGCAAACCCTGCACAGACTGCGCGGCGTGACGGCCAAAGCAGCGGCAGGTGACGGCGGATGGGGTGTACAAAGGGCGGTCAAGTCCACAGTGGCCGAGATAGGCGGAAAGCGCGGCGAGCTTGTCATAGGTATGGTAGGCGGCCGAGATAAGGCCAACATCGGGGACATTGAAACTCTAGACCTCAACAAGGTTATCAGTTTGGTCTCCGGAGAACGCCCGAAATGGCTGTGGCATGGAAAACCAAGAAGGGCCCTTTCGGATCACGAGCATGATCACACCTTGTCAGCATTCGGAAAGGAACTCAGAGACGAAATTAGCCCCCAAGTGGGAAGCAGGAGGACACAATCGGCACCAATAGAGGAAGAGCCGGAACCCAGCAAGAAGGAAGACTCTCCCGCGCCCACTCCGCCGCAACCTACAAACTCATTGCCCATGGGGGCAGACACACTTGGTGGTGGCGATCGAGACGCCCTGCGAAAGAATGTCTTCAAAAGCGTCGCTGGGAAGGTGAACGACGCTCGTTCAGGGTTGGGACGCATTAGAGACGCTGTCGGAGGCAGCCGGAGAGGGCACGTCAGCCGGCCTTCCAAGGACGAGGCCCCGGACTCGGCCATGAGCGGGTACTCCAGCCCTAGTATTTCAACGCTAGCCCAGTCATCAGCCGTTATGACGAGCCCGGTCACCGTGGGCAAGGCCTTTTCATGGAAGGTCAGGCCGGAAGACTATCTCCCTGCCATAAGAGATAATGAAGCGGCGGAACCAGCCCCCGCGATACCTACTTTATGTGTAGACGAAACCGGTGAGAAGTTGGCCACCAAAGACTTTGCCCAACCTTACGGGACGCCCTTCCAAACGCTTGAAGAGAAGGAAAGGTTAGAGTACGCGCTCGCCGAAATGGCCAAAGACGTCCGCAGCACCAATGTCTCCGCTCCGGGTTCGGTTGTGGCCGATGGAGACCTACAGGGACCCGTCCTCGCCATTGAGCGGAGTTCTGACGGCCCGCTGCTGTCTCTGCAGCGCCGTCGCAGCGTTGACTGCCTCGCATCCCTGAGCCACCGCCTCGGCGAGGCCCGATACCCGCGGCGACTATCATTCAGCGCGGCCGAGGACGCCATCCTCTACTGGGAAGACCTCGTTACCCTAGCCGATACCCAGTCAGGCACCATCGACCTGGCAAGCCTGCGCTCGCAGTCCGAACTGTCCTATGGCCTCTACAAACGCCTACAACAAATCCAAACGGGCCTGGCACCCTGGACGTCAGGGAAGCTCTCGGCGGTCACCGCACTCGACAAGACCCTCGAAGCCCAACAAACGGAGCTCCAGGCCCTGCACGACGCCATGGATGAGGCGTACCAGCGTGCCCGGCACGGTAGCGGTGAGCTTGTCGCCGAGGAGCGCGGGTGCCTGGCTGAGGCGGTCAAGGACGTTGAGATGCTGGCTGCCAAGCTGGAGTACGAGATCGGCGCGCTGGTGTCACGCGTGAACGAGGTCGAGGACGGGGTTGCGCACTTCGAGGCTCAAGTTGAGGATGTCGAGCGCCGGGCGGACGAGTTAAGAGAGGTGCTCGAGACGGAGAGCTGGGTGCATTGGTTTGTGAGGACGGTGACGGGGATTGGGACGGGGCCGAATATAACGAGGGGAGCTGCCGCCCAAGCGGTGGGGGGATCGTGAGAGCTGAATTTTTTTTGTATTTGGATATGCTAGTCGGGTCGGGTGGGTCGGAGGATGGTGTTGGGCGTTTGCAGATGGGGTTGCATTAATGCAGTGGGATTTGGCTTTTTGGGTGCATTACATACGATATTGGATAGCTCAAGCAAGATAGCGTCGGCGCATCAGCGGAGAAGAGATGCCATGGTTACAGTCCAGCCCCATCCGTGGTCTCACCGGACCTCTAGTTGCTCCCCCGTGTTCAGTCGGTTCTATAATACACGCCGTAGCCCAAACAAACCACCGACCCGGGCATCGTCATCGGTCCGCGAACCAGCCATCTAGGTAACCGCCAGCCAGAACCAGTAAAACTGCCCAAAACAACAGAGATATCATAGCTCCATGCCCCGTCCCGCCTTGTCCCGTCCCATATCTGTACACGCTCGACTCGACTCGGCAAACCCCTTCCCCAACCCAGCCGAGAAAGGGGTAGTCAATGACCCCAATCAACCGACCAAGCACCGGCTTTAACCCGCCCCTCTCCCATCACCCAAGATCAGACATACGTATGTATGTCTCATACCCTGATTCAGGAAGAGATCCCCCTTGAGAGGTTTCCACCCCTCAGAGATTTCCACCCCTTCTAGTGATGTACCCCCTTTACTGCCCGAATCCGCGCGCCGCGCCCTCCTTCTGCAGCTGCTCCGAGATGGTCGTGTGCGCCTCGAAGAACTTAGCCGAGCACCGGTCCAGGCACACCGCCTCGCCCTTGGAGAGCTCGGCCTCGCGGTACGACTTGTCCACGCACTTGGCGCTGCAAACTTTGAGCATCCTGTTTGGGTTGGGAGGGAGGGAGTTAGCGTTGGTTGTTGTTATGTCAGTTGGGGGTGTGGGGGGGAATGGGTTGACTGGGTAGGGTTGGGTTGGTTGCTATGCGGGAAGGGGAAAGGGGGATGGGTAGGGCAGGTCAGGCATGCTTACCGTGTGTGCATCTCGGCAATCACCTTGAGCTCGTTCTCGACCGCTGCGATCTTCTCGGCGGAGGTGGGCTGCGGACGGCCAAGGCCTAGGAAGGACATTTTGGTGGTTGGGGGGGAGGGGTTGTTTGGTTATGGATTGGATTGGGGGGGGTCGATTCCGGTGGGCCGGTATGTGATGGCCTGTTGAGGTGGGTTGGTGAGTGTTCTAGTTGGTGTTGTTGCTGTTTGTCGGCTACTCTTTCAGAACTGGATTTGGATCTAGATGTCTAGATGTGAAGGCTGCGGTTTTGCTCGTCATGCCAAGGTCGGGAGATTCTCGGCAGAACCAAGATTGGCTGCCAAGAGGGCCATTGTGCGGCCCTGGTTGGCTAGTTTTTGGGCTCCATCCCCTGCAAAAAAAGTTCAAATGTTGAAAAGCTTCATGGTGGGACAACTTCAACTCTCAGAGCTCAAGGAGCACCCAAGCATTGTAAGTCCAAATTTCTGTGGTTTTCCCCCCTTGTAGATCCAATGATGAACCGCATCATCAAGAACCGTTGCGACTGACGCGCTTGCGCGCATGATCATACCTGCCTATTTTCTGACTTGTCTACTTCCCCGAATGGTCTTCTCTCCATGTTACGTTAGGTATGCAACACCAACTAACCTTACTTACATGCTAGATGGTACAATGAGGCGAACCCCGTGCCTCCCGTTCCTGCACCCGTACTCGTGGAAGCCCGCGGGTCGGCCCAATCCGGTCTACCTGCGCTTCTTCCACTTGGCCCGGCAGCAGGAGCTGGAGCAGGCCAATGCCCTCAAGTACCCCCGCCTCCAACCCAATGGCCGACCCATGCGCGTCCCCGACTTCCGCAAGAAGTACGCCGACGTCCAACACGGTGACGTCGCCGAGGAGGAGGTGACGCTACACGGTCGTGTCGACTCGATCCGTCGCGCCAGTTCTAAGCTCGTCTTCCTCCATCTGGAGAGCGAGTTTGAGCGAACTCAGGGCGTCTGCAACTTTGGCAAGTTCGAAGATGGGACCAGCGTTGACGCGTTGAAGGACCTTGCCGCGCTTCTTAAGCGAGGAGATATCATATCAATCAAAGGGAAAGCCATCCGTACGTCAACTGGCGAGCTCTCCATCCAGGCGACCCACCTCCCCAAGATCTTGACCCCGAGCATTATCCCGCTCCCTACCAAGCTCATCGACGAGGAGTCCCGCATGCAGCATCGGCATATAGATATGCTCGTGAATCCTCGGACGAGGGATATCCTGCGGTTGCGGTCCTATCTCACCAAGTACCTGCGCGATTTCTTGCACGAGCGGGACTTTCTCGAATTCCAGACCCCCATCCTGGCTGGAGACGCCGGCGGCGCCAATGCCCGCCCTTTTACCGTCTCAGCCAAGACAATATCCAGGGACGTCTCTCTTCGGATCGCCCCTGAGCTCTGGCTCAAACGCCTCGTTGTGGGCGGGGTGGACCGCGTTTTCGAGCTCGGCCCAGCTTTTCGCAACGAAGGCATCGACCAAACCCACAACCCCGAATTCACCATCTGCGAATTCTACCACGCCTACGCCAACCTCCAGGACCTGATCTCCCTCACCGAAGACCTCATCCGCGGCGCAGCCGCCCATTGCCAAAATCTCATCTCCACTAAACTCTCCACCCTCCCTCCCATCGACCTCCCCGCCTTCGAACGCCCTTTTCAACAAGCCGAATTCATTCCCAGCCTCGAAGAATCCCTCGGTTTCACCCTCCCCACGCTCACCTCCCCCACCGCCCTCCCAGACCTCCTATCCCTCCTCAAACAACACAACATCCCCCTCGACCAAACCGCCGCCTCCGCTCCCGACCTAGCCCACCTCCTCGACCACCTCGCAGCAACCTACATCGAGCCGCGCTCGGCGCACGCCCCGCTCTTCATCACCCACCACCCGGTCTGCATGTCCCCGCTCTCCAAGTCCTTCACCTGCCCGCGCACCGGCCAGGCCGTGTCGGCCCGCACCGAGCTCTTCATGGCCGGCCGCGAGCTGGCCAACATGTACGAGGAGGAGAACGACCCCTTCGAGCAGCGCCGCAAGTTTGCCGAGCAGCTGGCCGCCAAGACCAAGGGCAAAGCCGCCGACGTCAGTGGTGGTGGTGATGGTGATGTGGGGGAGCCGGCATCGGATGGGGGCGCTATCGACGAGAGCTACGTGCGCGCGCTGGCGAGCGGCCTACCCCCGACGGGGGGGTGGGGCTGTGGCGTGGAGAGGCTGGTTATGCTGTTTGGCGGGACGAGGCGGATTGGGGATTGTCTGAGCTTCGGGACGTTGAGGAACGTCGTTGGGTTGTCGTCTGCTGCTTCTGCCGCGTCTGCCGCGTCTGTCGGGAAGGGATTTGAGGGGTCGGTGCTGGGGCCGGGGACGGGGGAGAAGCAAGGGAGCTCGTCGTCTGCCGGCGTGCAGTGATGGGAAATTGTCGTATGTCAGTGTAAAAACTCTGCGCTGGTGCCAACCGCGCTTGTATGTCAAGGATCTAATACCCTTATATTTGATACCACCTCTGTAAGAACCAACTCGCCCTAATCCAATGGCTAGGAACATATCACCCCAAAATTCAATGATCCAAATGTCTAGTGCCATTCCCGCCGTCCAAATATTTCCCAACGCGCGGGCAGACCAACCATGATCCTGTTTGATCAATCATCAATCCAAGGTGTCCATATCATAGCACCACACACAAAGCAACACCAAAATCTCATCAGTTTAAGAAAGCAAAACGCAATTATCCTCCTATAACAAAGGCAGGACCTCTCCCTCACAATGATGAGGAGGAAAAGACTCAATCTAAAGGTAAATAGCAAAGCAAAGTGGCTTCAGTCGTGTGGACGGCAAGGCATCCCATCCCATCCCCCGCATCCTCCCAATCTCAACCCAACGCCAATTTTGTGCACCTGCTCCCCAACTCCCTAGCTATCCTATCCAGTCTTTGTTGGGTAGTGAAAAACTAGTCTCCAACTCTGGACCTAACGCCGCGCCATGCCGAGATGCGATGCGCGCCCCTGCCAACCTCCAACGCCAGTGCCGATGATGCAAGAGTCCGAGCCATAAATGCGGCCAGATGATGGGTAATGCCGGCGCCAGTGTCAATGGTACTGGCTCCATGTGAGACAAAAGAACCAAAGAAAAAAAATGAAAATGCCAAAAAGAAAGCAGATGTCGAGATCTTCATGTTGCATGGTCCCGCCGTCCATCATGATAGCATCAATGAGCTAGCACATTTCACGGACTAGGAATGAGGCCTGATGAAATGTGTCCGGCCGTCGAGTCCAGAGCATCCCTGCGCTACCACAGAAATGATAGTTCAATGAAGCTCATTGCCAGCAACCGTCCTTTCTGAAACCATAGTTGCTCATCCGTCCATGCTCGTCTAAGAGACGATTATATTCGACCGGATTTACGCCCGGGTCGGGGATGGGCTTGTCCAAATTGAAGGGTTTGTGGGCCAGCGTCGACATGGAAAACAAGCAGTCCTCGACGAAGTGGAGCTGCAGGGTGTACAACTTCTTGTCCCTGAGATTCTGGGCGTGCCTCTCGCTGTCCCGAACTTTCTTGCAATATTTGGTTGACTTCCGAGCCTCCTTCAACTGCTGTTTGAAGGCGTGATGCTCATCAGTGATGCCCGGAGGCAAGCGGCGGCGGCCACCCTTTGCATCCATGGCTCTCTGCTCCTCGAAAACGATCTCTTTGTAGAACTTATCGCTTAGTCGGTTCCACTGCCAACGGCTGTTGAAATGCACCTCTGCCTCGGGGCCGTAGTTGTAATCGGCATAGTCACCCGTGCTGATCGGTACCCGGCAGGGATGACTGCGTTGAGGGCCTCCCTTCCGATAATCAAAAGCCGCAGTGGCTGCGGCACGGTCCCAGCGCCAGCGAGCCATCGAGGCGCGCGTGGGCTCGAGATCTCGGGGAGGCGGAGGGCAGTACAACTGCTCCGGCGGAGTGCCTGTTTCCCAGTCGTACTCGGCGGTGTTTTGTGGAGGAGGGTGGAAATCGAGGAAGTACATCCTTACCCAGTCCGCGCACCTCACGTCTTCCAAGGCCTTGTCCAAAGTGGGCTTCCTATACGAAATGAGCGTCTGGAAGTTTGCCTCGTCTCGCTTAAGTCCCGCTCGCCAATGTCGAAGAGCGGCCTCTTGCCACAACCGGAGATGGCTATCTTCCATCGTCTCGACGTACCGCTCCATCTTGCAGCTCCAGCAAGCGTCGCGGCGGATGGGAAAGAGAGATACGGGGAAGGTCGAACCACACATGAGGCACTTCTCCGACTCTCGCCAGTAAGTCCCAGACATACCGTGAGGCAGGTACCTCGCCATGGCGCTAGGAATGTGGGGGTGTGCCTGGTTGTCCCCAGTCAAAGCGGCCGTAAGGTCGTCCGCGAACCTATCCCAAATGACCTTGATAGGCTTCTTACCTACAGCGAGTTCATGCTCGTAGGTGATCAAAGTCTCTCGGGCCTTTATAGCCCAGAGAGCGTCGGGGCCGGGTAACCGGCGGACGAAGCCCCAAAATGACGAACTGTCGCTTAGCAAGTCCATACCCACCTTGTTGGCGAGGTCCCGACACTGGATGATTAAAGCGAAGACAGCCTTTGGCGCGTTGAACGTCGGCTCGTTGTAGGTAACGCCGTATGAGCCTAGACGTGGGCCCGATTCGGGGCCATGGAAAAAAAATGGCGAGAAATCGAGACGAATGTAACTCGGCTGCCGGGCTTGTTTTCTGAGCATTTCTTGTTGGTATTTCTTCCGTTTGGCGTTCTGTTGGGAGGAAGTGGCCTGTGCCTGTGCCTGCACCTGTGCCTGTGCATGCGCCTTTGATTCCGGCTTGTCCTGGTTGGATTCCGCATCCCAGGGGTTGTCGGACATGTTCTGAGAGGGTCTGCTCTCCAAGAACCGCGGGTGGCGGTCAATAACCTCGAGTAAAGGCCTTAACTTGGTGATATCTAGTAGCAAACACCGAGTGATTGTAACCGTATCTAGTTTCGGCATTGTGTTCACCATCATTTCAAACATGCCGACGTCGAAGAATGGGAGCTGGTCCAAGGCGATGGAACGGAAGGTTGATGGAATCTGCGTAACCGCGTTGCCTACCAATATACGATTAGTATTAGTTACCATATAATAACTGGAACACTTACAAAGCTGCATCATATTCCTAAAATCAGTCTCATAAGGTTTCTTAGGAACCTTCGGTTCGTCTGAGGTTGGGGTGATCACCAAGGTGTTGGCCCGAAAGTCACCGATCTGAGTGATACGGCCTTGCTCGTCTTTTTCGCCATAGTGATCGATAGGGAATACGCCGGATCTGGAATCCCAAACATCCTACATATGAAAGTTAGCACCGTAGATTAAGGATTGGGCTCGAGTATATAGAGAGAAAAAACCCCAAAAAAAAAGGCACGCACAAATTTGGCCCGCGTACATGCGGCCACCCGTTTGCAGGACATGGCCAATGCCGTGAGATCACCGATGCTGGGATTGATGAGATCGATAATCATCCTGCCGAGCTCGGAGATTTTTAGAAGTTGGACCAAAACCGAGTTGTCGTTAACCGAGCTGATCTCACCAGCATCGACAGCTGAATTCTAAAACAGGGTTAGCACGTTTACCGCTGTGAGGTCGGTCAAACTTACCGCAATAAAGAGTTTGGGGGAGCTCGGGTTGTTCAAATTCGCTAATCTGGCTGTGAAGAGCCGCGGCTGGCGTGCGTCCCAGTACTGCTTGTGCAGTGCCTTCCGTTCCTCCTCAGTCATCTGGGGAGATGGCAAGCGAAGCTGGCTCTTGCGGTGTCGGACAAGCTGTTTGTACAGTTCATCCTCGGCGTCTAGACCGGGCATTGAATGGTAGGCAGGACGGTCATACGTCCAAACGCAGTAATCGTTCAACGGTTTGGGCTACATAAGGGCTGGTCAGCATCCCCAACAACATCGAACAGATGACTGAATGGTCACTTACGTATTTCAAATCCATATCCCACGGCATTGTCATACCGGGTTCTGGATCTTGTGCCTGTGGGGCATGGATGGGCTTTGAAGATTAGAGAAGGTGTCGATGGCATGGGAAACCAAACATACCCGAGGATTATTCATCTTGAAGCAACCGTGGTCGTTGCTCTGCTTGGGCTGCTGCTTCGGACGATGGTAACCGTCGGGGACGTCTAATTTAGCGGTTGTCGTTTCAGGTGAGGTAGCGGCTTTGTTCTTGTTCTTGCGGTTGCCGGCACTCGATCGACTTTTCTTCTTTTGGGGCTTGGTCCCTTGGGCCTGTGTTTGTGGCTTCGGGTTTCCTCGGTTTTCTTGGGGCTGCAGAACAGGACTGGAGTCAGCAATTTTGGCCGTGCGGCCTTTCTTCGATTTTCGAGCCATTATGAGGAGATGATGAATGTCCCGTGTTGATGAGTGGGGGTTATGTTGATGAATGTGTTGTGATGTTGAGAGGATCGGGGAAGACAAGATGTCTGATGATGGGGGAAATGCGAAGATGTTCAAATAGAGCTACTTAAAGAATCGGGAAGAGGCCAGACCTGACCACCAGATTCTAATGACGTGGTGATTATGGCGGATTGTGGAGCTGGCGACCTGAGGTTCGATTGGGAAGGAGCTGCTTGGTATCGCGCTCCGATGCCAATGAACAGGTACCTAAGTACCGGAGGTATGGCTCTGGCCCTGCAGGTGAGAGGAATGGAGACTTTGGAGAGGAGGAATAAGGCAGTCTCTGATTTCTGCTTCGCGAGGGGAAGACCTCGGAGTAAATGCGAAGTGGCTTCACGAGAGTGACGATATTCATGAGAGATAGGAAGGAATCGATGACTTACAATTTTCCAGTAGTGGGCGAGTGGACGAGTGGGCGACCCGGCTTGCGCGAAGGGTCTCAAGGGTAGGGGAGACTTTGTGGTGGGAGAACTGGGTGGTTGAGGAAAGGGTTTTTCAACGAGGATGAGGGCAAGATTGAATATGAACAGTAGATGGGAAAGCCACGGGTTCTGAGTTCTCACGGGAAATATTGTGGAACGGAAAACAGTAGTTTAGGGCTGGCGCTGGAGAATCAACGCTCAGATGAAAGCCGTCGAACCTCTTATTACAGCGAGAACAAGAGGTAACTAGCAACATCTTCGTACTTGGCACAATACTTCCTGGTTCCTGTTATTGTTTCCCCACTCCTTACGCTGCAATTCCCATCACAGGGACATATAATAGTCGTAACTATTCTAGGTCCTATGTAGTCTCGGCTAGTCTCCGACTCTAGCAGCCGGGAAGCACCTGACAGGGCATCGGGGGATGTCGGGTGTGGGTCTCAGTCTGTCAGATCTCATGTACTCTGTGTCGCCAATGCTGAGAGATCGGGAGGCTGAAAAACTTGCAACTGTACCCTTACACCCGATCAAGGATTCAAACCGAGGCCCAAAGCTACACAGTGGGTTCCTGACCACCACGGTCCAGATGAAGCTGCGAGGCTCTCTCCAAAGACAGAAGTGACTGCCACATGATGATACCATGTCCAACCGACAATTGGACGAGATAGGACCACTATAACGGTTCACAACATCCCCCCCCCTCCCCCCCCCCCCCAAACCGTTATCATATTGCAAGAGGCAAAAAAGGCTGTAAATAGTAAATAGCTATGATTGGATGGGCACACGAAAGAGCATACGAAATATACATCGGCCATGTAGGATGTAGGGTATATTGACAGGACGCGCTAATACCAGCTTGCTAGGCCTCGCCGGCCGCTAAAAAACATGGGCTTCAAGGCCGGTCTCCTAATGAGATTGACTGACATAACAAGCCAAGAAACCAAATTCTCCGCGGCACCGAACCGTGGTCGGGTAGGAACAGCGTGTTCCCAGCCTTGCTAGCGTTGGAGTTGACTGATACAGCATTGAGGGAAAACAAGTCACGAAAATCGAAGGTAAATCTTCGAAGGCTTGTGGTATGAGGGTCTAGAATGAGAATGAGGTGGATGCAAATTGCAAAATACGTACTTGCACTGTAAAACATATCGTCACGGAAGGATGAGTGCTCCCAAAACTAGGATGGAGTCCCGAAGCAACAATGTGAGCCCTGGCAATGTGCATGTACCTATGCAGGTCTGGGACCAAACTGGGTCTGAACAGATGGAAGATAGAAGTAAACCTTCGCCTCAACGTTGTTCAACAGTGGCTAACCCGTCTATATAGAGCGCGCGAGAAATATGCCTGCAGAGGCTGCATGATGCGTAGATGAAATGCCAGGAAAAAGAATGTGTCCGACGAGCGGTTAGGCTGGATCAACAGCAGACCGAGCAGCCGGCTAGAGTTTGTTTGGGTTGGTGTTGACATTTGAGACCACCCTCGCCGACGGTGCCTTCGAACGACGTTGTTTTGTCCCCACAGACCACTCGGGCATCCTGACATCCCAGCAACACCCCTGGGCCCTTCCCAGCAAATGCAGCCAGGGGTTGTCAATTATGGGGTTCAAGATGGATCCAGAGGCAATGAGGATTGGGTCAACGTTGACATCCCCGGTTACCCCTGAATAAGCCCTGATTGCAGGGGAAACCAGCGTGAGGGGAGTGCGACTCTAGGCCATGAATTGAAATGGTAAAGAGATTAACTGAACGATCCAACAATGGCAGAAAGAGCAGCAAGGACGCCTTATCAGAAAAACGGTCAGAGGGTTGCATTATCCATCCTGGAAGTGCTCGTTACTTGCCGATAAGAAACATGTTTTGTGACAAGGCAGAGGAGGCGTGCATTAACCTGGAGAAAACAGCAATAACTAACTAGAGGAATAAGAGAAGTATATTGAACCTCTTTTGTAACTGACTGCTCACCTTGAACCTTGAAAGCACTTGCTTATAAGAAGCCTTCATCCCAACGCGCAAAAGAAAAGTAAGCGAGTCAGCCAACTCTCCTCTGCCCTGATGCCCCAGCCTCTCGACAACGAGCACTGAGAGGAGGAATAGAGAAGATGTCTCGATTCCGGATCACCACGGGAGGCTTGCCCCATTCGCTTCCCCGCAGCATCTGTGTGTACATGTACCCATGTACAACGAACTCTACAATTGTTGTGGTACAAACCACGGGATGCCACGGTTCGACAAACGAGTCGCGTGCCGCTCTTGCTCAATTGGAACGGAATGGCCGTGCAACCCCCCCTTCCCGCCCCTCACCAAGCATTCGCACGGCGGCAACGAAACCTGTCGGGCGATGACGATTGGAGAATTGAGGGGCCTCAGATGACAAGAGAGGCGCTGGCTGGCTGGACCGTTGAGCAAGTAACGATGGCCTGAGGAGCTGTTGGTTGGCCGACCCCGGGATCCGAGAAGGTTAGCCAGAGAACCTCTGCAATCCCGAAGGAGGGGTGGGGGAGAAGGCATTGAGAAGAAGCGGGGAGATGGGCGCAACAACCATCCTGCATCTCGGCTGTGCAGACCCTCCCACCCTTTCTTGTGAATGAACAAGTGATCTCGTGAAATCGGTCAGGGCTGCAGCCGGCCCAAGTGGCGTGCATAAATGGGCGTCCTAGGCGAGGTAAGAAGTTCGCTGTGGTCGGACCAGAGGTGGTCAGGCGGGCCGGCTGAGACGAAGGGCAACAGTAGGTTGGTCGAGGTTTGTTCCCACCCCCCACACATTGGTAATGCAAATGGTGGAAACTTGTAACTAAGTCGATATACTCCGAACTGTACTTGAGGAGGCTGATTTGTGTAGTGTGGTGTCGTGTCAGGGCATGAAGGAGGGATCGGGAGGGATCGGCAGCGGCCGTTATCGACGAGAGCTCGATAAGTGGGTGTGATGGGAGGATGCTTCTGCGCAAGGCGGGTAAGTCGAAGCTAGTTACGGTAGTAAGCAGAGATTTTGAGTGCAAATGATGCAATGTGTCGGCTTTCAATGAGCAAAAGAAATACTCATTATGGGAATGTCAATGTCGCCATCCCAGAGAGAAAATCGCCATCTCTTCTGACGGAAACACGATCCGCCTTTGAGTCACCTTGGGGAGGTTCGGAGGGTTGATGTGACTTGATGGTGGTAGATCCGAAAGTTCATTGTCGGTCAACCATTTCTGGGTGAGGCCCCGCAAGTGGAAACGTCGAAGATCTGGATCAACGCCATCAACTACGCTAGCTGCAAGAGGGCTAGCGTACCTTGGTCACCCAGGCTCTTCCCGTGTTATCTCCATGAGCCTGTGAAAGCGTGAAAACGGCAAGAGGACTTGAGTAAAAAGGGTCTAGATTGTACGCTTCATTGAAGATATGGCCTGGACATTGAGTGGTATTATGCAAGGGAGCCGGCTATATTTAAAACCTATCTCATTGTCCGGGTTCACCATCTACGTACAAGAGAGCGAAGCTGGTTTTTGAAGTTGGCTGAAGGGCGTGGATCGTGGGTGGGGGAAAGTCAAGACAAGATCAGAGGGGCCCCACAGGCCATAACCCCGAGCTCCATGCCGTCAACAGGAGACTTCGCTTGTGTTCGACGGAGGCGGGCGGTGAGTCTGGAGGAAGAGCTTGCCAGGAGCCAGCAAAACAACGGAATATTGGGTAGTTACCTCACTGTTGTTGACACGATGCACCCGATAAAGCAGTAAGCCGACAAGCGTCTACCTGTCTGAAGGTCTGGAAATGATACGGAGTTGGCTGCTGGTGCGTGCCCGAAAAAGCTTTTGAAACTCCGAGGAATGACATCTGACTGTCGAGTCGGCATCGAAATTGGGTGATGGGAGAAGAATTAGCCAAATGTTGGACCCGCACCACAGCCCACCTGAAGCCGAGAGGGACCAATCGCTTCATGAGGAAACACCTTGGAGACTCGTGGGTGGCACGGGACCCTCAGGAGACTGCAGCTGTAAGGAATATGCGGGTTGCATGACCAATGCACAACCTTGGCTGGCTTGGAGCGAGGCCAGACCTGCAAGAGGCGTCATGCATGCTTCGATGGTGGCTACCAGAGCTTTATAGCGGCTTGTAATTGTAGAGCCCTCTCGACTGACAGCCAGGCAAACGCTGATGAAGATGTCGAGTGCGTCAACTGTCTGAAGGCCCGATAACCAACCTGAGTTATTCGAATGCAACGACAAATAAACCCCTAGTTAGTACTTGGCGTTGTTGTTTGAAGGGTTGGCCTGTTTGATACCCACTGCCCATTGCACGCCGAACCTGTCATCAGCCCATGAAAGACAGGGAAGAACATCCGACCCGTGGCAGACAACTTTGTTATTGGGACAGTCAGAATGACTCCCTTCAGAATACACAGTACGAAAGTTATGTGGTCGTTCTATCACATAATTCTGGTTGACCATCCTTTCGTGGCAGGCCTTTCAAAGCTGGGAAGGGTGTAATAGGGGAGGGCACGGAACCTCGCTTGGCCATGATCTGAGGCACACCGACATCTTCAACACTCCCGAAAATCACGTCCACTTTTCGCATCCCGGCTCGAGTCTGATTCAAATTACTTCGTGGAGCCGCTGCAGGAACGCGCTGCGAGCACCCGTAAGTTGGAGAGGATGAGAGAAAGGCTTGGACTCGAGGACAAGCCATCATGACAAACCAGTTTTTCTTTGCAAATGCCGAGAAAGGCTCGGGTTGCAAGATTTGAGTGTCGTCTGAACTCTGGCAGTCTGGGTCCGAATCGCCATGTGGACTGTTATGTTATCGATGGCGAAAATGGCAAACTGAACGCAAAGTTAGGGAAACGGTGGACCCTCAAATTGATTACACCCAAAACAAATTTTACAGGTGGAACCTCTGGGCACCGGTAGTGGCCGGCGAGCATATCCACACAGTATGCAGGAAACAAAGGGGACTGCTCTGCGACCAAGAGCGGGATTCTTTGTGGTTCTCGATTTGCAAGATCGTCAAGCCATGTCAGAGCGAACCAAGAGAGTCACGATTTGTGCACCAAAATGATTGTATAATGAATAAATTCGAATTTGTGAACGCAGTTAACCCTTTGAGACGCCAGCCAACAGGCGCTTCAAAAAGGTGCCGTAACATGCAAACTGGGGACGGCTGAGGTTGATGGAGACTGTGTTTGATGAGGGTAACCTGGAAAACCAGATCGACAAGGAGACTGGCCGTATCCTGGCGGAAAAAGACGAGCAACTTGCAAGCGAAGTCACCCTGACAAGGGCTAGACAGCGTCTGCCACCCTCATGAGAGCTTGACGCCTGAATACGGTGCTCATCAGTGGGTTCCATAACATGCCGCAGGGAGCTGCGCGACGTGCAGCGAACATGCCGGTACTCGCAGCTCAAGTACCCCCACTGCTGTGGGCTGACATTCACCCCAGAAGTGCACTGGCCATTGGGCTGCAGCGTTTGTGGGTCGCTTGCTGGGCTGCAGCTTGAACGCGTGCAAGGGCAAGCTTGGATCCTTGAATTCCTTGTCCAGAAACGGCTTGAAGCAATTTCGTGTTCTGGTCGCGACTCGACCTTGGCCTATCCATTGACAAGCCGTTGCACGCCCCTTTTGCCAGCCCAGGGCACGGCAGCACTTTCCCGTGACGGTGATTGGGGCGACTGGCCGTTCTTGCCACACAGAGCTTGCTTCCGTTTTGAGAACAGATCCAAAATTGAACCAGTCACCTGGGGGCAAAGGCAGCAGGGTCTGCCTGGAGGGGGGGAAAGGGGGGGAAAGGGGGGGGGAAGGAGGGGGGCTGCACAAAGCTCCCTACACAGTCACAGTAGCCAAGCCGTTGCCGTTTTTCGAGAATGGCCCCAGCCGTTGCCGTCCCATCACAAACCGTGACCTGCCTCGTGCCGAAATAAGTAGCCCCAATCAGCCCATCACGCGGCAGGCCCTCCTCCCTCTCTCTTTCTCTTTTCCCTTTGCACACAACGCGCCTCGTCGATACCCCTAAGAATCAGTGGAGGCCACGCCGTGATAATAATTCGTCACTCAGAGGCACCCGTTTTTTCCTGCTCTCTGTCCTCTCCGTGATACCCGATACCCATTTTCTAATTTTCTTGAGATACTCTGCTTTTCTAGCAAACTCTCAAACAGCCACAATGGCCGACGTTCAGAAGCCCGCCGAGGTGGCGAAGGGAGATTCCCGTCGCCGAACCTGTTGTTGAGACCACCCCCGCTGCCGAGACTGCTGTCGAGTCCACCGAGACAGCTGCGGCCCCCGCTGTTGAGACTACCACCGAGGCTGCCACCGAGACTCCGGCTGCCGCCGAGACCGAGGCCGCTGCCGCCCCGGCTGAGGACGCTAAGAAGGACGAGGAGGTAAAGCCCGTTGAGGAGGGCCACCTCGAGCACAAGGGCCAAGGCGCCAACTTCCCCAAGTGAGTCTCAGCCCCATGTCGCATTGACATTATCATTATCGCGTCGCTAATCCAGCGATTAGGAACTTCCTGTACACCAAGCAGCTGTTCTGGTTCGGCACTGAGCCTGTCGACCTCAAGTCAATTACCTCGTTCAAGGCCGACAAGGTCGCTGATGTTGCTCACCATGTCACCTCGTGGGCCGCCGAGACCGGCAAGGGTCTCCTCTTCTACAGCGAAAAGGGCGACAAGGCTGCCCCCAACGGCGCCATCCACCTCGTAAGATGACCAATGAATCATTCGTATTGTAGCGCCATCGCTAACGCTTCACAGGCCGACGCCTCAGAGCCTGCCGTCGATGGCACGAACAAGTTCTACTTGACTGCCAAGGGACACAAGCACACCTTCAAGGCTGCCAACACTGCCGACCGTGACAACTGGGTCGCTCAGGTGAAGGCCAAGATTGCCGAGGCCAAGGAGCTTGCTGCCACCGTCACTGAGTCTGAGACTTACAAGAAGACCCTTGAGGGCCTAAAGCCCGCTCCTGTCAAGAAGGAGGAGAAGGCTCCCGCTGCCGAGCCTACCGCCACTGAGCCGGCTGCCGCCACTGAGGAGGCCGCTCCCGTCGCCGAGACGGCTGCCGCTGAGGCTGTCAAGGACGAGCCCAAGAAGGAAGAGGAGAAGACCGAGAAGGCTGAGAAGGAGGAGCCCAAGCGCCGCTCTGCCAGCCGCAAGCGTGCCTCCATCTTCGGCAACTTCCTTGGCAAGAAGGAGGAGAAGAAGGCCGTCGAGGCTACCGAGGCCAAGCCTGCCGATGCCGAGACCCCGGTCGCTGAGACCAGCGTCGCCGAGGCTGTTGAGGCTCCTGCCGCCGAGACCGCCGCCGAGCCCGCTGTCGTTGAGCCAGTCGCCGCTGAGGCCCCTGTTACCACTGAGGCTGCCACCGAGGCTAAGCCCGAGGATAAGGTTGAGGAGGCCAAGGAGGAGGACAAGAAGGAGGCCGCCGAGACCCGGCCCACCCAAGTCAAGCGCACTAGGTAAGAAACAAGATACCTAGAAGTCAATTGCCATCTGCTAACAGACTCGAAGCATCTTCGGCAACCTCTCTTTTGGCAAGAAGAAGGCTGTTACCCCGACTGAGGTTTCTCCCTCCAAGGAGATCCCCGCCACGACTGAAGCTGTCGCCGAGACTGCCCCAGTGATCCCTGCTGTCGAGACCAGCGAGCCTCTCTCCGCCGAGGTTTCTTCGCCTGCGACGGTCCCTACCGAGGCCGTTGAGGTCCCCGCTGCCGTCAATGGCGAGGCCAAGAAGGAGGTCAAGAGCGAGAAGCGCAAGAGCTCGCTGCCGTTTGCCTTCGGCAAGAAGAAGGATGCCTCGTCCGATGAGGAGGCCGAGAAGCCCAAGTCCCCCTCGGCTTTCTCGAAGCTCCGTGCCACCATCAAGGTAAGTCGATCACAAGTACAGAACTATAAATTCTTGGAGTCGCGTGGGACTAATACATCCGCAGGGCAAGGGCAAGGCTGAGAAGACCGAGAAGGCTGAGGAGACCCCCGCTGTTCCCGCTCTTCCCCCCACCGAGGGCGAGACCGAGGCCGAGGCCAAGGCCGATGAGCCTGCCACCGAGGATGCTGCCAAGCCCGCCGAGGTTGAGGCCACCGCCGCCGCTCCGGCCACCACCGAGGAGGAGACTCAGGCCAAGCCCGCGGAGCCCACCCCGGTTGTGACCGCTGCCGCCTAGGAAGCGACGCGTCCCAGCCTTTGAGGTTCCGGCCTGCTATGATCATGAGCATCGGATCGGACGGGAGATGAAGTACGACCCAAAAATAATTAGAGCGAATTCTCCCAACAACGCACGCCACGACGAGAGGCACAATACCCTCCTTTTTTACTACCCTCGGGTTTGGTCGGGATCGGATCTGCATTTCGAGATACCCAAGTCAAGATTGGTTCTCTGATACCCTCAGCTCCTGGCTGCACGCGGACAAAGAGCAATCCCTCGGTGTCCCGCACATGGATCACCGCATAATTTGTTTCGCTGCTGCTACATGCTTTTATTTCTTTTGCCTTTTATGCTTGACGTTGCTCTTTCCTGTCTTTGTTCCTGTGTTTTTGATACCCAGAGTATACCCCCGCCTATCCTCCCTCAGCAAAGAGAAGGCACAGTCGTTTAGGTTGGCTTTGGGTCTGTCTGTCCGATGTGAAGGACGATGTGGAAGTGGTGATGGGAGATGAAGAAAATCACAAAAGATAAGATAAAAAATTGGAGTGGTGGTGTGGCAGTTGAGGAACGGGACCATCGGATGGGTGTTCTGTCCTTGCTTCTCGCCACTTAGGGTGAAGATTTAAGGGAGGGCTGACCCAAAACTCGCTAATAGCTAATAATATACCTCTCGCGTGTTGAGTTCGCCTATTTATGTCGTTCCTTGCACTTGCTCCAATGGTGACTTGGATGTTGTGTCCATTGACCGGTCGTGATATGTGGATAAGCATTTATCTAGTATGGTTGATCCGAATATGTTTGTTCATGAAGTCTGGCTCTGCAAACAGATTCGGTGACAGACGGAAACTGCCCTCTATTTTACATGTTTTGGGCGAGATTCTGCTTGGCTACTTCCTAAGTGAAGAGACATTAGCTATTTATCACCCTCACCATAGCCGTCTTTACCTCCCATCTCACACCGCGAATCATCCTCTTATTGATTACCCCAAACTCAACATATCCTGCAAGGTGGTATATCCTCCGCCCCTTCACAGATGCCTATCAATCCCCTTTCTTTCACATTCCCATCACTGGTTCCCCAGGCTCGCTCCCCCGTTGACTCCCAACTCCTTCCCCTTTTTCTAACGCCCCAAAGCAGCTGCAGATGTGAGTGACGGACAGATCACAGACGCCATAGTATCTTCCCACACTAATCATCCATTCACCCATTACACCCTCCTCTTCCCCAACCATTGCTCAACACAACAACACAACGCCGTAGTGTTTGCAATCGACCTAGCCCCATCGCCTGTACGCATCCTCTCAGAACGCCACCCATCCATCTACCGCTCTTAAGGTAAGGGGCAAAACCCTAATCCCAACTCCCCCCTCCGACAGAAATTTCCATCAGTGTCAACATGGCTTCGGCACCATGTTGTACTTGAGGACGAGCTCCTCGATTTTGGGTATCAATTCCGAGATTCGAAAGGGTTTTGAAATGACGCCGTCCTACGTGGACATGCAATGGTCAGCAACGGCATCATAGCCAGCATCAAAGGAGGGTGGCATATGAGAGCAAAGAACTTACAACGCCCGCGGCCTTTGCGTTTTCCACCTGCTCCGGCCGCGCATAGGCAGTGACGGCGATAATGGGGATGTGATGCGTGATGATTCCCTCGGCCTCCAGACGCCTAATCTCGCGAGTGCAACTGATTCCGTCCATGATAGGCATCTCAAGGTCCATCAAGATAACCGATATATTTTGGCAATTGCTGCTGTGGTTTGTCGACACGGAATCCGGCGGCGCTAGCCCGCTAGGCTTAGTCTCCGGAGCGGCAGCGCATTCGTACCAGAAGCGGGAACGGCGTAGCTCGGCGAGGGCCTCGCCACCATGGTTGGCGACGTACGTGTTGCTCCCCGCAAACTCTAGCTGCCGCTTGAGGACTTTTTGGTTTACCAGGTTGTCCTCAACCACCAGGATATCGAGCCGGGCAGGTTCAGGCTGCACCATGGGGGATGGTGGTAGTGGTTGCTGTGCGGCCTCGGTGGTTGGCGTGGCAGGTCTTGCTGGGGATGGTATCTGTTCCAACGGTACATCATGCAAAGGTTCCGGGAGATGTATGTTGTCGTTAAGCATGGGCGTGGGCGTGGGCGTGGGTGTGGACACGGGTGTAGGAAGTGGAAAGTCGGCTTCGGGATGGTCCGACTTCCGGCCCTTGATGTAGAAGGCAAATGTGCTTCCTTGCCCTTTCTGAGACTGCAGCGCAATTTGACCGCCCTGCAGCTCTGTCAATGTCCGGCAAATGTAGAGTCCCAGACCGGAGCCGCCGTATTGAACGTGCGTTCTCGGGCTTGCTTGGCTGAACTGCTGTAACAAGATTTGCTTTTCATTGTCATCCAACCCTGGGCCGGAGTCGGTGATGGAGAAGTGGAGATTGATTTTCTCACCACCAGCCCATTCGACTTCATCGGTAAAGTCCTCTGGTGTTGGCTTTCGGGGAGGGACATACGAGAAGCCGTCCTCCCACACGTCCGTAGATGCGCCGATATTGACCGCGATCAACCGCGCCGGCTGGTTCTGCGTAAATCGAATGGCATTGGTCATCAGGTTGATGAGAACCTGGCGAAGTCGCGAAGGGTCCAGTTTCACCCAGTCGACGGCGAGGTCCTGGTACGACTTGTCGACGGTCATTTGACTATCGATGCCGTTCGTGATGAGTTCAGTCTCGAACATCTTGAGTACATCTTGCACTACCGTGACGGGCTGAACATCGACAGGCGTCACGAGTAGCAAGTTCGAATCCAGCTTGGATAGAGTCAGGATATCGTCCACGATCCGCTTTTGGTGGTTTGCGCACAGCGATATGATGCTCGCTGCTTCGACACAGCTTTCAACCAAGGCATTCATTGCACCAGGGGCGCGAATCGATGGGTCTCCTTGGGTGTATCGACTCAAACCTGACGTTATTTCGTCGGCGCATTGCAGCATGGCGCTCAACGGATTCCGCATTTCATGACTGGTTATGTCAATGAAGTTCTCCTGCTGGCGCTTTAGCTCAACCGCCTCGTCCCGTCGCTGTTTCTGAAAGCTTTCGGCCCACTTCTGTTGCGAGATGTCGGTGATACAGCCGAATATGCTCTTGAGTCCCCCGGTCCCGTCCCTCTCGGGGTACGCGCTCATCAGAACCCAAACATCAACCAGATGGCCATCAATGAGTTCCCTGGAACCGTTAAATCGGAATTCGTGCGTTACGGCTCTCTTGTCTTCCACAACACGACGCCATGCGAGTTCTGTGCCGGGCCGGTCTTCGTCTCGGATGCTCTGCATCCATGCGGCGAAGGTGCTGGCGTTTCTCGGGAGCCCAGATATCCTGTACCACATTTCATTGCAGTAGTTGATGTGCCCATTACCATCCGCAATGAACAAGCCGACAGGCCCAAACTCGGCCATCCTCGTAAAGCGATATTCGCTCTCGACGGCCTCCTGTGTCCGCAGGTGAAGCTGCAACGAGAGTTCTTGACGATCGAGAGCAGCCAAGCGGGCAGCCTTCTGTCCGCGTCTGATTTCCTCCTCAAACAAAACCACAGAGGCTAAAGAAGTGGCGAGTTGACGGGCAAGGAGGTTGACGAAGAGTTGGTAATCCTCGTTATAGAGGCGCCGTGGGTTCGTTCCCAGGACGACAAACCCGACCACTGCATCTCCTGCCGTGGTGAGATGTACGGGGAACACGACTATAGTACGACACGGATCTCCATACCCACCCCACGCGAGGCCTTGTAGCAGAGCGGTTGGTAGGGTGCCATCCACCTCGCTAAGTACGATAGGAGTCTCCGGATGAGCCATCGACTCCCTCAGGTATGGCGCGAATCCCTCGTCGCTGAAGCGCAAATCGATAGACGAGACGGCGCAGCGATGGCCGTCGGGTGTGCCGATGGAGCCCTCGAGGATGATTTGCGGCGGATGTGCGAGGCTCCCTGAGTTTAGAGATGAAACTTCACTCTCGCTGTCTTCGCCGACCGAGTAGATGAGGGCAAAGGGAACATCAAAGTCATTGTACTCCAGGCCTTTCTGAAGCTGGGCCCAAAACCCTTTCACGTCGCGGGCTTGCGCCGTCTTGATACCGACCTCGCGAAGTGTTAGCATGCTACGCTCGACGACCCTCCGGCGCGTATTCTCGAACGCGGGGTTGTAGATGGCCACCACCGTCCCATCGCCTCCCACCAAAGGAATGACTGCCCAGTTGAAAAATGCTTCCTCCATAAATCCGTGACGGGAGACGAAGAGCGTGTCATCGTTTTTCATTGTCGCATACCCACTATCCCAAGCGGCATCGAAGACTGGCTGAATCTGGCCCCATATCTCGGGCCAGGCGTCCCGATAGCGAGAGCCCATTAGCTTGGGGTGCTTTTGGCCGGCAAGCGAAATGTAAGCTTCGTTGTAGATGGCGACATAATCTCGGCCCCAGTAGAGGGCCGCCGGGTGCGGGCTGCCCATGATCATAGAAGACATGATCCGCAACTCGATCGGCCAAAACTCGATCGGCCCAAGCGGGGTAGACGCCCAGTCGATCGACCGTGCGAACCGGTGGTGTGCGGGGAGGCCGGGGTCGTCGATGGGAATACGGGTCCAGTCGAACGTTGTATGTAGCGGCGGAGATGAGAGCGCTAGGTCATCGAAAGGGCGGATAACAGTGTCGGCAGTTGAGCCAGTCCTGCTTCGAGGCTCAGAGTGGGAGCGAGGGCCCCTCTGCTCGGCTCTTCCAAAATAATCGCTGCGTTCTCCGGGTGAGATTGACCTCTCTTCTGGCCAAGGCCCGGTTGGTAACGGTTCGGCGGAAGGCGAGGGCCCAGAGGCTTGCGTTTGGTTGGGGGAGGTCACTGTGTTGAAGGTCATGTTCTGGTACCCACGAATTATCCGGAAGCGCCTCCGGAGTGTCGAAAAAGTCCAGGGGAACCCAGCATAAGGTGCAGATTGGGCAATAGCAGCGGTACCTGACTTATCTCCTACTAAACTGGCGGCCCACGCCTTGAATTGTGAAAACTCGGGGCTGTGCCGCGGATCTGCTTGGTTGAGCTGTAACAACTGCAAAAGGCCGGGCGTTGTCCTCAGCGAGACGTTAGCGTAGAGGAGATGTAGAGGGCCAGGGTGGAAGTTCGCGGGGTCGTTGAGATCGATGATGAAGGTCGGCCGCTCATCTTCTTCCAAAAGCTCGACCACCCCTATCCCTTGAAGAAGTTGAACCACGGATGGCTGAGGCCAACCATCGGGGCTGCGAGATAGACTGGAAAGCTCGGTTGAGGACCAGCTGCGCGGTGTGCCGGATGACCTTGCGGGACTTGTCACGCTGACTTGCCCTTTCGGCAAGCGGAGGGTGGTCACTTCACCGAGAGCCTCGTTGCCGCCCATTATAGACGGAGCCACTTCCGGGATAGGAAAGCTCGGTGGGCGGTTCAGCAGGCGTCTCGGCGAGTTGGAGAAGAAGAGAGGAGATGCCACAGCCGACTGGGCGGAGATCGTCTCGTCCAAGGGGGATGGCAGCGAGAGATTTCCGGGAGCCACAAGCCGGGGCTTTTTGGTCGGCGACCCGAAAGGGCGTACGGCGCTCTTGTCCGTCGCTGAGCACCTCTTTCCCTGAGTGCCTGCTGGCGGTGGCCCCGTCGAGGCTCCCGGGCCCCGAGTTCCGGACGGGAGAAGCCCAACCTTAGATATTTCTCCTGTCAATGAGCGAGCTACCAGACCATGCCGGCCACTATGTGGCGTTCGCGTCCACTGGTCGTCTTGTTCTTCGATCGTCCCGACAAGCTCGTCTAGGTGATGACTGCTGGGAATGCTAATTCTGCTGTTCTCCGTGCGGCGAGCAGGGTGAGCGGAGGGAACTGAACAGCCGTTGGTCGACGATGCGCCGGGAGGGACAGAGCGGAGCTGGTCTGGTGGGGGTGAGGCAGCGGCGTGTGGAGGAGATATACAGGGCTTGGGTTGGTCTTGAAGTGTCATGTCGGAGGCAAACCGGCCTGTCTCGACGCTCTCCCAACAGGGGGGGGCTGCCGAGGCACTGGCTGATTTCCTGAGCGACCTACACGGCTACGGAGAGCTGAGTCCGTTACCGAAGGCCCGGGACCACAAGGAACGGCACCGGAGCAGATGATGACTGCACACGTTATCGGCCAGTCCAGCCCAACAGCGGGGCCCCATTGGCACGCAAAAGTCAAATCAAAAATTAAATAGAAGGAGGAAAGGAGGACGGGAGTGTAGGTGCCGGGGACGGGATGGTCAAGATCGGCGAGCCGGGGCTGGTTTGTGGCGAGCATACAGTTCAGCTCTCCCGGGATATGGTCTTTCGTCGCACACGGCAGCCTGTGAAGGAGGGTTTTCAGTATTCGTACCTCGAATACACTGCCTGCACCGTACGAGCGAAAGCACTCAAAGGAGCCAAGTCGGCCGCCGGGAGCGTATGTTCAAAGAATGGCAGCAGTAACGGTGGAGTTGTACACCCCACTGCAGGTAGGTGGCAGTTGAGACTCGAGGACCCGAAGGAGTGCCGTGTTCGGTTGGTGTCATTGCACACACAAAAAAAGAACCTAGGTGGAAAGCTAGAATCGACCGACACGGCCCGGGGACCATGGAATGGAAGACAGGCACTCTCCGCAGGGCACTTCGGTTGTCGCGGGGGGAAGCATCCGGTGGAAAAGAATGTTCGATCCAATGGATGTTTAGGCAGGGGCAGGCGATGCTGCACGGCACGGCATGTTCTGCATAGAGGACCTGGAAAGGAAGGGGGCAGGAAACCCAGGGCGTTATACGCAAAGAGCGACCGACCTAGGAGACGTTGCAGCAGCCAGCAGAAAGCAGCAGCAGCGATGCAATGGGGGAAGCACGGACAGGCAAGAGGCAAGGTCGGGTGGTAAGGTGTGTCTGGACAGTCGGTACCCTACCTTACATGCCCTCGTTACCTAATTACGGCCTACCTGGGCAGTAGAAAACACCCGAACAGTTCCGGCGACCGCTGGGGGATTTGTCTGCGCTGTCCCGTCTGCGCTGCATCCGATTGATGATGCACAGCAAGAACGAGGATACGGATCCGTCAACACCGCGTCCAAGTGGAGAGGAAGTCTTCGACAGTCCGCCCAGAACAGCAGGCGGCGAGCGGGAGCCCAAGCAGGCGACAGGGGGGTGCGGTCCATCGGGGTCTGGAGCTTGGAGTTTTCTTGTGCCGTTTGGTCCGCTGTGGAGCAGCTCGTTGACCCTTGCAATCACGAAGTCTCCACCCTGGCAAGAACGAGAGGGCCTGGAGGGCTTTCCATTTGGGCACATTCGCAGACCTCACCACGATCTGCTAAGGTTTTTGCCAATGGCAGATCGAAAACCGTTCATCCCTTCTGTGTTCGTCTGTTCAAAGTAACACACGCGGCGCCTCAAGGGTTCAATGGTTCGGATTTATTCGTACAGAGAGGGGCTTCCGCCTGATATCCCCGAGTGCATCATCCTAGCGACGGAAAGCGGAGGCGTGAGGGATGAATTCTGCGGGCACCGCACATTATCTGCGAGACCCCTCCTCAGTCTCTGCCAATCTGATGAGGCTCTCGTGGTTCCCACACAGCAGCGCCGACGGTTCAATGTCTGGGGAAATGTCGTGTCCCTCTGTGCGGCGCCAGTCTCTGGTTCTGGAACGGCCTATTTCTTGGCTCCATCCACGAGAGACCCTAAGCAAGAGACCAATCAATGGCCGCCCAGCCTTTGGTCTGTGTTGGAGACACAATTCCCATTCGCTGACAGCGGCATTCCGCGATTCCCATCAGCGACACAGCGCTGATCGTCAAGTTATTGTAGCCAGACGCCGATCGACGATTCTGGCGATACCGTTCAAAGGCAACCAACATCGATCGGCACCGCTTAGCTAGCGAACTACTGGGGAACCAACCTCCAACCCGCCCGTTCTATTGAAAACGGGGCGGCATAAAAAAGGCTTGAGGATGCAACCGGCCACACCACGGAAATGCCTAGTTAGCGAGGCTTTCTGGGGTCGATTATTGAGATCGCGCCTCGGCCCACAGATCGGAGTTTGTTCCGTCCTGCCTCCACTCCTGCACAGGACAACGGCTCTGTTCCTTTCCGTCTCCGGAGCAAACCTTTGCGCCTCATCCGGCATGTCGGCGACGGTCAGCCCTATGTGGTGGAATAGGGCGGAGAGCCTCATTTTAGATCAACCCAGCAATTTCAACCCTGGGCGGAATGGCCGCCTCAGAAGATGGCTGGTGCACAAGCCAGCACACGACCTAGGTAGGTATCTAGTTAATTCACCACTGGTGACGTATAACTCGATGTCTGCACCATTCTGAGGGCACCGGCCGGCCGGTTCCGGTCGGTCGGCATTGTGACTTCAAAGTAAGAAGAAAGAAGCCTATCGGTTCCGAATCACGCAGTACCCACACTCATATAATAATGGCAAAGCCGTGTTAGGGACCCGACTAGTAGGAAATCACGAAAGCGACTGGGCGCCGGATTGGACGGCAGTTGTCGCTCAGCTTCACCAACCAACCGGCACGCGGCCGCAAAGCGCCCGTCTTCGAGCTCATCACCAACCGGCCAAAAAAGCCCGGATTCTAAGTGTAGATGAAGCATTGTTACTCAATTTATTTTCCTTTTCCTCGGCTTCTATTGTCTAAGTTTTATTCTGGATCCCCTTTATTGCTACTTTTCTATTTTCTGTTGGAGTCCAGCTTTTTTTGTTCAGAGGGTGCCGAGGGTGCTCAGGTCACCTCGATGGCGGCATCGCAGAGCGCCTGGTGGGTAACACTAGCCAGCCGTCAAGAGAGCTTCGCAGGGTTTGCCGGCCATAGGCAGCTGTCACCACAAAGCCCCGCTCTTCCCACTCACCTTTGCGATTGGACAACTCGGCGCTTACACGCTGCGACAGCTCCCCCATCTGGCGCTCTCATTGGGCGTTGAGCTGTGATTGACCTGCCACCCGCATCTTCAGGCCGCTCAGGATGGCGGTGTTTGCCATGGTCGCGGGCGGCACCACAGGCGGGCGCGAGGCCTGTGAGCGCAAGAAATGAGGGCGGTCCCTTTAAATCGCGGCTGCCGTCTGTCCCCCTCCATTTTGTCCGCACTACGACAAGCGCAGCTGCGAGGGGTATTATCGCGACATTTGTCGTCGCCGACAAACGACAGCCGGAGCAGTGCTCATTCGGCAACCCGCCCGATCAATTGCAAGGATTTCGATGTGAGCCGCTCCCTGGCGGCTTCCGGCATCCGGCTTCCAACGCGGACCCTCGACGTCGAGGATTAGAGAAAGCGGCATCAAGACCAGCGGGCCACAAGGCGCGAGGCCAAGAGTCTACAGAACCGTACTCGCTTTATTGTAAATCACCGGCATTTGAGAAACAAGCAATGGCGCGCACATACCGGATTCTCCATCGGCCATGGAGAGTTAGGCGGCCGCTCTACTTCGTCATGATTCCCGAGCTGGCCGGTGTCATCACACTGCTGGTCCTCTTCGGCGTCCAGCAGCCGGACGCCTTCCGGACGCTCTTCTGGCGCATCGGCTATGAGAATAAGCTGAACTCGAACCCCAACATGATCCTCTACGCATACGCCAATTACCAGAAAATACCGACCGTGCCTTTTGTCTGGTCACGAATGTGAGTGCCCTTCGCTCTATGGGCACCTCTCCGGGAGACTGACCCCTCCAGGTTGACTGACTACAATGTCGCCATCTCCGTCGTCTCGCTTTTTATTCTCCTGGCCAAAATGATTGCCACCATCATGAAGGTCTATTATCCCATCTTCGGCACCATCATTGGTCTCGGCCTATCCGCCCTCTACACCGTGAGCGTCTACGGCCAAGCTGGCCCCGACTACGCCGACCCACGATATCCGAGCCCCACCCCCTGGCATCTCCGGAAAGGGTGTAAGCTTGCGGAACCCTACGGAGCTACCAAGACCTGCCAGATGGTTCAAGGGACGCTCGGTGTGACGGTGTTTATGCTGTAAGCTGAGAAGTCCACTCCCATGGTTATCCGGACGGGCGACTGACAGGGGTTTAGCGTCGTTTACCTCTTCCAGGCTGGCCTTGCCATCTGGGCAATGCTTCCCAACAAGGAGCTCGACATGTATGACTCGGACGATGAGGACGATGAGTACGGCCGTCACCCCGCGAAGAACAAGGGCGTCTCGGTCCAGATGCAGCCCACACCGCCACCCGAACAGGCGCCATTCACCCCGCGGACACAAGCGTTCCACGCGCTGGAAAGGAAACTGCCCCTCCGGTACAGCTGAGAGGCTGGCTGGGTGTAGGGGGGGTGGAATTGGATTATCATGTATTGAACGGCGCCAGAGCTGTGTCTAGCGCCACTGCTCTGCTGGCCGGGGCACACGGCGCCCTGCGGTAACTGGGTTGGCATATCTGTGACGCCAGGTGGTTTGTATGTATATCTTTTTCCAATAAGGAATCGAGGCTGCTATTTCTGGGCATCACCAGTTTGATCACTTGCGCTCGTGGAGTTGGGGTTGGCAGGTTATGAATGATATCTTGCTTTAGTCTAGTGTAGTTGATACACTCAATGCAGCTGCCCTGCCACGCGGTATAGCCTTCCACACTATTCGTGTCAAAACGAGAGTCGTCCATCATGACCTTTATCAATCATCACACCATCAAACAAGAAGACAAGCAACACTAAAAAAGCCGCCTCCTGACCACAACCCTATCCCATAATTCTGAAATTTCCCATCTTACTTCCCCTTCCCCTTCACAACATCCACACCCACACCCACACCCACACCAACATCAGCATCAACATCAACATCCACCACATCCCCACCCAAACCCTCCTCCTCCTCCTCCTCCAAATCCAAATCCACCACCACCGCACTCGCATCCGGCACCCCCACCCTCACCACCCCGCCCTCCCCAACAACCACCCTCTCCCCCACCGTGACATTCCCCAACCGCACCGGCCGCCCCCCATCCAACTCATAATTATAGCTCCACCCATCCCAGCTAATCCCCGTAATCGCATCACTCCCGTTCGCCATCAGCCGCCGCACCCCCACCACCCGCGACGCCATCTCGGCGGGCAGCCGGAAGGCATACTCGACGACGCCGCGCGGCGGTGGGGTGGCGGGGTCGGAGTCGGAGGGGGGGGGCAGTGGTTCAAGCCCGGCGCCGTTAAGGGTGGTGTTGTAGGTGCGCAGGTTGAGGATTATCAGGCGGGTTAGGCGGGTGCCGTGGGCGGTGTAGATGGCGTAGGCGGATTCGGGGAGGAGGGAGGGGGTGGAGCTGGTTTGGGAGGGGGGGGTGAGGGGGATCTCGACGACGGTGGCGGGGGTGGGGCCCAGGGCGGCGGCCACCGCGATGGAGCCGTAGTAGGGCGCTTTGGTGCCGAGGGTGGTGAGGGCGGTGGAGACGGGTTGCCAGGCGGCGTACTGCGGTGGGAGCTGGGGTTAGTGGGAGGGGATGTTGGTTGGTGGTGGGTGGGGAGGGGAAGGATAGAGGGGAGTGATATAGGGGCGTTGGAGAAGAGGCATACGCGGTAGTTGGTCCCCATGTGCATGTGCACCCGCTTGAAGCCCACCGAGGCCGCATACAGATTAAAGTCGAGACCCCAGAGGGCGGCGCCGAAGGTGTTGGATAGGCCCGGGCGGCCTTGGTTGTAGAGGGAGTTGGTCTCACCGAAAATCAGGGGCGGGACAGGGTTGGTGGACTGAGAGAGCACCGTGTTGTACTCGTCAACGTGCGCGTCGACGGATCGTTTGGTTACCGCATGGTTCATGAGTGTCCCCTGGAGTGTCACGCCGGGGGTCTCGGCGCCGCTGATGTAGCTGGGTACGGTCAACGCCTGTTGGTGGGTAAGGGGCTCATGAAGAAGGCTTACTTGTGGGTTGAGAATAACTTGACGTTCTGGTCGTCGTTGAGTCCCGCCTCCCATGCTGCCGCCGCTTTCAGACGGTTGCCAACACCAGCAAAAGAGGGCGCCATGTAACCATAATTGTCCTCGCCCGCCAGCTCAGGGCAGTGCTCCTCGATAAGGGCTTTGATCTGCCGGGTGCCATTATGCCATTGAGAGACGTAAGCATCCTCGCTCCAATCAGACGGCCTCACGGGTCCCTGGGCCGAGGTCGAGTACAGGTCTGGCTCGTTGCCGTACCCCCAGACATACAGCTTCCCGCCGCCCAAGGCCTTGCAAGCCAACGGCACGGTGTCCAACAGGGTCTGCCACCCGCTTGACCTATTCCCTCCAAGACCAAGGTTGAAGCCATGGTAGTACTTGACGTCTTTCCAGGTATTGTACGCCTCGAAGTAGGACGGCCCAATGGTTATGGTCGTTGGGTAGTCGTTGGATCGTGCCGGGTCAAAGGTGCCATTGAGGGCGTACGGCAGTGAAGCGTCATAGAGAGCATAGTCTTGGGTGTTGCCACCAACACGGATGTAGGGCTTGTGCCCAATGATGTGGCCGATATTGTCTAACAGGGTGTCCGAGAAAGTGTTGGGATGTGTGTTATTCCCTGTGGCGGTTAGAGGGGGTTATTTACGCAGGACAACGCTGGAGACACCTACCTGCGAATTCCGGAAAGCTCGAGAACTCGATGCTGTAGCTAACATACCCGTCAAAGACGTCGTTGCTCTCTACCGAACCAGCAACGGTATACTCAGACCTGACCAGCGCCGGGCTAGTGAGGGTATAAAGGAGGGCAACTTGTTTCATCCTGACAACGTGCATCAAGTGGGATTTAAAGGCCTCTCAAGAAGGACATGGCCGGCAAGAGACGAACAATCATTCATATACAGGTTCATTCCTGATGCTACCCGCGGGCATGTCCCCTCACCGAACTCCATCAACTAGGGTTGCGTCACATTCCTCGCCTTCAGGGTTACTACCTGAGGGAGGTCCCGGCGGGGGTGTCGAGTTCCAGCAATCGGCCATGATCTCGGCCAAAAAGGTGCATGGTCGGCGGGGGGGCCGCTCACAAGACTCAACAAACATAGTAGCCGCTGACGTTGTGGTACGGGCATGCAGCGCCGGGTTGCTAAATGCGCACGGTGAGTGGTTAGCATGCAGGTTGGATTGATTGATCGGCATCGTGGAGGCGAGAGAGCGACGAGAGCGAGTTGGGGAACGCTAGGGAACATTGTGGGAACGCTGTTTGCTCATGAGGTTTGAGACAGTTGAGGCAAGCCACTCGGGTAAGCAGGTAACTCAATCCATTCAACAGGCATCGAAATGCTGAGAGTAAAGCCAAGCCTCGAGTTGCGGGCTGAATGTTAGTCTCTGTGCTACATTATATTTGGCGGCTGTACGATGTCAGGAGAAAGAATTATGGGGAGGGTTGAATCACTCTCGGGTTGTCGTGCCTCAGGGGGGTTAAAGCCAGAGAGCCTGTGCGCATGTGCGGGGATGCAAGGCTCCTGGTTCTGATCTGTCTTCGTACCCTAGAATGAGCATATTGATGGACGATCGTGAAGAACAAAGTACACATGCTCGGGACTAGAAAGTTAAAAGAATATTCTGTGCATTTCTTAGAGACAGATAGTCAGAGGAATTGCTCAAGAAGGGACGCTCAGCGCCATGGCGCCCCGGGATCGCCTCCACTGCCGTTCCCGATGCTCGGCCCCGTTTCTCCACTCTTAACCCGGGTTAGGTCTTGGCTGAGGATTGCCAAACCGCGGTTCATCTCGTAGTTGCGATTGGCCTCGAACACCGACGTCATCTAACTGGGAAGAAACAGCGGCGACAAAAGGTCAGATGAAAGTCGCGGAAGGTGCGGTTCTTAGACCAAATTTGCCAATCTGAACCCCCAATTCCATCCAAACAGCTCGCCCTAGGTACCTTCCCACCCGAGGCTATCATCCCATCATCGACTTAGCAGTCATCTAACTCGCCTTGGCATCCCGTCCCTCGGGCCTCCGCAGCTGCGGAGCTGTCTCCTCATTGCACCAACATAACCTCGGGTCGCTTCCCTTGTTATAGCAGCGACGCAGCCTGGCGGCATGTCGGTTCTACAAAAGACTCTATTTTTCGCCTCTCGGGCTGCAGCAGTCAGGTCTCAGTTCCGGCGGTCAACACTCCCCGCCATTGTCAACCCATCTTTATCCTTACGCCTAGCGTCCACCATGGCTCCCAAGGTACCTAACTCACTGCCTAAGCACTCACCCCACCCACCCCGATTATCATCGATTCAAGTGCATGTATCCGGCAGCTAACCTTGCCGTCAGCTCAGAGACCCCTCCCTTTTCAAACAAGATGTGTGCTACGTCAACGGCGAATGGGTGAAGGCCCAGTCGGGCAAGACATTCGAGGTCCATGGTGAGAGTTACTCGGCCAGACTTGCCCTGATTCAGTTGGCTCACTCCAGGTCTAGACCCAGCCACTGGCCAGCTCATCGGTACATGCCCCGAGTTTGACGCCCAGGACACCGAGAAGGCCATTGCGGCGGCCGAGGTGGCCTTCGAGGAGTTCCGCCACAAGACAGGGCGCGAACGCTCCAAGCTGCTTCGGAAATGGTACGACCTCATGGTCGAAAACGCCGACGACCTGGCCACCCTCATTACCTGGGAGAACGGCAAGCCAACAGCCGACGCCAAGGGTGAGGTGACGTACGCCGCCAACTTCTTCGAGTGGTTCAGCGAGGAAGCGCCCCGCATCTACGGTGACACCATCCCCTCGTCAGTGCCGGGCAACCGCGTTTTCACTCTCAAGGAGCCCATCGGCGTCTGCGGGCTCATCACACCATGGAACTTTCCCGCCGCCATGATCACCCGCAAGGTCGGGCCCGCGCTGGCCGTGGGCTGCACCGTGGTCTGCAAAGCCCCCGGCGAGACGCCCTACACCCCATTGGCCCTCGCCGAGCTCGCCCACCGCGCTGGCATCCCCAAGGGCGTGGTCAACGTCATTACCGCCCTCGGCAACACTCCCAAGGTGGGCGAAGTCCTAACCACCAACCCAGCCGTCCGCAAGATCTCCTTCACCGGCTCGACCCCCGTCGGCAAGCTGCTCATGAAGCAGTGCTCGGGCACGCTCAAGAAGCTCTCGCTTGAGCTCGGCGGCAATGCACCCTTCATCGTCTTCGACGACGCCGACGTCGACCTCGCCGTCGCGGGCGCTATCGCCTCCAAGTTCCGCTCCTCGGGCCAGACCTGCGTCTGCGCCAACCGCCTCTTCGTGCAGCGCGGCATCTACGACGAGTTTGCAGCCAAGTTTGCCGCCAAGGTCCGCGAATTTTCTGTCGGCAACCCCTTCGATGAGGGTGTCACCCACGGGCCCCTGATTCACCAAAAGGCCGTGGATAAGGTCGAGCAGCACGTGCGCGATGCCGAGCAGAAGGGCGCGAAGGTTGTCCTGGGCGGGCACAAGCTCCCAGACCTGGGGCCCAACTTCTACCAACCGACCGTGCTAACAGGCGTGACCACCGACATGGCCATGGCGGCCGAGGAGACGTTTGGCCCCGTGGCTGGGCTGTTTGCGTTCGACACGGAGGAGGAGGTGGTCAGGATTGCCAACTCCACCACCGTCGGGTTGGCTGGGTACTTCTTTTCGCGCGACTTGCATCGCGTGAACCGCGTTGCAGAGCACCTTGAAGTGGGCATGGTGGGTGTGAACACGGGGCTAATCTCGGACCCGGCCTCGCCATTTGGCGGGGTGAAGGAAAGCGGGTTTGGGCGGGAGGGTTCGTTATACGGGACTGGAGAGTACCAGATCACCAAGATGGTCACATACGGGGGGATGGGGAAGCCGTTGCAGAGTTAGGATGTGGAGCGACGAATTGGATCTTGGGTACCTACCTATGCGAGGGGTTGAACAAGATTATGATGTGATGTCTGAATGCCTGAGATGGGAGTAAACCTCTGTATACGGTTGTTGTGCGTGTGTCAACTGTAAGCCGTCAAGAGTCACATACGAGCCTCAACGGGCATGGCTTGGAGACTGGAGTGGTTGAGGCTTCCGGGCTGCTCCAGCCCACAATGCCGAAAACTGGTCATTACCAAACCCGGCGGTGAGCCTCGATCTCGATTCCAATTCATCCTCGACAAGGAAACAAGGATATTCGTCTGCCTGGTCCGGACCCCATCTTTTTCCCAAGGCCCGCGATCTGCGGTGCGGGAGAGTTACCTCCGGGTCCGCAGCATGGCTGTGTCTGTAGCCGGGGTCCTTGGGGCATCGCCCCGGCGGAGCCCGGCGCTTACGGCACGCGAGCATGCACGCAATGCACCGACCGGGTCGGGTTCGCCCAGCGGACAGGCCCTGAACAGCCGCGAACGACCGGGGCCTTGTGTGAGCCTTGGGATTACTTGGGTTGCGTAACGGTGGGGTAACCAGGCATGCATTAATTATGTTTGGCGCTACTTTTGGGTATTTTGGGGTTGTCGTTAATGAAAGCTGAGAGTGTCTTGTTGAGGAGAAAGGCTCTGTCTGTGTAAGTGTTAGTGGAGCGGGCTTTAGGATTAACAAAAATAGATTGATACCCCCAAACTTTGCAACCGAAACCCATTAAAAAATACGAATAGCTGATGGTTGATTCCACGGTCCTGAGGTGCAACGAAAAAACGACTCCTTCTCAAACCCTATCCGCGATCTCGCCGCCGCAACAAGCATAAATCACTCACCCACATCACATCACTTCCCTCCAATCAACCCCACCACTCTCGCCTAGCTGGGTAGGCAAAAAGCCGGCAAGGTAGGAAGGAAGGAAGGGAAGGAAGCGTAGAGTGCCTTGCCCTTCCCGCAGCTGTTTCCCCCCTCCCTCTCCTCGGCAACAAAGTGCATCCTTCACTCCACATCAACTGCCCTCCCCGCTTCTCTCACCGAATATTCACCATTCAGCGGACACCGCAGCCACTCGGAAAGCCGCCGCCAAAGGATAAACGCGCGTAAAATCCCCCCCCCTCCCCCGATCCAAGATTCCCGGGCCAACTAGGCCCACCCAGCGGGAATCCCTCCGGGCGTGGTCTGGCTGTACCTGCGTTAGTGGAAACCCTCTCTTCTTCCTCCTCGGAAGGAATGGAGGAGGAGGGTTAAAAACCGGACGGATGTTGTCCGTGTAACATACATACTGTTAACTATGCCGCGGCCTGGGCCTGGCCTGGCATTGCTAACCCCGCCACCAACAGGTGGGTAGGTAGGCGTGGTGAGATGGTGGTGGTGCGGAAGTGGAAATGGGAATGGAAACATGAAACGAAACGGCCGCGGGTCCGAGTTCCTAATGTGTACATATTGCATAACCAACCCGCCGGCCGGACCTGGCCCAACAAACGAAGAGGCAACGGGTTGGTCGCACGCAATTGTTTCGTTTCATTTTCGTTTGTTGCCGCGCCAGTGTTACTGTGTTCATCCATCCATATTGCACAGGCAGGAATAGGATCCTGGCCGGGCGGGGTCGTTCAACCCCCCCGGCGGACCATCCCCCCCCCAACTTGTGTGCCCTTATCCCCCTGTTTTGGTCTTGACTCCTCCCCTACATCCCTACATTGTTGAATTGAGGGCGACAAGCAGACAAGCGCAGCCGCGGCGGAGTTTTGACCTCGGTAGTTTTGGGCGGTGTCGATTCAATTAACTTACACTTACACAGTACCTTTTTCTTACGCGGCAGGATGTAACTGTAACTGTAACTGTAACTGTGTAACTACCCCATCACCGCCGTATGTTTACATGGTACTAGGTTACTTGTGGGATGCGAGCGTGCGGCGAAGGGGGGCACTGAGTTGAGTGGTTGCAGTAGATGAAGCAACACTCCACTAAACTGGAAAGCAAAGCTACCTTGCTGGTTACCTTAGGCAGGCCAGTTACCAAAGTATCAGGGATGGGGATGGGCCATGTACACTCGGGATGGAGATATCGAGAGTGGTCGCCGGTGGTTTTCTTGTGTGCTTGTGCTTGGCTCCGGCAGGTCCGGGATTCCAGGGGCAGGATCGGGACCGAGATTGATGATTGATGATACAGAAATCGCATGGTTATCCGGGGTATGTCAACCCCGCAGGCAGGGGGAGGTGTCGCATGATGGAGATGGTATGTGCCGAGGGGGAGTATTGGGGAGATGTGAGGGATTAACCATGGAGGAGGAAGAGGAGGAGGAGGGAAATGGGCCGATGAGACGGGGATTGGCGAATAACAGAGATATGGGAGGTGAGTGAGCGTTTCCGAGGTCGGTGGTGTCTGTGTGTATTCCTATTCATCATTCAGTCCGTCTTACACTTCCTTACACACTAAACGTAATCACTGCTCGTGTACTACGCCAGCCGCACCGCATCACCATCAGCTTCACCTCAGCTGAGGAGACAGGTGACGTAGGACGCCGCAACAGATGAAACCCCCATATAATCCAGCACTGGGGCCAAAACAGCCGTTGGCAACACACGCACGTCTTTTGATCTCACATCCACATCCGCATCCACCATGAATTGCCCCCATGTAAGGTACGTAAGGTACGGTGGAGACGCTGCTGCAAGTAAGCCTGCGATGCCAGCGCATGCAGAAACGAACCCCATCAACGCAATGTATGAGCGGGAGGATGGCCGGGACATGGAGGGCCTGAGTCGTCCAATGTTTTAACTCACCTAACCGTCTGCAAATGCAATGCGATCCTGGCGGGAGCTAGGGATTTGAGGTGGATATGCCATGTGTTTGTTGTGTTGTAAAGTTTTGGTGGATTCATCCAATGTATTTGTATTCAACGACGACAATGATGAGGGACAATCGATGATGAGGTATATACCTGTAATTGCTTCAACACTGCAGCGCCCTTACTATATGTACACATCGCTCTTCCTCGCCGTAACAAAACACCATACCCCAAAATCATGGAGACGTCACCGCGTAAAACGACATGTGCTTCGTCTGTAGCCCACCCATCCCAAGCTACCTAAACGCCATCCGACCCAACCCCACGAAAGTGGGAGGGTGATTAGGCTTTTGCGAGAGAAAAAAGAAAAAAAGAAAGAAGAGAAGAAGAGGAAGACCCAGAAATAAGGAATGTGGTATCAAGTCCAAAAACAACAACCAGCAAAGTTTTGCAACCACCCCCTCGCCGCTTTGCGCCCCCTGAATGCTGCCAGATAGATAGAAGATGCCAGTAAAGAATGACCAAAAACGCCTTTGCCAAAGAGATAGAAAAGAAAAAAAAAAGGAGTCAAAAGATGCCCCGTCCTGCCTTGCATGCCTGCTAAAACACCGTGTAAATGACCGAACCGAGTACCGTGCCGTACCAGTCTGTGACGAGGACGAGGATAGGGAAAAGAAGAAAAAAAGACAGACAGAAAGAGGAAGGAAACGACGTAGGGAAAGTAGTAAAAGTACAGGTACAACGTAATTGTGACAAATATGCATCATAATGGCTGGTGCCTATGATGCTTCTATCATATGCGAGGATGATAGATGATAACGTGTTTCGGAGCCGACCGGGAATCAAATTAAATCTGGTTGCCCTCGGCCGGCCCAAACCCAGCGCCCGAGACGTGTTCGGCGTGCCAGTTCAGGAAGTCACCCAGGTCGTGGCTGAGGTTGAAACCCATCGGCACCATGTACTCGTTGCCCTCGACATCGTGACTCACTACCAGGTCCATCATGGGGCTCTGCGGTAGGCTCTGGATGCTGTCGACGCTCGGCCGCCGGGTCGAGTCGATGGCCAGGCCGGCGTGGTTGCGGCTCTCGAACGACGCCGAGTGCGTGAGCTTCGGCTTGTGTTGTGCGGGCGTCTGCCCGAAGGTGGTGCTGCTGGCGCTACGCCGATGGCGGGAGTAGCCTGGCCCGGCGGGGGCGAGGGAAGGGGAAGGGAAGAAGCGGCCGGCGATGGAGTCACCTAGCGGGAAACTGTTGGCGCCGCGTTCGTCGGTTGCGACGGGCGGGTCGATCCGCCGAATGCCGGGACTCCGGGTAGCGACGGTGCGCGGGCTGCTGTTCGGGGTCGAGGTCGGGGAGGGAGGGGACAAAACGGGAGTCCGCGGCAGGACGGGCGTCCACGGCTGGGTAGGTGTGCGCGGTTCGCTGGGTCCGACCAGGCTGCCGGCCCCGTCAAAACCAAACTCACTGTACCACGACGCCAGCTGTTCGAGTTCGTCGAGCTCCGCCTCGGACGGCCGCGAGTAGTCGGTCGGCTCGCTGAAAAAGTCGCCCGCGCCACCGAGGATGGCCATCTGAAACGCCGTCCAATCGAGCGTGTCATCAACGGCCGCGGCCAGCTTGTTGATTGGTAGATCGGATTTAGACAGGCGGATCCGGCCATGTCGGATGGCCGGCATGGTCAGGGTGCAAGGGTTGCTATCGAGGAAGAGGTAGTCGTCTGTGTTTGGCTTGCTGGCGGATCCGAGGGGCGGCGCCGAAGTTGGTGACATCAGTACTTCCTCGGGTGCCGTGGTTACGATCTCGGGGATGGTCGGGAGCGGGGGTAGTTGCCTGCTCGGCATGCGGCGATGCATAGGAGCCTTCATCGGCGGCATTGGTGATGGGGCCAGCTTGGCCTCGCCCACCTGGGGTTGAGCGGTCGGGTCGTCCTCCACCATCATCATGATCGGAAGAGTCCCGTCCTCCTCGTCTCCGTCGTAGGACTTCGTAGTCGGTGAATCCGGTAATTGCATAGCTGGCTGCGATTCTCCGGCCTGCTCCTCAACCCGTGCCTGTCCGTTAACACCTTCTCCCGTCATTAATTGCATTTCTGGAGGCGCCGTAGGCGTCTTGCAGTCTTCCTCATAAATCACCGCCCCCTGTTCCACGACGGACGCACGGGGCGTGGCGACGTCCTCCCCCATCGCGGCATCGGGAGAGTCATCGAGACTGAGCGGTTCAATCGGTGCGGCAGCTGTGCTTTTGCTGTCGACATGGGTCACGCCCAATTCGGGAGATCTGGTCCAGTGAGCGGCCCTGCTCATGCGAATCTCCCGCAGCGTGCTCTCGGGCAGCATCTCATCCACCTCAATCCGGTGGAAGATGCGTATCGTAAACAAGTCCTTGGCGCTCTCGGTCAATTGCCACATGGACGATTGCCTTGCCGGGGCACGTGGCCTCCTCCGAGACTTCTTTGACTTTGCCCGCTTCGGCCGTGAGTTGGACTGGAGTCGGGCTTGTGCCGGTAATAAAGGGTCTTTCATCGACGTCTTTGTTGGAGACTTGACAGATTTGACCGAGCCCTGGCTCCGCCGCTGTGATTTTCTGCGCACAGGGCCCGATACGGGCGACGGATCCTTGGGCTTCGGGAACTTGTCTAGCTCATGGTCAGATAGTTTCGCGTTGCTCAGGACCTGGTTGAGAGCGGGTGCCTCGTCTGACTCCGGCGTGAGAAGCTGGACGTCAGGAGAAGAGACGGCAGCACCATTGCTGTCTACGGGTGTTTCTGGTGTGTGGTGGGGTTACTGTGATTGCCTCCGGAGATGTCGGCTGACTGCTGTTGTAGGTTGCAGGTGTTGACGGAACGGTATCCGGTGAGGTCAAGGGCGTTTCTAGGGCCATCTCTGCTTGTTGGGGAGGGGATGAAGGAGGTGTCAGTTGAGGAGCCTGAAGCGTGTGAACTGGGACCGGACTCCTGCCTCGTGGCGGCTGTTGTTGATCTTCAAATTGTTGGGGTAGGAGAAGCGGACTCCTCTCTGGACTCCTTTGTGGGCTCATTAGGGGGCTTGCCAAAGGACTCCTGTCGGGACGGCGAGGAGGCGAAGACCGAGGGCTGGCGGACACAACATAACCGGTGGCCCCATTGTCAATGCTGCACAAAGAAGTAGTTGACGACTGCGGCGTATCAGGCAATGGCGGGATGCAGATGATACGGTGGAGGTCCTCGCTCCTCCGGATATCGATGCTGGGCTTGTGACGCTTCATCAAACCCATCGGTGGTCTCCATGTCTTGATCTTGCTGAGCGTGTCCATATCCTCGTCATCGTCGTGATAAAAGTAAGATCCCTCGTAACCCTCCTCTGGCCCTTCAGGCTTCTTCTGGGGGCTCGGGATCAACTTCCGGATGCTAAAGGTCGGCCGGGACAACATGGTGCTGTCTGAGAGCGGCTCTAAGACGGGAAAAAGAAAGGAAGAGAGACGGGGTTAGGGATGTAGCACCATGGCACGCAGATATGAGTGAGTGGCGTCAAGGAGAAAGATAGAGTTTCCGGGTCACCGTCTGTCAATGCCCGTCTTGTTGTCGAGTCAAGAATGTGACGACAAACCCAACAGACAGACACACGGTGAGAGGAGAGGGAGAGAGAGACCAGGTCCGCCGGGAAGGGCATGGCCGGGGGCGCGGGAGGGGGGGTATCAACGCTGTAATATTAAACAGAGCGGCGCATGGCCGTATTGCAGCATTGCATGCCAGTCGTCTCCACGACGAACGGCACCCGCCGGGCCCGCCTCGTCCTACGACTGGCTCCAGTCCCAGGCGTGTGCTGCTCTTGCGCCGAGTGTGGCGTTGCCCGCAACCAAACCTGCAAAGAATGCAGAGACCAGGGCCCCGGTTCCGCCAAGAGGGCTGGGGCGGGCAGAGCGATGTGCCCGCAACAAGCGAGCGACGGGGGGGTGAGAAAGAGAGGAGGATGGTGCGGGCGCTGGGGGGAGACCCTTGCTTGAGCCTGGCTCACGCACCTGGCCATCTTGCTCTGTTTCTTATTTTTACAGCGCCGCAATTGGGCCAACCATCTGACCTCGCCGTCGAGACGTCGAGGAGCTGTGTCAAGCTGTATCATCTATACGCAGAGCTGAACTACAACGGCAGCCATGGCTACACATCGACAACTCAACTCGGTTGATGGAACAACAAGTCAGGAAGAAACAAACACATTGTGCCGAGGCGTGAGTGCCGGCTGCCCGGGAGGGGCCACCACCAGCCAGGTGATGGAGTGATCGACGCGTAACCTGATGGAGAAGGCGGCAGTGATCCTTGTTTCTTCACCTTGTCGTCTGAGTCGTCTCGCACTGACTGCAGCGCCCACACGATCCCGTTGCGATCGCGCACAGCATTCCTGCAGCAGGAAGGACCCGACGTTATGCCCTAGGTATTCGATCGGATCCGTCCCAGCTGGCAGGCAACAGAAAAGACGTTATGCGATGGATGAGCGGGCAAGGAGAAGGGAGGGGGGAAAGGTAGTACTCCCGTATCTCTGCTCTGTTTTCCTCTCTTCTGGATCCTTGCCCCCTTGTTGCGGGGTGAGGTGACCTCGGCGGGAGTGGGGAGACGGTGGCTTCTCCTGGCTTTTCGGTGTTGCAGCTTACTGGGCTGTGATTGCGTACTATGTAAGACAGCGAGTCGAGCCAAGCTCGTCCAGGTCGGCCCCGTGATGATAATGTCTCAATCAACATTGCACATTATGCTGTTGGTAGAAGTTGGGAGCTGAACCGGCGAAGAAGTGTTGCCAGAAACACACGAATCGGGCTCGGTGTTGGTCGGATGATCGGTCAGTTCGCTCGTTGGAAGGCTTTCGCACTCAACCTCACACACGGGGCAACTCGCACGGGACAGGAGGATGCTGCTTTCAGGCACGCCGTCAGGCCAGGGCAGGCTGGTTCCGTCCCCAAGCGCCGCGAGGGCACGGCGAGCAACAGGGGCGGATTACGCCGTGCGTGCGTGTGTGCGTGACCTAACAAACCATCTGCGCGGGCAACAACGCAATCATCAACGCCGGCAACCGGGAATTCCAATTGACTCGGCCCCGGTTGTCGGGGTCAGGTCGGGCAATGATTGATGATGGGTGAGGATTCGGACAATGATGATGATGTTGGTGGGATTGAGGATTCAGACTGCCGTGTATCAAACCCAGAAACAATGCCGTGTCGATCTTCGATGATGGGAATTGGATGGAGACAGCAGGGGCTGAGCTCCTGCTGCACCCAGGGCTTGTTTCGATGGATTGGCTCTGAAGTTCAGACGAGAGCGGGAGAGCATGGTACTTTCTCTGCAGGGCGGGAAATGCCCCCAGGGCTGCCAGGTGCCCCGCACAAGAGGGACAGTGTGCAATCTCGGCAGCCTGGGGATGTCGCACTGGTCGAATCCGCCGTTGGAGATCTGATCAGTGGAGAAACCACAACCCTCTCGGTTAGCTTAGCGGCGTTAGCGGCCGAGTTCTCCTCCGAACGGGCCGCACTGTGCACGAGCCCCCGACTGGCCTGAGTGCCCGAATCTGGACACAACTTCCCCAATTGAGCCGGGGCGGGTCACTGGTGCTCTCTCAGCAAGCAGCCAACAACAGCAAGCAGCATCTCAGCCAGCACCTTTCCTCCCGCTCTTGATAGGTAGGCAGGTACCTAGGTAAGGGAGTCAGGCATGTCAGGCAACCACTTTCCAAACATAGGTAACCACCACCAACCCACAGACTGCAAGCCCAGTAGCAAACACAGACTAGTCCAGTGAATGGCGTTGATCGAGCCCCAATGAACTGCTTGCGCACAACCTTGAAATCTGGGATACCCTTTCTCTCTCTCCACCGGCGGGTTTTTGCGGAACACTCCATGTAACATTTCCCCTGAAGACAGGAGCGGAGACGGCTCCGAGCTCGACTCGCCTGTCCGTCTCATCGGGCAGCGCACGTGGAAGCTCCGAGGCTCGCTTTGTCGCCGAGTGGGTTCTCACGGAATTCCGGTTCTCACCACTCCCTAATCAAAACTAAGCCCGCTGTGGTTTGGTTTTTGGTTTGCCTATTTCCAGGGACCCAGGCCGCTCACCAAGGCACGCACCGCAAGCCAGGGTTGCGAGGCGGGCACTCTGTATGTACGAGGGGTCCTCTGACGCTAGTGAGTTTAGCTCCCTGCGGGCGGGCGATTATTCACCAGGATTTCTTGCCCGAGTTTCCGTCGTCCCAGGCCATTCCTGGACTCCTTGCGGCCCCCACGAACTCAAAATCCGAGCGTGGCTTTTTCTCATCAAACAAGCTCAGACAGAAACAAGCGGCCCCCAGGCCGGTCTCTCGATTATCGGCCCAATGATCCGCCAGAGATGCGTTCAAGGCAACCAGGGCAGGATTTCTCAGCCACAACTGGATTATCGATTCAGTTAACTCAGACAATACCTCCGGCATCCGATCGCGATGATGGGCAGAATTTGAGATCGTAACCATCGTTTCTGCAAGCCTTCCTGGCAAGCCTCTCTCTCCAGGCAACAATGGAAGTTAATCGAGCCGAGCATCGCCCGCGCTTGACCTTGTTTTCCCGCTAGGATTTTGGCCGGCTGCACACCATCTCGACTGCAACTGCCGCGACGGTGCATGCGCTCAGGCGCCGCAGCCAACCAGAGCAGCGGCTAGAGGGCAGCAAGCGCAAAAGCGGGAAGCTTCGCCACAGCCCAACACCACGAATGCCCCGATGAGGAACAAGCCCGTCTCAATACCCTTGCTCGCCCGCACGAAACTGCGGCGGCCAAGAGCCGCGTTCCTGACTTGTTGCGACCAGTCGTCCAATCGTGCCTGTGTTGCCCAGGGCAGCCGTCATCCTGCGGCGGTGCTCCTCCACCCTCGCCGGCGTGTGTGCCCATCCTGACGGCGCTTGACGAGAACAAGGCCCATGGGCAACAACCCTCCCTGCCTCCCTTTCCCCCGGCTCGTTAGCTATCATGCCACTAACGTCGATGGGGAAAATCAGACGCTCGGCTAGGCTTGTTGCCTCGGTGCGACGCCAGAAAGCGTGAGTATTTGGCCAAGTCTCAACACCATCCATGGTCGCTTGGTATTGACCTCGTTAGCGTCAAGCCCCTGGCCTCCTCACATGGTTTTCGCCGGAAATTCACCGCTGCCGCTACATCGACTCTAAATTTGTTTGGATACGTTACGTGATATCGCCTCGTCTAGAAGCCTGTGCAAACGAAAATCCGATACCCTTAGCGCTCCTTCTCGGAAAAGAAGAGGCCATCGCGAACACGCTATCTCGATATTTCGATGAGGTCATCGGCTTCATTCCGGCACGGTTTGGTGTCACCAATCAAAGGATTCCTCCCCCCCCCGAGAACGCCGTTCAACGAGGCTGCCCCCCCGGGACCCGTGGTCCGTGGACTCCGTGAGACCGAGCGCCGAGGCGCGTTTCCTCTCCGCATTGGACAAAATCGCTGTCATCCTCAATTTCCCCTCGAGGAAAGGAGACGCAACGAGACTCGTCCGGTCTGCGGGCTTAACGGAAGACGGCCGCGCCAGACGGGGGTCACAGACCACCGAAATCCACTCTCTCATGGCCCAACACCCCGGGAACTCTCACATCAGTGCATGGCAGCATGGTTCTGATAAGATCCTTTCACGGCGCACCAATGGCGCTGTTGTTTCAAAAAATCGGTACCTGGAACTTCGCCACGGATGACTCGGTTCAATTGTGCAAGTCAGATCGCCCCGACGTCTCCACCCGCTGTTGGATCTGTTTATGCGGCACCTCGACTCAGCAACCCAACTTCCTATCAGAGACAGTCCCATCACTCCGGTTCCCACGCCCATTGGCCTTCACATGTCGTCCCAACCAACAACCAGGCCCGAAACCGCGACCCTCTGGGCCGCGCTCTGCAGCATCTGATCGGCGGACCCAAACAGAAAACCGACTTCTTGACAGAGCCGCCCGCACCTCCAACCCGCTCCCGCATGTGTATTCCGGCCTTGCTTTCCCCGCCCGCTTGGGAGAAGTGTTGGTTGCTACCGTTGTGCTGCGGCTATGTATAGAACCAACTGGGCGGCCGCTTGTTGAGCCCCGGACTTCCTCGGCCGACCCCGGAGACAAGCCCGTGGGAACTTGACGCCGCCGTGGCAAGTGCCTCATCCGCAAGCCGTGAAACCAACTTCCCGAACCCCGCCGTATCCGCAGAGCCTGCTGTGCCATTCTCGACCGTTATGTATAGTTCACTCGGCCGCTATTGTGGGCCCTTCCTCTCCTCCTTCCGGGCTTCTTGCTCTCGTTTTCACCCCATGCTTCGCCGGTTTTCGCGGCCGGGTGTTGATTCATATAAGTTCCTTGCCGATGACCCCAAAGGCCGTTGATTAATACATGCTGACAACGGTGACAAATTGGCAGTGGGTGTCAAAGGATGGCGTTCGCTCTTTGCATGTCTCTTGTCGTGGCTGTCATGAGAAACGACGAGGCTGCGTGTGTTGGTGTGTGGACATATTTTTTCTCGAAAGGGTCGGGCATTTGGCCGCCTTGCTTGGAACCCCAACAACGGCCGAGGGATCCAAGCGACGACTTGATCAGGCCAAATGGCAGGCAGGTCCGGGTTTTCTTTGGCGTAGCATCTCCATCCCGTTCGAGATGGTAATAGTTGTTGTTCTCCATCGTGTGATGCTGGTCTAGTGGTAAACCCCGCAAGATGTCAAGGGAACGAAATGTCTAATGGGACGGCCAAAACAAATACGAGGAGGTGCTTAGGGAGGGCCCAGGAACTATTCCACGACGATCGCGTCGACGATATATCCAGCTGATCCATTTCTTGCGACGCGAGTAAGAAGGGCAGCGTGCCAGGGCGGCGCTGATATAAGCGCCAAAGCAGGAAACAAGTTCCACGCCACGAGCTGACACCCCGAACATCGCGCACCCCGACACCGCGACCAAGGACACCACCTTTTCTCATCTCGCACAACTTTCCATTGGCAGATCGGGAGCGAGCCTGTGCCGGAGGTTTGTCCCCTCGGAGAGTCGCACGCTGAGCCCAGAACCCCCCCTTCCCCTCCCTCCCCCCCTCAGCGACCCGGCAGGTGGCAGGTGGCCAACCCAAACCACCGGGAATGCCGCAGAGCCTCGCTTTGCACGCGGAGAAATGCGGGAAGTGAAACGGGGTTTCGGTCGTCAGCCCCTAGGTCGCTCCACTACTCCTCTCGACCTTTTACTACGTGGTCCCAAACCTGCCTTTGCTTCTGCCGTGCATCTCGCCACGAGTGGAAGGAAACGGTGGATCGGGATCGCTTGCATGTACGCGTGGCTTTGGGCTGGGGCTGAAAGGCTTGGGTGCGTCGTCGCGGCATCACTTGACACACGGGTGACTACCCTTTGCCGATAACTAGCTCGGCCAGTGGCATGCCGGTGTCGGCGCCACAGTTGCGGGAGGGTGACGGACTCCAGTTGGGGACGGTTATTTCTATCGTCGTTGATGCTTTGAATAACAAGTTTCTCCTCTTCAAACTTGCTGGGTTTTGCGTTGTTGTGGACCGTGATTTACTTCCGTTGCTGCCATTCTCATAATAAACCTCCTCCCTTCTACGCAGCAAACTGTCAACATCACCATGGAGGAACCAACCAAGGACTTGTAGTTGCCTAGCCAAGGACAGAACCCCCTCCCGATAAAAAGCGAGCCCCTCAAGGCCATGGCAACCGCTGCTCCAACCAAAGCCAAAGTTCCCGTCTACCGCCTCTACCGGCTCCTTGCCTCGAGTGGCGTTCTCCTCCACGCCTCCGACCAACCCCTTGGGTCGCCCGCCCCTCTTTCTGGATCCGAAGTGCCCATTCTAGATGCCGAGATGGCTCGCTATTTGGGAACGAATGTCTGGAAAGGGAAATGCGGGTTGGGCTTTGGATGTATGTGTCATGCCTCACTTGCCTGGGATTTGCTGAGTGAGTGACGTGGGAGTCGCATGGTTTGAAGGTGTTGGTCAGTTGTTTCTCCTCTCGCCTTTTGTTTCTCGCCCATGTTGCTCTTCGATCTCTCTGCATACAGCGTTGTGGTTGTGGCCTTGTTACAATGGGTTTCGTACTGCTAGCCACATAAATCAATGCAATGTATACATGTGTGTTGGTATATAGATACGACTGGCCATTCTGTAGGCAGACGAACGGAATGTTCACTATTATCTAACAACTAGTTGGGTTTAAAGCACGAGTAGTTCGACCTTGTTTGTTAGAATGGGATATGAGGTGTGGCCACATGGCTCGTGTAGGATGCTTGTTGCCGTGACAAGTTCATGAAACAGATATTGGCAGAGAATGCCTGTACTAGTCGGACCTCTTTCTCCCGCTATTTCCCTCATTCTACCCGTCCGGTTAGGATCTTCAGCCTTAGACTATTCCGAGCGCCCTCGCATGGTAGACGACGCCATGGAAAATGTGATCGGTGAAGGTGATGGGTTAGGATCGGAGGACTCTCCGACCCCCCACGGTGATTATGCGACCTACGTTGCGGATGTACATCCATTCTCAGCGTTCTTGCCTCAGCCTGAGATTATCTAGAAATAGGGGGGTGTGGAGAGCGTCGTTCGGCCACCTCCCATGGCTCCGGGAAAGGTTTCATGCTCGATGGCCGAGACATTGTGTTCTGGATGGCGGTCTCTTTTGGCACGAGGGTGTACAGAGCGCCCATCACACTCTTCTTGGGACAGAAACCCCGACATCTTCGGGGTATCCGAAGCCGTGGATGCGGCTGATTTTTAGGCCACTTGCCACATGTATTCACAAGCCTGTTTTAAGACAACCGTCAAGGAAAGCAAGCGCGGCAGGAGCATCAGTATCACATTGTTCGTTGGTGGTCATGATAACTTGGCTCTCGCCATAGGTTCACCATTCAAACCAACCTCCATGAATTACCTTAGCTAGTTCCATCAACTAAAACAAACTCCAACCTCGCTCCCAAACCACTACCACCGAGTGCCCACGCCCGTGCCCGTACCCGTGTCCGTGCCAAACCTCCCTCCGCACCGACCGCAAGGCACAAGGCACAAGGCACACAGCACCCGCACGGACATGTTGCGTAGTACACAGTATATGTATTAGATCCAACGCTCCTATTTTCCAACGAGGACCACCGCCCACTCAACAGTTGGTCAAATGGTAACTGGCGGTGGTCCTCCCCGGGGCAGCCTCACCCCCCTCCCAACGGGGAGGTCGCGGGTTCGAGCCACGACACTGTCCCGGGATCTCCTGAGCGGGGACGCCCGCTCAGGACGGTGTAAAACCTGCCCGGGGGTTTTCGTAGCCGGCCACCCCCCCTCCATCGGTGACGGCCGAGTGGAAGGGGGGTGGTCGGTGAGCTTTTTGTTGTTTTTTATTGTTTTTTTTTCTTGACCACGATTAGGCCACCACCTTCCCCCCCGCTGCCCCTTTGTTGTTGTTTTACTTATCGCGACCCGCCTTGGTTGAAGCCATTCACACAACGAATCGTAGCGATAAAAAATGAATCTGTTTCTTAGCTCTCGATTTCAAAAATTGAATTCCACAATGTCGATGCAAATTGGGTAGCAGCGCTCACCCCAAGAAATAATTCCTACCTACATCATTCCCACATCCATTTACGATTCCATATCCCTTCCCTCCCCTTCTTCCTCGTCATCCTCCCCCTCATCATCCTCGCACACAGCGTACGGCACAAACCGAAAGTCTAAAAAGCACGGCCCGGAACCCTCCACCTCGACCATAAACTGCATGCTCAGCACGCCCTGGCCATCCCCACGCAGACTAACCTTGCTCGCAATACGCATGGCCTCGCTCGCAGACTTGATAATATCGAACTTAAACGTCTGCACCCACCGCGCGCCTACGGAGAAGGTCTCGAGCAGGTCGCGACCGTTGGCAAAGTCCACGGTGCTCGACCCGAGCGGGCCGCCGGAGCTGGTCAGGCGCAGGTAGGGCTCGGCCTTGCAGGCGGCGATGGTCAGCTTCTCGGGGCTAGTCGGGGCCAGCTCGGTGAGGGCGTCGAGCAGCCAGCGGGCCGACGTGATGATCTTGAAGGAGAGGTCGTCCATGTCGAAGGGGATGTCGTCGGGGGCCTCGGGGACGTACGTGGTCAGGTTGCACGTGGTGCTGACGCCGGCCTCGTCCAGAACGATGCTGAAGGGCTCGCCTTCCTGGGCGTAAGCGAGCGAGCAGGTGCCCGACATGCCGAGTGTTTGGTTGGAGAAGGCGTCGGACCGGTAGTTGCGCAGGTTGCTGCGGTAGGGGTCGACGTCGGCCTTGGCTTGCCGTGCCGCGGCGTCGGCAGCGCCAAATATCTGGAGGGTTTCGAGGAGGGCGGGGAGGGATATTTGGAAGGTTGGAGGTGTGGCTTCGTCGTCTTCTTCATCGTCATCGGCAGTGGCGGTGGGGGCGGGAAGGTTCGTGGTGTAACTGGTAAAGAGGCTCTTGGTCCAATGGGCAACCCCTGAGGCAGTTAGTCTCAATGAATAGGTTGGCTCGAGGGGTTGCATGGTTGTGCCTACCTTGCATTACACGAGCATGGTCGGCCGCGAACCTGAGACCGTTCTCTGTGACATCGACGTGCACCTTGTTTGTAAAATTGATCGCCTTGAGGAGCTGGTACAGCGGCCTCGTAGAGCTGGCCACAGCCCGGAAGATGGGAGGGGCAGGAGCAGAGCCTTGCGTCTCCATGGCGATGCGATGTGAGGGTGCGGAGGGGAATATGTGTTGTTGAGCCTTAACGGGGACGCTTGCTTGGAACTGCGCAAAATCGGCTTGGTTTCTTTTAAAAAATGCTACGGTACAGACTCGCGAGAGGTTTGGGTATCTTAGACGTAAACTCCGACCGCACAGAACATGTAAACCACGCCAAACCTGCGAACCTTGTTAGATGGGCGTTGGGGGAGTGGGAAGGCTGAACAGGGTGATGGACGTACGCAAGAGCCGCAGATGCGGGCACGGCGAGGACGGGCAGGTTCACAATTGACCGATCTGAATCGCAATATTTAGTACACCAAGTTGGCGGGGTGGGAGATAAAATAGCCAACGTACTCAGAGTAAATGCACCACCGAGCCCAAGACCCAGAAGTAGGAGCACGAAGCCGACGAGGAATTGGTTGTCCTTTCCGACGGTGGGGACAAAGGGCGAGCCAGCCGCTGCCTGCCAGACCTCATGCAGTGACGAATCCATGTGCTGCAAAATTGCCTTATACGAATGAAGCTGAGGGTTTCTGTAAATTTGCAGTATGAAGAGCTCCCGAGAAGACTGAAAGAACGACGCGAGTTGGTGATGGTGCTCAATGTTCAATGCTCGGTCAAGCTGCCGCTGGAACTGGAAAGGTCAATTGGACAGCTTTCGATTGCTTGCTTGCCCATTGAAGCTTGGCAAAGACAAGGAGCTGCAGCTCGCCTAAACGTGGCCCCTGCTCAGCCCTGGGCACAACCGGGAGATCGAGATCCACTTCTCTCCGCATTGATCCATCATCAATCAACCGCGACTTCGAATCGACGCCCCGCGCCAAGTTGACCATCACGGAACCGCCGCGCTCTATCGATATGCAGACCGGGAGTGAGTCGTCTACGCTCAGGCGGCGCTGGTGTGTTTTTACTAGGAAATCCCGCTAATGTACATCATGCAGAGGCGAAGCGCAAGGCGTCAGACGAGCCGTCGTCGCCCATCTCGTCTAAGCGCGTTAAGCACGATGACTCTGCTGAGCCCGAGAACAAGGTCATGAAGACGCCGGCCATCCCATTTCCAGAAAAGGCGAGCCTAGTATTGCCACGATAACTTACACAGACTCTCCAGTTAACACCTTCACATCTAGCCCGCCGTCATCGAAGAGCGCAACGGAGAGATCGAATTCCGAGTGGTCAACAACGACAACAGGCATGACAGCTACATCATTCTCACCGGCCTCAAGTGCATATTTCAAAAGCAGTTACCTAAGATGCCAAAGGACTACATAGCCCGCCTCGTATACGATCGTACCCACTTGTCCATCGCCATCGTGAAGAAGCCGCTCGAGGTGGTTGGCGGGATCACATACCGGCCGTTTAAAGGGCGCCAGTTTGCCGAGATTGTCTTTTGCGCCATATCGTCCGACCAGCAGGTCAAAGGTTATGGTGCCCATCTTATGTCTCACCTCAAAGACTACGTCAAGGCGAGCTCCGACGTCATGCATTTCCTGACATACGCGGATAACTATGCGATCGGCTATTTCAAGAAACAAGGCTTTACCAAGGAGATCACCCTCGACAAGTCGGTCTGGATGGGCTATATCAAGGACTACGAAGGTGGCACCATAATGCAGTGCACCATGCTCCCGCGCATTCGGTACCTCGAAATGGGCCGCATGTTACTCAAGCAAAAAGAATGCGTCCAGGCCAAAATCCGGGCCTTCTCCCGATCCCACATCGTCCACCAGCCCCCGAAGCAATGGCAGAAGAACGGCCCCTCCCCGATCGACCCGCTAACCATCGAAGCGATCCGCGCCTCCGGCTGGTCGCCAGACATGGACGAGCTCGCCCGCCAGCCGCGCCACGGGCCGAACTACAACCAGCTCCTCCACCTGCTCAACGACCTCCAAAACCACCCGTCGAGTTGGCCATTCCTCACGCCAGTAAACAAGGACGAGGTCCTCGACTACTACGAGGTGATCAAGGAACCGATGGACCTCTCCACCATGGAAACCAAGCTCGAAGCAGACCAGTATAACACACCGGAGGACTTCATCCGCGACGCCAAGCTCATCTTCGACAACTGCCGCAAGTACAACAACGAGACGACGCCCTACGCCAAATCGGCCAACAAGCTAGAGAAGTTCATGTGGCAGCAAATCAGGGCCATCCCGGAGTGGTCGCACCTCGAGAACTCTTAGAGAAGGGCTCCTCCTGCCAAGGCCGTGGGGGGGAAGTCGATCGAGAACCTCGCCGCCCTGTTTGGGAGCGATTTTGTCGAGAGGGGCGGGCTAGCTGCCGGATAGGGGGGGAAGTCGGTCGAAATGCTCGCTGCCGTTTTTGGAAGCGACTTTATCGAGCGTCACCGGGGAAGGTCTCCTGGCCGGGTTGAGAGTGGGAGGAGGGTTGGGGCTGTTTAAGAAGCGCCATTGATGGCGCGGGAAAGGATAGAAGGGCAGCATGAGGTGATGGGCAGACGGAGGCTTGGTTGGTTGCATTTTCATTGGCGTTTGACATGGAAGGGGATTAGGTGGTTGGGAGCGATTTTGGCGTCGGCGATGGTCTTTCCCTTGAACGGTTCCGTGGAGGGATCGGGGTGGTCAAGTTGAGCTTGATTTTTGTTTGCCGGGAGGTTACATATCTGTTACGATTGCATAGCCCCTCGATTATTCGGTTTCAGCAGCAAAAAAAGTTACCGGGTATCATTAATCCACACCAAGGTATGCAAGTGCTTAACTCGAGAGTTGCTGGTCTCGTTTGCGTGTGCGAAAATCAAAGAGTGAAGGTCATTAAGTATCATATCATACGAACGCGACCCAACCGACCCAGATGGACCTCAAGATACACATAGGTAACTCTAGGCCACCCAAGCTCGCCGGTACTAAACACTAAGGCTGCTAATATAGGTAGAAATATCCCTCCGGTCATAGCAACATCACCACCCAGGCCTTTCTAATCTCACTCTCTCTAGTTTCGACTTCCTCCGCCCAAGCATCTTCCTCCCACGCTGGCATCCCACGGATCCAACTCCACCGCACTCCTCCCACGCCGGACCCCTCAGCAGCATTCGACTCCGCTCCCACGGCCCGCTCTCACTCGAGTGGGTATGGGCGGCGGTGATGTTGCCGCAGTCCGGGCGGGTGAGGCGGTCGGCAAAGACGTCGGCAGCCCAGATCAGCACGCCGTTGGTCCAGCCAAAGCCCTCGACGACCTCGTACTCGCCGCCGCCGCCGGCGACGTTGGTAGCGTCGTCGGCGTACTTCTCAAACATGGTGCCCGTGGCCCCCGGGCGCACGCCCTGCAGCTGCGGTGTCTCGCTGGTCGAGCCGCCCGTCGCGTACCACGTGCAGAAGGTCGAGTCCAGGTAGCGCTGGGCGAGCCGCAGCGCGAGGTCCTGCGTGTTTTGGTAGGCGGGGTCCTCCGTGCCGAAAGTTGCTGGCGTGTTCAGCAGGCCCTTCATCAGCACGTGTTGGAGTGGTGGCCACACGTTTGGCTGGTCCCATTGTTTTCTCGTTCTGATGTTGGTCTCGGGGATGGCGCCGGCCTTTGTGTCGAGCATGCGCGCCACGCGCGCGTAGGCGTTCTGCACCGCGAGCGGATTAGCCTTGAGGCTGGCCGGGGCTGCACCCGTCCAGAAGGGGTAGAGCTGCGCGATGTCGAACAGGACTTGCTGGCCGGGCTGGGCGGCGGTCTGGTTTGCTGGGCGCCGCGTCCGCATCCTCAGGGACGAAGATGCGGCTGCGAAATGTTCGGTGAAGGTTGAAGTCGAAGTAAGGACCAGTGCGTGGTGTTTCCACTAGAGCGCGGTACAGGCTTCGCTTCGCTGCTCGGCAGCGTCCGCGAAAACGCTTAGCCTCGGACGGAGTCCCAGCCTGCTCGAGGTACTCGGAGATGATCAACCTCGTTTTGGTAGAGGATCGAGTTGAGGTCGACGGAAACCATGTTGCGGACGTTGAGCGAGCGGAGCGGGAAGTAGACATCTCTCGCCGCGTCGTTGGGCGTCTTGAGCCACCGGGCCGTGTAGTCCCAGCCAGACTCGGCACCGCTGGCCAGGTTGGAGTACAGCTCGGCCTTCTCACTCTCGTTGAGAGGGGTCTTGACTGGGTATATAATGCCTGATGCCGCATAGTAGGACCCGTTGTTAGCCGTGACGTAGTCTTCCCGGTACGATTCCGGGCGCGGTTGGTTGTTTTCGACGGCATATCTGCGGGTCAAAGTGTAAGCCTATGGTCATCACAGCTCGCCTCGTCTGGTTTGCCTACCTATTCAAGGTGTATTCCTTGCCGTCGGCGGCCGTGATAGATACGGTTCGGTTGTTTGACCAGAACTCGTACTCCTTGACCAGAAGCGGCAGGGCCCTCTCCAAAATGCTAGTATCGTTGGTATAGTCGACGTAGGTCTTAACCATCAGCGTTAGAAGGGGAGAAGCTGAGACCTGTTCAGGTAGTAGATCCTGGCGCCATTGGGAATAAAGCCAATGGTGTCCACAAAATCGAGGAAGTTTTCAATCATGTTCTTCGAAATCTGGGTGAACGCGCCGCCTGTGCGCAGCAGGCCCTCGAGAATCCAGTACGAGTCCCAGTAATAAGGCTCGCGGAAACGACCACCAGCCACAACGAACGTGTGATTCACTGGGATAAAGCTATTGGCGCACTGGGAGCAATTGCCCGGGCCGGCATAACGCCTGGTCAGGTCGGGCCAGATGTCAATCACCTTCCCGACGAACTCTTTAATGGTGACATCTTCAAGCTTGTCAAGGAAGCTCGGGTCCGTCTCAAGCTCGCTGATAGGCACCTCCTCGAGCTCGCCGCCGGCCGGCGCGAAGTTTTCAGCCAGGAAGGCAGTGAGATCCGAGTTGTTGGACAATGGCTGGCTCAGCCGGTTAAAGGCTGCAATCACTTCGTCTAGCGGTTTGATCGTGGGCCTGGGGAAGTGTCTGAGTTAGTCCATGTCTCACCGTGGATCCACCCTACATTGGGAATGCCCAACGAGCCTATTGGGACTTACATATCCACGAATGTCTTGGAGTCTGAGAACGGCCGGGCCAGCTCAATGGCCTTGAGGATTTCTCCCTGGCAATATAGCGGCGAGTCGCACGGTGCCGTGACCGAGCCATTGATGTATAGCGCAGAAGCGCTTGGGATGAGGCCGGCGAATGCCGCCGTGGCAAGATTCCGTAACGCCATTGTGTATCTCTAGGCCCGTACGTGGTGGCTACCTTGACTACAACACAACAAGAACGGCCCTCTAGGAGTTGGGAGAGAACGAGAGAAGGGATGGCAGGTAGGGAACTCGGGGTTATTTAGCGAGAGAAGGCCCTCCTACACCGGGCTGGCCAAGGAAAGAGAGGGGAAATCACAGGGCCGGTCCTCACCGGGCTTTGCAATCGGGCGGAAAGCAGACCGTCTTAGTCCCGGGAGAACTCTCGGGAGGAGACGAAGCTTTGGCGAACCCGTCGATGCACACCAGAAAGTCGCACGTGCAACCCTGCTTGCAGGAAGCTGCAGCCCGGGGTTGAATACGTAAGGTGGTATTGAGGTGACGCCTGGATTCGGAGAAGGCTGGCTGGCCTTCTTGGGGGTTGCTTCAAGGTTGATCACGATCGCCACTTTCTCCAACTTTGTGTTTGTAAACGGATTCGGCGGGGAGAAGCAAGCATAGCCGTTATAGGAATTGTACTTGAATTCGCAATTCTCACCTATGTACAGATTTCGGGTTTCTTTGAGGAGGAGAAGGGCAGTCGCGTAACCTAATTACTCCCTGTGTTCCCTTCGTACCTTCCTCCGTTTGCATCTGGTCGATAATAACTATTGGATGCGAACGGTAGGAAGGCTCGAGGAAGGGTCGAATTTTTTGGTGTTGGAGTTGCATTCCCCGCAGCCACAACCAAAACCCCCCCGGCATAGCCCCGAATCCGGCGAATCAATTCGCTAAAATCCCCAGGTTTGAGTGACGTCAAGCCAGGTCCAGCGCGGGAGATACAGGGGTTGTGCGGGGCAGCTCGAAGTTTCCCCAGCAGACAATGGCCCGTTGCCCCCCAGCTAATTCCGACATCCTGGTTGTGGGCGAGGTTCGCACTTCCCAACAAGTTTCTGGCTCGCGGGCAACGCCGAAAACTTGCGATGAACTTTTCTCGTCGGCAACGATGTCAGTGGCGGTGACTACTTTTCTTGGCTGTGCACCGCCTTGGTTTGTGCGATCCTAAACGTACCACGTGTCTAACTACGTTCTCATCAGCTATGGCACTTTTGCTCAAGCGGCAATCTTTTCTAGGCTGCCCGGCCTTTCTTGCACAACGCCTTTGGGGTGGGCCACTCAACGGCCAGCGCCGAGTCATGGAGGCTTCCTCGGCCCGCATCCTTCGGCCCTTCTTCGCTGCACGGCGGGGCCGTTGTGTCTAATACGCTGACCGATGGCGGATCTAGGCATAGTGCTCTGGGCTCTGGATCCAACTGCTCACGGCAGTTGAGCAATTCGACGCCGATGTCAACAATCATTGCTTGGCCATACCGGAAATCCCGGATGTTGGGGACTCGGTGTCCATCAGTCTTCTTCCTCTTGTCAAGGGCGCATCGTTGGGTCGTGAATGATGGTCGGCATTTGTTTTGAGATCAGGATGGATCCGCCCTTGCTACTGTGAGCGATACATGGATGCCTCCCCTTTTTCGTGTTGAGAAATTGCACCGCCCTTCTCCTTACTATCAAACACAGCCTTGAAAATGTCTGCCAGTTTCGGCACGACATCGTCGCGTCTCTCATATATCTGGTAGTGTGTGATGAGCCTGCCACCCATGAGCTTGAGACCGGCCTCCTTCCCGAGCTCCTCAAACCTTGCGTCGGGACATTGGGCGTCCTCTAAGTCAACCCAGATCATGTTGGTGTGTACTGGGTGAACGAGCTTGCCGCCGAGGTCTGTCCACATCTTGGCCACCTGTTGTGCGAGGGTGTGCGTGTTCTTCAACAAACCGCCCTCGCCGTTGGGACCCTTTCCGAAGGTCTCGTCAACCGCAACACGAGCGGCAGCCGTGACGACACCTGACTGACGTAGCCCGCCACCAATGGACTTCCTCACCCAGCGCGCATGCTTGATCACCTCCTTACTGCCAAGCAGGATGCTCCCAATCGGCGCGCCAAGGCCCTTGGAAAAGCAGAGGGTCACCGTGTCAAAGCACGAGGCGAACTCGACGAGGCTGCCGGCACCAGATGCTGCGACCTCCCAAAGCCGCGCCCCATCGCAATGCATCTTGACGTTGTGCTCGCGAGCGAAGGCGGAGATTCGCCGGGTCTCTTCTAAAGGCATGATCATGCCATTAAGTGTGTTCTCAAGACTGATGACGCGGGTGGGACAAGTATGCACATCGTCGTCAAGATAAATGTTTGCTTTGATGTCCTCCAGTGTAAGATAGACACCGTTCTTCGGCGCAACGGCCTTGACCGAGGCGCCCGTCAGGGACGAGACGCTGCGAGGAGACGAGTCAGCCATGGCTCTGATGAAAGTGGCATGCATAATACACCCAACGGGCGCTCACCCTCCAGCCTCATATTTAACAATATGGGAACGATGGTCACACAGAACACCGTGGGGAGGTTGTGTCAACAGAGATCTTAAGGCCAGTTGGTTCCCCATCGTTCCGGACAAGACAAAAAGGCCGGCCTCCTTGCCGGTCAGTGCGGCACAGTGACTCTCTAAATCTATCGTCGTGGGGTCCTCGTTAAAGACGTCATCTAGCAGAGAGCACGACTGGATTGCAGCTAGCATAGATGCCGTTGGCGTGGTCATAGTGTCGCCTTGCCGTCAGGGTCAGTCACGGAGCGGAGGGAGCGGAGGGAGCGGGATTCGCCGGCACTGACTCCTAAGATCGTGACCGGCGGCCCCGGCACTGCCAATCCAAGCATTGTGCCTCGGGCCCGTTGGGGTTTCGACCGTATTTCCGTTTGCTGAAGACATTTTCAAAGTTTGCGCTGCCGAGGTTGTTGCAAAGGAGGCCCTGGAATTCTTTGGAAACAGTGACCGCGAATATCTTGCCTGCCTCGGACTATTTCTGACAAACGAAATACAGATCAGAGAAGGTGTCGGGTTGTTAATCCAACTTCCCGTTGCCGGCATGACTCTTCGCCAGAGTCGCATTGCATCTGAACCGCATATCATCACAGGATTGGATTTCGGTGGAGGGCATCAGGTATTCGCGGGGCAGGCACGGCGGGGTTGTTCGCACCAGCCGGACACCTGCTGCGAAGTAGGGAGGTACATACTTAATCCACAACCGGCCGAACCAAGCACAATTGAGCAGGTCACAGAGCCAGTCGAAGGACCATCGGGCAGTGATTGCCCACTTTGGCGCTTCCCCGATGAGAGAACTGCGGTCTGGCAGGCGCGACCCACACCGCGTGGGCAAAGATTTCGGACCTGGCTTGGAGACCCACTGAACTTGGCTTCCCGATCGAGCCGATCCCGCCCTCTCTCTCGTCCACGAGGAGGACAGGCAACACTGGCACCCACGCACCCAACAAGCGAGTCGTTCGCACGTGGCAACAAGCCAGCAACACGGCGAGACACTCCAAGCCACCGCGCCAGAAATCCTCCAAGGACTGGTCTCGAAAATTCCTAAATCCCCAGGATCCTGAACTTAGCGCTGTTGCTTCAGCCGTGTTACGAAAAAGCTCTTCCTCGGCCAGATGCGATGCAGCCGATGCCACAGATCAGTGTCCGAAGGTTTTCGGGCCTCAGGGGAAGAGGTGACTAAGAATTAGAAACTTCGGGGACTGGTTCTCGTTTCGGGGAACACAGCTGCAGGTGATATAAGTACTTCCTCGCACTTCCCGCACTTTTCTGAATCAACTCCCTTCTAACAAATGCTCGAGCTCAAGGCTAGAGGAGGCATTGATGCGGAACCATAAACGTATGAAACCCCGGCAATCCCAAGGCTGACTGATTTTCCTTCTTTTTAACTGATATGGATTTAAGCAATTAAAAACCTTCTCAGGGTCCAACCCCAAGCGAGATTCGGCCTTTCAGCACCTGTTGCACGACCAACGAACCCCAGGGAGGCGAGCCTCTAACAACACAAATTACCGAATCCGGCAAACCAACAACTCCACTGGTTACTTTTCATGGGCATCGTCAACCAACAATCAAATTACAGACGCCAGACGCCAGACGTCAGCCGGCAGCCGTCACCGACTCAGATCGGTGCTCGCGCTCTCCCCGCAGTCGTTTGCCATGCCCCGGCCGTCAAACCCCCCAGGCAGTTCCACGTAGTGCTGCCGCATCCCGCTCTGATCCGGAACCGGTACGGGCCAAGTCGAGGGGTGGCCGAGGCCAAGATCCTGCCAATCCCAGTAATTGAGTAGTGCGGGCTGAGGTGGCGGTGGCGGGGAGCTGTCAAATCCAGAAAGGCCGCCGTTCGGGTAGAGCACATTGCCTCCCAGGTTTTCCATCGCCTGGGGTGGCTGCCAAGCAGGTTGGCTGAATGGGATCACACCCACGGGGCTCTGCGCCGAGTATTGAAAGCCGCCCTCCTGCACGTACCCGGAACCGGGGTTGTATGCCTCTGATGGCATGAAGACGGTCGTCGACATGGCACTCGTCGCCGGCATATAGCCACCCGTTGCTCCCGGATACGACGGGTGGACCGGCACGAAGTTGCTAGAGGACGCAAGACCGGTTGCCGGCGCTACGCCATTCGATGGAACGACGGACCTGGGCCGTGTCTGGGATTCTGATGATACCCGGGGATTTATCGATCGACAGCTGTCAGGTACCGACACGGAACTCTCGCTGCGTGGCTGGAATTTGGACAAATCCACCGTGGAATCGCTGTTAGAGCTGGCGCTGCTGGATCGGTGTCGGGGTTTGTGATTCCGACGACCTTCAGACCGGGTGCGCTGCGACGACGGAACGCTCGGAGACTTCATGGTCAGAGTTCGGTCGCCGGGCGGCGTAACCCTCTCATTCTTCACCCGTTTCTTCGACCCAATCACCCCTTGCTCCCTGGTGCTCAGCGGCAGCTTATTAAGGAGACCCTTTAGGATGTGGTGTAACCCAGCCGTTGTCTTAGACTCGGAAGCCGCCTCTGCGAGCATGCCCAAGCATTTCTTGACGGCCTCAAGGATAGTCTCCCGCTGCGGAAGGTTGCGAGCCTCGTCCAGGAGGAACGCAGAGCACATGACGGTTGCTGCGTCGAAAATGCAAAAGACGGCATAGTGAAACTTGGCCCCCGCCGAAACCAGGGTTTCAAAAAGCCTCCACGACACATCCATGAGGCCCAGCGCCGCCCCAACGCCGGCCTCTCGAAGGCTCGACTCGAGTTCCGACATGGGCTCCGCCGAGTTCCGCGTAAGAAAAGGTTTTAGCTGACTGAACAAGCTCATGTATCCGATCAGGTGCAGATACCGGCGCTGAAACACAACCCATTCAAACTCACGGTCCCACCGCGTCTCGGGCGACTTCAAGGCATATTCCGCCGGGAGGCTATCGAACCACTTCTCAACCGCAACTTGTATCCGTTTGGCAGTTTTTGCCTTACCTGTTTCGGGATCCGACTCCTTCCCAAACTCCGCAGCCGCATTGATGCACAATTGGCAGTGGAGGTTCATATGGCGGAATTGCGAAGGCTGGTCGGGCCGTTCCCGGTTGTTCTCGAGGGTAAGTGTCGGCATCACGACTGTACTGTGGGTGCGGTCGATCATGAACGGGCGAGATAGCATGGAGCCCAACGCACTGAACAGCATTAATTCGCCATCGTCATGGGTAGGGCCACGTATCATTACTTACAAATCCCACAGATACAAGATAACCCACATGCGTCTCCTCATCTCGCGATCATATTCCGACATCCCCTCGGAGGAGGAATCCTGGTGCAGGCCTGGACTACGTCAGTCTGGCGTGATTTCGATACCCCGCAACTGCGGATAATTACCTATCTCGATGGCGGCGGGGATGGCCCTGCTCAAAGCACTCCATGACTCGTCCCATTTCTCGGCTGACTTGTACCAGAATGCGGTGAGAAATAGTTGCTGAACGTGGACGAGGCCACCTTTTCCTAGGGGGATGCTGGCGCTGAGCTTCTGGGCCGCAGCATGCATGCGGTCGGCGAAGGTCAGGACATCGGTGTCGAGTTCCGTTTCGAGTCTCACTTTGACGCTGTTGTCGATGATGAAATGGAGGGAGCATGCGCAAACGCGCAGGATCAGGCTCGTGAGTTCGGGCGTCACCTTATTTTGCGGGGTCGCCCACCAGCCGTCGTACTGGGTCCTAAATTCGGGCGGGTACAAGGCGTAATACTGATGATTGGCGCCGTTCAGCCAGTTGTCGACGAGGCAATCTGCGCCGGTCAGCACCAGCAAAGCCTGGGTGGAATAGGCGGGTTGGGTTTACCAGTGTACCGCTTCTCCGGCATCAGTCGCAGAGCGTCTTTGAGCTCATCACACTGTTCTTCGTCGCTTTCCTCTACGAGGTCCCTGACTGCCTGTTGGATCGTTAGTCGGGGTTTCGCGCCTCTCCGCCCGGCGCGCGTCACTTTACCTTTGGGCCAGGACCCTGACCTAACACTAAGTGGTGATGATGGGCGAGGTAGCCGAGCCCATTCAAGGCGCTGCTCACGTCGACATCCGAGCCAGAGTCATCGTTATCCGAATCTCTGTCGGACACGCCTTTGTCTGAACTGTCGAGGCTGCGCTTCCTAGATGCCCTGATAAAACGGTAGAGCCACCGGTTAGCAGCGACGCGAAGGCTTGGGGCTCGTGGGCCAAACCTTGGCTGGCTGTCATTTGAACCGTCATCTCTGGCCTTGAGGCCGAGTGGCTTCGATGCAAACCGACAGAGGTGGGACACTCCTCGCTTCAAGCAATGATTGCAAGGAAACTTGCGGTCGCACTGGTTTGAGCTGTCAGCCAGAGCATCCTGTGTAAGAGCCCGTCGGCCTTGTGGCGGTGTGGGTCTCAAGTCATTCGGGTCCCTTTAACTACCTTTTGCTTGCGCCGTTTGCACTCGCCGCAAGATACCACTGCGGCAGCGTTTGAGGTCATGTCGCCCTTGCGTGTATCTGGTTGCTGGCCGGTTGAAGAAAAGAACGGATCCGAGATGGACTTCCCAGACCGAGAATGGACGTCGAGGCTCTGTCAGGTCGATCCTCTGCGGTACGGCGGGACGTTGCAGCAGTTGTGGTTCTTAGAGGGCAGCGGTGGCGTCTGAAGAAAGCGGAGGCAGCTTCGCGCCAGGTTTGCTGTGAAAGCCGAGTCCAGCCCCAAATCGGCCAGGCCCCCTGCTGCGACCCTTATTGTATCACAGCAACAAATCTCGGATTTTACTTCCCACCAAATGACGATTCTCAGCGTCCCCAATCACTGCTTGCCAAGAATGCAGTGGGGTGCTGAGGGATGCCGCGCCTGCAGCCCAAACCCTTGCGATAACTCACTATCCCGGGCACCGGGACCTGGAACGGTTGCCATCCTCAATCCCACACACTCGGGGCGCTGGCTCTCTGGATCTCGGGAGAGGACCACGCCCTCACACCTTCGACCGACACCCGGATTACCTAGTTACCTAATGAACTGGGAGAACACAATGAGCCACACGCTGCACACAGTGCAGTACAAATAGACATCCACACGGCCACGCAACCACCCTGCGGCCCAGCCAATGCGGGGTCTGGAGATCTCCCTCTCATTGAGACCCGGCTAGTCCGTGATAGGCCTCGACACGGCAAGGGAACCGGTGAGAAGTGACAGCACCTTTCCACCTTTCCGCCTTCGCCGCCGACCTGGAAAGAGGCCCTTCGCGGCTGACGAGCAAAGCTTGACAAACAGACCGCCAAGCTTTCCCGCCCAAAGGCTCCATGGGTTACCTGGCCCAGGCTCGTTCCGGCCGGTCGTACCGCATGGGGTGAAACCGTTGCACCGCAGACCCTGCCTGCCTGCGTTAGTCGAGCAGAGAAGAGAGACAAGTGAACGTTGAGATCGTGCAGTCAGAGTGGAGTGGGGAGGGAAGGAGCCAGGTCGATGGCGGAGGGAAAGTCAATGGGCCCGGCCCCCCTCCCTTCACCCATGTTCGGAAGAGGATCGAGGTATGTAGTTCATATGTATGGATGTAATTTGCAAACTAGCGACTACGGCATCATGGCGCTCGCGACATCGTGACGACCGCCACAGCCAGAAACTGCATCCCTCACCGTGCACTTTGACTCTCGGTACTTTCCCCAGCTTTTTTCTTTGTGCGTGTGTGGTTGTGTGTGTGGGTGTCAGCCCGCGTCGGCACTCGTTGCGGCATTCCCCGGGTCCCGGGTCACCTTCCCCGACAGGCATAAAAGCCAATGTAAGCAGGCGCAAGCCCCCCAAATGTGGTTACCCGAAACAGACATGTTTGTTCGCTTCCCGAGCCGAGGTCCTCTCGCTCGCGGTGCCGGGTGCCGGTTGCATGCATGTGTGTATGTGTATGTATGTATGTGTGTGTGTGTGAAAGTGTGGGAGTGAGAGTGCTTTTTTTTTTTTTATTATTAATCCGGCGGACTGCATCCGGAGAATACATAATACCTGACTAACGAGCTAGTGGATGTTATGTATGGATATCCACACGAACAATGGGCCCAGGAGAGAGGAGAAGGGGGGGGGGGTATCTTGGGGCCGGGCTTACGGCGCTTCTTGTCTTTTTGAGGACGCGGCACAGGTCACATAGGACGGAGGGTTTTGTTTTGTGGGCTTTTTTGACACATCTGCCGCCTTTTGACGTCTTGGCGTGCGCGGAGGCTGGAAGAAGGGGGGTGGCTGGAGAGAGCTGAACGACGTGAAAGGTAGGGGAAGGGTAGGGGAGGGGGAGGGGAGGGGAGGGGAGGGGAGGGGAGGGAGATGGATTGTTACCCTTTTGTTGCTCCAGGAGATGATGGCCCCCTGATCAGATCTGTCGGGTCGGGAATGTATGTGAATGTATGTATGCATGTGCCTTCATACTGTGCGTGTGTGGTTTGAGACCGGCGGCGTCGGGCTTTGCCAAAATTTAACCCTGAGGGCTGGGTTGGCTTGGTCAGCGCTTCAATTCTTCCGTGACCGTCTGGGAAAGAGATGGACGCAAAAGCCCGTGTTGTTCGCACTGGCTGACTGTGGCTGCTGGGTTAGATCGGGAGTGGGACGGGATGGAGATGGAGATGGGGATGGGATGGTCCGATGGGATTGGGGATGGGAATGGAGAGAGACAGAGAGAGCTACGTGAGTGAAACAACATCTCCTTCGCCCGACTCCCGTCTTGGCCCTGGCCTGCTTTTGGTAAATTCGGATTCTGCACCTGGCTGGCAGCATCCATTCATCAGATACCCGATTGGGCAATCGGGGGAATGCTGTGAGGGTTGGTTGGTTAGTTGCTTTTCTCCAACAACACCCGAGAAGAGAGCGGCCCGTATCCCTCCCTTTGACTTGACGTGGACATCGGTATCTGGTACCCCCGTCGTGGCTCGGTGTCAAGAGGGCCAGACGGTCTCACATTATTTCAGCTTGAAAAGGCAGCTCGCTGTTCGGTTAGTTAGGTGAAGAGAATAGGACAGCAGACACCCAACACAAAGCCAAGACAATATTGAACTGAGTTCAGTGCCTTGGCAAGGAGCTGGCGTGGACGCACAATGCATACAATCGAAGCCAGCGGGTCTCAGTGATGCCCGATCTCAAGTCTCACCACTTTGATGACACAGTGACCCGTTTCGAAGACCGCCGAGCTGAAGAGCGAGGGGGCTGAAGGTGGAAAGTTTGAGCAGAGAACAAAGAGGATTTCAATTCTTCCCCCACCTCGAACCGCGCCCTACGGGGCGCTCTAATATGCAAATTGAGACGTAACTCCTTGACTATAATCTCAGCCGGTGATGGACCGGACCCCTTAGACCAAACATTGCCCGTTGCAAGCCAAGCCCACAGTACTCCAACGAGACCCCGAACCCAAGCACGCAAAGTAGAGATGCGAAAATAAACAAACGCCTTCAGCCCGCCCATCCCAATCAATGCTTGACAGCAGCCCAAATACACCCCCACCCTCCAACGCAACAAATACAGCAAGCAAACTCATTCTTCAAACCCCTCCCACTCCCCTCTGCTTTCCCCTGTCACATTGACCTCCGCTCTCAACAGGCCACTCAACACAGTGACGTCAACACCATCGCCCTCCATCAGCTGACCGGCCTGCTTCTGCCCCTCGAGGACGTCATGGAGGCGATACAGATGACCGCTCTTGGCCTCGAGCTCGCCCTGCAGGCGCTTGATGTCACCCATGACGCGTCTCCGCTCACGCATGCCGAGTGACTTGTCCAGGGCGAAGTACACCTCGTTGAGCCGCTTGAGCTCGATTTGGAGGTGGTCGATCTCGTCCTGCGTTTCCTTGATCAGGACGGCAAGCGCCTCGCCGGGAGCCATGGCCGGGCGGACGGTGGGGTCTTCAGGGTGCTGCTGGGTGTGCTGTTGGTCAGCTGGGAGGCGGTCCGAGACTGGAATGGGTTTCTCGGCGGAGACAATCTTCTTGCCGCGCCGCACGTCTTCTGGGGTGATGAAGATTTTGTTGGCGGTTGGTGCAGCGGCAGAGGCGGGCTTCTCGCCGCCGTGGGCGGCGATTCGCACGCAAATGTTGCAGTTTACAGAGTTGTGTTTGCAGATGCCATCCAGCAAGCGGCGAGCGTCCTTGCTCAACGACGGGATGGCCTCTTGCGGCAGGTCCTGGGCGGTGCCCTGCTTGAGACCCTCGAGTGTTGTGTCGGGCATGAAGAAGGCAGAGGTTAGACTGGGCTCCGTCGCTTCACGGCCGGCTTCAGAGTTGCGGCGGAGATGGGGTTCTGCGCGCGGGAGTTCTTGAGTGTTACCCATAGACGACCTGCGGGTGCGCGCGTTGTTGAAAGTCTCGTCCTCCACATGATGGCTGGCAACGCTCAGCGCAGATTTGACGCTAAAACGACCAGTATCCTCAAACTGACTAGACTTCTTGAGGATACTAGGAAGCTGGGCCTTTTGCGGGGCAAACCTGGAAGGGACGCCGCTATCAGACTTGCTCCTTTGAAGTGTCGGAGGAAGCGAAGGCAGGGAATGAGTGGTAATGTCAGCATCCTGCTGCACTCGTTTCTGAAGCTCTCGATAGGTGTGCCTCAGCTTGACGATTTCGCCCTCCATAACACTCGCGAAGTCAGAGTCCTCCTCAGTCAAGTGGAGCTCTCTGGTAAGGTCGTCGTCGACGACGTTGATGTTGACGGCGCTGCTCTTTCCTGTCATCTCATCGGTTGTTGCCTGGACGTCTTTTGGTTCAATAATGCGGGTCATTTTGGTTGATTTCCCAGTGAACTCTTGCTCCGCGATCTCGCTGATTCTGTTGGACAGGCGCTTGACTTTCTGGACGGCTGCCTCTCGGCGCTCGAGTTTTTTCCGGAGAGCCGCTTCTCTCTGTTTGAAATCGTCGTCTAAGCGGATGCAGTCGTCGGCATCTTCGTTGACCACGTGCTTCGAGATGAATTGGTCCACCTTATTCCTTTCGTCGGCCCACTGCCCCCTCAATTCCTCGTGGCCTGAGCGAAGGCGCCGGTTCTCATTCCGCAGCCGCTCATTGTCGAGGGAGAGGTCCAAGTTCTGTTCCTTGAGAGAACGAATCCGACCTTCCCCGGCGCTGATCTCGCTCTCCCTTTGGTTTAGCTCGGCAGCTTGCTCTTCTACCCTGATTTGGAGATGCTCGGCTTCGGCTTGGAGCTCAGCGTTCAGCTCAAGGACAGCTGTATTTGTTGTCAAGCCTTGGATGTTATCGAGCATCTTGTCTCGGGAGCTGATTCCCTTCTTCAGATCGGTGATATGCTGGTCCCGCGCGGCGACCTGTGCCTGCAGTTTCTTGTTTTCCTTGTAATAGGTGTCACTGTTGCGCTCCATGCTGGCATGGTCTTGTGAAATATGCCGCTTCTCCTCCTGCAAAGCCTCGTACTGCTTGCGAACCGAGGCAAGCTCCTCGCGAGTGATGCGGAGGTCTTTTTGTACCCCACCGAGTTCCCGGCGGAGCTTGTCGTTTTCGGCGGTCAGGGTTTTGTTGTTTTGAAGGGCAGAGTCGCGTTGGTGCTTGAGAGTCTGGTTTTCAGAGAGTAGGGCTTCGTTCTCGAGCTGCAATTCTTCCCTCTCCTGAAGTAAATGCAGAGAGGACTCGAGGTCCTTCTGTGTGGCCTCAAGCTCGGCGTGGAGTTTGGTAGCGCGCTCGCGGGCAACGGAGGCTTGGTGCAAGGCTTCATCACGTTCTGCCGCGAGGGCGGCACTGTGAATGTCATTGACGCCGACCTGCCTACTAGCCTGGTCAAGACGATCCCGCAGCTGCGCAATCTCGTATTCTAGATCGTCGTTATGCCCAACGCTGCGCCTGAATGAGGCATCGGATTCTGAACCAATGGCACTATCCGAAAGCTTCCGGGTCTTGAGCCTCTTAAGCTCGCCTTGAAGCTGGTTGACTTCCCGCTGCAGCTTCTCGGCTTCGAGTTGAAGCATTGCGTCGTGGTCATGGAGTTCGCGGACTTCTTCCTGGAGCTTATCCATAGAAACAAACATTTCCTCGTCTTCCTTGGTGATTCCGACCGCGTGGATCTCGTCATGGTCCCTTCCGTATTTATCCAGTCGGACGCCTGACTTGTCCGACTTGACAAAGACGGGAACGCCGTTCTTCATCGTGCTAAATTTGAGAGTTCCGGACGTCCAGTCTGGGAGATGGCGGAAAGATGGTAGAAAGAAAGAGCGACTAGTGGGGGTAATCATGCTGTTGTCGAGCGCGAGTGCGTGGGCTGGAGTGTCATAACTGGGGCGGGCGGATGGGGAACGTTTCGGGGTGACATCGCGCTTGGTGGTTTGCTTTTCGGTGCGGATTTTCGACGCCATGTCCTGGAGAGAGCGCTTTCCGGCCTCGGGGGCAACCGTGACTTCTGGCTCGACAGGTGCAAAACGAGACCGGCGGGAGGCCGAGGCAGGCCGCGCGGGTGAGAGGGAGAGAATGGTGGAGGCGTCGGACTCGTTCTCAACACGTGCTTGAAGGTCGGCGCGGAAGCGCTTCCTCTTCATCTCGGCCATATCTTCAAATGTGTTCTCGCCGGCGCGTTCCTGGGCCGGGGGTATGTTCTCCTTCCCACCCGGGGAGGCAGAAACGGGCCTAAGTGGCGCGACCATGTCGCCGGTCTGAGTGAAAGTCATATTATCCTTGGTTAGGAGGCCGGTCCATTCCGGAAAGGTGCGGGCAATTGCCGAGGTGTTGAGAACCGCATCCATCTGCTTGGAACCGAAGCGGCCTGACCTCGAGGCGTGTCTCTTGGATGCAGCTTGGAATTCCTCGCTGAAGCGACGGGTGCCTTCGCCGTCGGGGCTAAATGAAAAGTCGGAGAGATTCTGGGAGAGCTCTTCGGTGGTGGTGCTGACCGTGTCGTGGGAGCCGGTTGATGAGGGTGGTGAGCTGAAAGGGTTCTGATGCATACGATGTTGAAGCATCTCTTTTCTAAGCCTAGAAATATGCTTGGGTCTGCTAGTGGCATGATTGCCTCTAGTATTGCTGTTGATATCCATGGTGAGCCTGCCGAGAGCGCGTCGAGCGCGACAATGGTCAACAGGGGGGTGAACCGGCAGCAGCAGCAGGTGCAATCGAGGGTAGGTAGACGAGGGCTACCGCCAATTGAAGCGACGCCGACGTCGGTGCGCTGCGGCAAATTGGAAGACGGAGCTAGAAGGTGCGGTTGATGTTGAGCTCAGACTAAGATTGCATGATATTCGTATGGTGAGGTTGTGTTTTCCGCAGAGCTGTGAGGAAACAATGGGAGGCGGAAGTCGCGAGTTGACCTGGCAGTTGTGGTTGACTTGGAGGCAAGGACGCGATCGGACTCCATTTGTTTACATGCAGGGGTCAAAATACTCGAAGTGGGGCATCAACTGTGGTGGGGCCCTGAACGTGGCCGCTCTATGCGCTCATTGGCAGGCCGCTGTTGTGCACCTGTCGTCTCACCCGCACTTTTGGCTGAAGCTCCATTTGTATTGACACCTGGAAGCTGTCGAATTGAAGGTTTGGGTGACCTCGAGATACTGCTATTGTCGAAATACGGTGCCTGAAATGGCGCCTAAAATCTATCATTGCAAAATTACATGGCTTGCTCGGCTAGATCGTCTCGTTCTTGTCGCTCATACACACACACGGACCATGCCGTTTTCGCCTGGCCCTAACAATATCACAACCGTCCCCCATCCCTTGGCTTGCGATAGAGCCGGGCTCTGTTACCTATGGTGCCTTTACTTCCATGGATCAGCCGCATTAGTTGTTGCTCAGCGTTCTCCAGCAAGCCTCCTAGCCTGAACCTCTCCAAGCGCCTTCGTCCCGCTCAACACAGCGACTGCGCCGACCACGCCCATGACCGGAAGCACCTGGAATAGGTTCCAGGTGGTGTAGTACATGAAGAAGACAAACTCCATCGCCATGATCGAGCCGAAAAAGGCGGCATGCGACAGCGGTGCCACACCAAGAGCTTTGGACAGGTGGTTGAGGTTCCCGCCAAGAGTAGCCCACTGTTGGAAGGTGTCAGTATCGCCGCGCGAGTAGTTTGGCGGGTGTGACTTACGCTAATTAGCAGCGCCGGCAAGGCAGCAGCCACGGCCAACCCAAATGCGAGCGAGACGACCTTAGGCGGGCTCTTCGCGTCAGGACGGAAGATGTGGTGGATCTCGGGCTGTTTGCCATAACGCAGGGGTTCCTCGTAGGCGGGGGGTGGCGCGTTGGCATCCTGCTCGACCTTGACCTCAAAAACCGGAGCGTCGAGCCCTTGCGAAGAGCCAAAGGAGGCGAGGACAACGGATGCCTTGAGAGGTTTGGCCGCGATGCGCAACTGGACGGGGAGGTCCTTCTGCGACTGTGCGAGAGTATCAGTAATTGTATCCCCCTTCTGTAAACCAGGCGCCCTTACAATCTGAACGGTCGCCTTCCCACTCTCCTTAACAGTCAGTGGAAAGGGCGCTTCGAGCCCCGTGTCCTGTTCCTGCAGCACGAGGAATGCCTGGTGCGGGCGCTTCCCGGCGCCATTGTCCTTGGCCGTTAGGACGAGCTTCAGTGTACTGGTGGTTCCGAGGGAGACTGGTTTCGCAAGAGGGCTGTTTTGATTAAGCCTAAAAGAAAAAAGGTATAGTTAGCATCTGTCAGCGTCAGAAAATTCGGTGTGCAATGCGGCGTACTTCTCTTTAACAGATTCACCCTTCTTTGCGGCAATCTGAATGCTGCCGTCGCCGAACCCCCAACCGGAAGCGGCCTGCGCAACGCCCGCCGCAAGCAACAAAAGCGCCGGGGCAATTGATTGTGTAAACCGCATTGTGGGTGGTTGTCGTGGCAGGAATGCTTGCCCGTCTGGAGAGCAGCGAGTAAACAGCAAGGCTGACGACGGTTGCTTCCGAAACTCTGGACACTTGTTCAGCTCAAGCTCCATGCACGGCTTGACTTGGCAAGGCGCACGGGCCAGATCATCATCCACTTGAGCTAGTCCTAATTAGGCTAACTCGTAGAAGGGCTTGGCGATCGATTCCATGAACACCAAACCGAAGTTCAAACCTTCCAGAACGGGGCATCTTGCGATATCACGAAAAATGACAGTGGCACAGCATCTCCACAGAAAAATAGTGTTTTCATGTCCCTTCCAGACGTCAACCACGACAAGAAGTTATATTCGACTCGGCTGAATATTCCAGCTTTCACTTTGAAGTTCCACTCCTATGTATGAGGGCGACCATCATCCGCAAGGACCTGTTTGTGTGTTTGGTCGCGTATTACAGAACGAGGCAGGTCCAACCTGGAAGTGGTGCGCAAACAAGGGCACTGACTGGCCAGTTGGTGGCAGATAACTCCATACCTCCATTCGAGGTGTTGGGGTTGCACAGCGGCTCTGCGACCTCACTGGCACGCAACAGCGGGAATGAGGTAAACATTCGGGGCATTGGCCCTCTCTCAGCGTTTTTGTCCGTCAATTGGTTGCTTCCATTGGAAGACCCCACCATCTGCAGCTCTCCCGCTGCAGGCATCCCTCCCCTCAACTTCATCACCCCACAGCCGGACATCCGGGGACACAATGAAGTCAATCGGACTACCAATACTTTGAGATGAAAAACAATCCGATATCTTGAGCCACAATCAAGATGGAAGAGGCGGCGTGTGGCAAAGGCATGAGCATGGATGAGAGAGATACGAGACTCGACGGTTGGGTGTTGGGAGCGTGGGACTTTTTAGGCGGGGTTTCTCGTATGGAACACTGCATGCAACCCTCCCTGCACCAGTCGGCATATCAGAAACAATGGCACTTACATACCAAAAACGGGCAACTTGCCGCCTAACGCCGCCATCTTCCTATCGCACCGCAGACGCCGGCTGCAGTAAGGAATCCTGTTCTGACGAGAGAAGGGGAATACCTACGCCCTCGCTCGGAATATAAACACCTAGTGTGATTCAGATGGCATCCCTCGGGGGTACTTGGCCCACAAGGCACAGAGCTTTCCCCGTTTGGCGCAGCCTCTTCTGTGCCGTCTCCGAGCCGTTGCTCGAGGCACAAATAGATTCGCAGCTGGGGAGTGCCGCACAGGCAACCAGATGAATGAGCACCACAACAACAACCTGGGGGATGCGCCGACAGGTTCTGTGAAGCACACGACAGTCGGGTGGATGGGAAAGCAGCTGTTCCGTCCAATCTGAGAGGTGGTGGAGCCCCTGGAGTGATGGCACCGGCCTGGGCCATTCTGGACCACCAATCCTCAAGACTCGACCGTTGACCACATCGGAACAAAACTTGATGGTGGATGCGCGATTCCGATTGCTTTTGCATCGTCCGAGACAAAATGGTCATGGAAATCCGTGCCACAAGCGCCGCTACGGGCCCAACCTCCTTCCGATCCTTTTCGCCAGTCCCCATTGCCAGGGCTGCATCACGGAGTGCTCACTCGGCGTTTGACTTGCTGATCCCTGCGGCGGAGCGAACACGGCGAGAAGACAGGGATGGGGAGCTTCGACCTATCACGAGTGCTTCTTCTTGATTGAACTTCCAAAGCCGGCCAATCCGGTGCAGGCAGCAACCTCGGGAGCTTCCCATGGCATCCACTCTGGATCCGGGGTTGCTGGGAGTGCTTCCCTTTTTATCATGCCAGCTCGCGTTTTTTCCTTCCGCGCCGTTCTCATCATCCTTGATCCCCTCAAAGAGCTGCGTCCTCCCCTCGTTTGAAGGACATCAGTCGCCGGGCACTTAATTCCTCTTCTCGCCTTCGTTTTCACTTCACATTTTTCAACTCCCCATTTTTCAAGCTCCCCTCTGTCTCGCTGTAATTGTCTAATTTCTCTGTATCTAATCCGCTCCCCCCTTTTACGAGGTCTCACTTCGGATCTACACCGACTGTAAGTCAGACCCTCCACAGAGGAATGATAATCGTCTCTGCGGCAACTTGAGGCTGGCTGTCTGTCTCATTGTTCATTTTTATGTCTGGGCCGCTCACATAACTTTTGTTCAGACAGCCATCGGTCGTCTGTCCATAATTCTCACCTTTGCAACTCCTGCTCCTCGGCCTCCAGCGGATCACCATATCATCCTTAACCATGGTTTCCTTCCGGACAACTTTCTTGGCCTTCATGGGTGCCGTGGCCGTCTCGGCCGACTACTGGGTCGACCCTGAGACCGTGCCCGACTACCTCAAGAGTAGGCTTGGAATCCGTACCGTCCCCTAGAGGAGCATGAGCTGACAGCCATTACAGAGGCGTGGTGCAGCGACCAGCGCAGCATGTGCAAGCCGATTTGCCTCGAAACTTCGAGTGGCGATCCCCAGGTCAACACCTGCGATTCCCGTACGTGGAAACCCCGCCAGCTCGCAGGCCACGCTTGCGCTTGCGCGTGTGGTCGCGTGACGCGATTGAACCCGACGCTGACAACCCTCTCCACCTACAGGAAACCCTCACATACGGCTGCGTGTGCAGCGACGGCAAGCAGCCCAACGTGACAGAGTACACCCTGACGCTGCCGTATCACGTCTGCACGGCCTGGGGCACCGCGTGCGTGGCAGACTGCGGATCAAACAACAAGTGCGCATCCGACTGCCGCGAGAAGCACCCCTGCGGCGCCCAGACCCCGACCCGCGTCAACGACACCTCCTCTACCACCGCTGCCGTGCCCGCCGCCACCTCCACCGCCCCCCCGGCGGACCAGGCCTACGACGGCCTTGCTGACGGCTCCGGCGGCAACAACGACGACGACAAGAATGCTGCCGGGTCGCTGCGGTTCGCAAATTCGTACGGCTTGGCTGTCGTGGCCGGCGGGTTGTTCGCCGGGTTCGCCGTCCTGCTCTAAGAGATCACGTTGGGATCAAGTTGAGTTGTTCGCGTGTGTGTGGTTGATATCTGCATATCAACGCGCGGCGGCTAGGGACCTAAATTGACGATCCGGGGAAACCGAGATCTGCCGCCCGAGCCATTGGTGGAACCATGTTGGCGGAAAACGGCGGATCGCCAATCGACCCAACCGCGAACGGTGTTAGTCATGGTTATTTTTTAATGTCGGCTTCTGGAGTCCGATGCATCATTGGGTATTGGGTAATTATTGCATTAATGGTTTAAGAATGAAGAATCAAGTCCATCAATTTGGCACATCTTCAGGTGCCCTGCCAAGTGGGTGACAAAATAATCGAGCCACAGAACCCGGTCATTTCATACTAAATGCGGTTAGCGGTCCGCTCTCCTACAAAATATTTGCAGCAGGATCAACACCAACCTTCAGGGGTAGATGCCTTGTTTTTTGGTCGCGATTACGTCGTCAATCACGATGTAAATAAAAAAAGGTATTGTAAAATCCTACAGCAAACATTAGATCTTGATGGCAAAATGAGCGGTAATTAGATAGAATTGGGACTACAAATGACTGTGATGTTCAAGATACTGCTGGTTTGGTGGTGATGAATTTTCTGTAGGAGTGGTCTGTGTGGCTCGATTATTTTGTTACCCACTTGCCTGCGTACTCGCTCCAATGTCAATTGGCAATCGTTGCTGCAGGACGACTCGCCACCGCCACCGATCAACTGTCCAGCTGTTTCGATGACCGGCCTTCCTGGCCCTGCGCCAGGCACGTGAAAGGTACACGAGTAAAGAATCTTGGATAAACGCCGTTGGAAAGTCGCAGTTGCCGAATCGAACCCAACCATTTCTCCGCTCAAAAACTAACATGCCCCATCTGTAAAGACGGTTACAAACAAACAGGCGATTTAAGGTAATGGGCAATGAGCTTCACCGCCAGACCGCGAGACCGCCTACAAGCTCATCATTTTCACGTGTTAGGCTAACATTGGTGTGGATCCTCAATCGCCACCTTGATTGGAGATTTGATTCGCGACAGGCTTCGGTAGGTCTTGTCTCAACAAGATACCTTGATTGCGAAAACTTCCGCCGTCGGCGCAGTACCTGTGGAACCGACAACGTCGCTTGGCCTGACATACACAGTATAGTGACCTTCATCTACCAAAAGACCTCACGCATCTGCTCGTTGTGCTAGGCTAGCTATCACGAAACCTTTTCTCTCCTTTGTTCGACCTCCTTCGCAGATCCAGGGTCTCGGCCAGATTGCTCAAATTTCCCGTGTCTAACCCCCTTCCAAAAGCGCATATCCATCATCGCCCATCCTACGCGCCGCAGAGCAAACTCATTCAAAGCCGGTTTTGCTCGCGTTGTCCAACCCGGCAGCCGACCATGGCTCCCGACAACAGCAGTTCGTCAAGCCCCACCCCTGCCCTCCCGCTGTCAGACTTCCTGCATCTGCTGGGGTCCAGAGGAACGAACGAGAATGTGTCGACGTCACAATTCGCTAACAATGGTGCCGCAACTCAACAGAAAGAGCAGTCGCCGAGTGCGTCTCCGATGACGCGCTTATCCACCTCAAATCGTACAAGTACTCGGCCGTCGACAAGTCGCCGATATCCCACTACATCCTACGACCATACGTACGCCTGCCCCGCCCCCGCCCTCCAAGTTCGGCGCTCTATGCGACAACTTCAGTATCGATGGCGAGAGAGAGGACATTGCTAAAATATGGGAACAGTGGAACGCCTTTGTCGAGCTATTGCCGCTATGGCTAGCCCCGAATATGGTGACCCTACTCGGGTTCATATGCATCCTCTTCAATGTCGGCCTGTTGATAGTCATGATGCCGGATCTCGAAGGACCAGTAAGGCCACTTGCCGCCGCGCATTCCGCAGTGCCTAGCTGACCTTCCTAGGCACCACCATGGGTATACTACAGCTTCGCCTTCGGCCCTATTCATGTACCAGACCTTCGACAACGTCGACGGCAAGCAGGCCCGCCGCACCGGCACCTCGAGTGGCCTCGGCGAGCTCTTCGACCACGGCATCGACAGCCTTAAACTGCACCCTCGCCAGCCTCCTCGAGACGGCTGCCATGGGCCTAGGCACCTCCAAGTCAGGCGTCTTCACTGCGCTCTGCCCATGCCTCCCCATGTTCTTCTCCACCTGGGAAACCTACCACACCCACACGCTCTACCTCGGCGTCATCAACGGGCCGACCGAGGGCCTCCTGCTCGCGTGCACGTTCATGATTCTCTCAGGCTACTACGGTCCGGCCATCTGGACCGAGCCCCTCACCAAACTCCTCGGCCCGCGCATTTCGATGCTCGGCGCCCTGGGTGTCTCCGACGAGGTGCTCGACCACCTCTCGATCCGTGACCTGTGGGTGACCGTCATCGTGCTCTCGCTGCTCTTCACGCACATCCCCTTCTGCATCAACAACGTCGTCAAGGCCCGGCGCGCAAAGGGCCTGCCCGTGGCCCCCGTGTTCCTCGAGTGGACCCCCATGGTCGTCTACACCCTCTCCATCGGCGCGTGGCTCTACTCGCCCTATTCCACCATCTGCTCGGAGAACCACCTCGTCATGTTCTGCATCATAATGAGCTTCGTCTTCGGCCGCATGACTACCAAGATGATCCTCGCCCACCTCACTCGCCAGCCGTTTCCCTACTGGACCGTCATGCTGTGGCCGCTCGTCGGCGGCGCCGTACTCGGGAATCTGCCCCGGTTCGGCCTCCCTGCCGTCAAAAGCGAGGTCGAGTACCTGTACCTGGTCGGGTACCGATCTTCTCGGCCGTCGTGTACTTCCGGTGGGCGTGGCTGGACACGACCAGCATCTGCAAGTTCCTGGGGATCAACTGCCTGACTATTCCCCGCGAGAAGCAGCTGCAAAACAAGGCGCAAAACCAGGGGATCCTGAACGGCGCACCAAATGGGGGGCGGAAGGTGGACTAAACGGTTACGAAAAAGAGATGAGAAATAAAAAGGGGTTTTGATATGATAAAAGACTAGTTGGGGGGGAAGATCATTCAACATATGAAGTGGCCGCCTAGGGTCAATAATTGTTTGACTTTGGACATTGGGTTTGCATCTGAGCATGGCGTTCTTCGTTTCCGGATGTCGCGGGTATCCATGCATGCATCATGGCCCTTGCTGGCGCGGGCAGGGCAACGCTAGAGAAGCCGGGATTTAATGGCCTATGTATGGGGTTAATTTATAGAGATTTCATATGAATCAAGCACGCTTTCGAACGCATTATCATGTCGAAACAGCGGTGTACTTATTATCCAAGATTATCATTACTTTGAAAGTCGTATCTTCGTTACTCAGCTATGGTGGGTAGGCATAACGTGCCATGCCCAAATTCATGAGAAGAGAAACTCCTTCAGGACGGGCGACCCCGAGAACTCCGGGTTGAGCAGGATACAGCTGTCAAGCAGGAGACAGTCAGCCACGCACTTGTTTCTCTCCCTCCGGATCCTCACCCCAGGGGACGCTAGTGTCGGACTCACTTCAAGAAATACTGCAGCCCGGCCCGCCGCTTCTCGAGGAAGCGCGGGTGAAAGCGCTTCAGCACGCTCTTGGGCGGCAGCGCCGGCACGGCCGCCTCGAAGCTGGGGAAGGTCTGGACTAGCCGCCGGCGGAGGTCGTCAAACTCGGAGTAGCGCTTGCGGATGTTCATGCGGGAGCCCTGTGTGGGAGCAATGTCAGATCCTGCTCTGCTGCTTGTTCTCCATCTCTCGTCCCTCGGCTTTTCTTCCCTCGGCGATGCGAGGGGGGAAGGGAGGGGGACACCTACATTCAACGCCTCGACCCGAATATTCCACACCACAAACGCCCCAATACTCATCGTGCTCCCGTTTACTAGCACATGGTCCGTCACCTGCACGCTGCGCGCCCAGCACGCCCGGTTGCGTTCGCGCCCGTACAGTTCGCTGCTATTGCTCCGCCGCCCAGCATGCTCCCCGTTCCCGTTGCCGTTGCCATTCCTATTATTCGTATTATCATCATCGTCGTCATCCCCCTCGTTATCCTGCAGCGTGATCGCCCCCGGCGGCAGCACCGATTCGGCCGACGCGCTGGAGGCGCCGCGCGCGTGGCCTGGGCCGTGGCCGTGCGGTCCGAGTGGGTGGCTTTGGAGGTGTTGTTCGGCGGCGCGCGCGCTGGACCAGTATGGGGGGATCGAGGCGCTGGGTGATACTACTTTTCCTCCTTCTCCTTCTCCTTCGTCGGTGGATGGGGAGGCGTCGCTGGGGATCGAGGCGGTGTCGTCGTCGTAGGAGGGGAAGAGGGAAGTGCGCGCGGGTGCGGTTTGGGTTGTGTCGTTTATGGGCGTCGGGCTTGGGGGTTCATCGGCGCTTTCACCCGTCTGGTTGCTGTCGGCGTTGCCATTGCGCGAGGGTTCTGGTGGTTGCTCCGCCTGCGCCGGCTGTTGTGGGTGCTGTTCTTGCTCGCTGTCCGGCGCCATTCAGGCCATTCGAGGGAAGCGCTACCTATGAATTCGGTTGAAACGATGGATCGTGTTGCCAAATCGTGGACGGGGGCCTATGATCGTTGCGACTGTTGCGATAATCGCTGTAGTCGTTGCGATACAGACGGGCTCAAGAACAGCGGAAACGGATATCTCGGTAGGCTAAGCACGGAATTGATGGTGTCTGTCTGTACGAGGTAGCTCTTGATATCCGTCGGGTACGATCTGCAAATTTGGAGGTTGTCCGAGGGAGGGTAATCCTGGTAGCTGTGGAAATATAGTTATCCCTTTGGTTGCGCAAACACGGGGCAGTGGAACTTGCAGCATTGTCGCACTCTCGCACTCTCACCAAGACCCCTGCGCTCAACGTCGTCATTGTCAATTGCCCCACACCCGCCCCACAAAGGGCCCTTTCCTGGTGCCAGCAGTTCAGATGATGCTTCGGAATCTGTAGTGGTAACATTATCCTACGGTCATATGATGGAGAAATTCATGAAGTTTCCAAGAATAAACGGCATCCAAGTGTAATACCGCTTCTAAACACTCTATGTTTCTGGGCTCCGAATGACCTGGACGGGGGCCATCCACAATTCAAGATTCAGGGTTAGGGTAGTAGTCGGCTTTCCCGTCTACACAACAACGACCATCTAGCTAACGAGCAGTGAATAATTAGGTATCTACCGCTTTGTGGTGGTAGAAGTTTGCATAGCAAGTTTATTTTAGAGTCGGAAATTATAAAACTGTAGCTGAGATCAGCCAAAACATCTTACATACAATGTCTACATACATACATATCCTCGACCTCTACCCAGTCTTTCGCAGGGCATGGGAGTAGCTAGAGCTCTTCCTTCTCAGAGCTTGCGTGCTTTGCTTTCTCCGCCTCTTGCCTTGCCTCTCCTTCCGGGACATATCCCTCCACGTCCATCCACTCGGCCACAAAAGCCGTCATGATCTTCGCCCAGTCTCTAATGGTCGGCACATCCAGGTGCGCCGCGTCGTCGTCCATGGTATGCCATACGGGCGGGAACGGCGTAGGGATAACATGCAAAATGTCAACGCCCCTCTTCATAAAGGGCACGTGGTCGTCCTCCACAAACCCCCGGAACTTGATCTCTTCCTTCTCACTCTCCGCAAGAAACGACCGCTTCGGCTTCGTCTCGAGCACCCCGAGCCTCCGAAGTCTGCCCTCAATCTTGGCCAGATTTCTGTACGCCCAGTGCGTTGCGGGAAAGTAGGACGGGATATTCGGCTCTGCCGCGCCCAACAAGTCCAGCAACACGAACAGGCTGATCGCCTCCAGAGGCGTCGAGAAGCGGCTCCCAGTATCGTACCGCGTCGTCTCCCACGACTCGGCGAGTGCCCTGTAACGAATCAGCACCTCTTCCCCCACACGCACAAACAAAAGCAACGCGTCAACCCAGCCAACAACAAAACTCACCTCGACCCGTACAAACTATCCGCCGCGCTCCACTGCACCCACGCCTCCTCGCCATCCAACAACAAAATCTGCACACCACTCTCCTCCCCCATCCCCTCCATCCCCTCCTCCACCGTCCCCTCCCACCGCCTCGTCAATGCCTCATCCACCCCCCTCACCACCGCCAGCAACAACGCACACGGCACCGCACTATCCACCGCCCCAACAAACCCCTCCGGCCGGTACAGGCTATCATAATGCGCCGCGAGCGTCAGCCGCGCCACCTCCCCCTCACCACCACCACCACCTTCACCACCGGCGGCCCTCAACCACGGCGGATCGCGCCTCAGAATCAGATTCTGAAAGGGCACGGGCGCGTCGCCCGTCGCGGGGGTGGTCGCCGTGCTGTTGTGCCATTCGACGGTCCAGTCCGGGTGCAGGTGGGCGCGCACGAAGGCGAGGAAGTGCGCCTGCACGCGGGCGTGGCCGGGCGTGCCGGGAACGCGGGGCTGCAGGATGGGGGCGAGCAGCGCGCCGTGGTGGGGGTCGAAGTCGGGGTCGAGGTCGGTGTCGATGTCTGAGGGGGTCCCCGGGGGGGATGATGATGATGATGCGTGGGGTGGGGAGAGGAGGTGGTGCAGGGAGGTGTCGGAGAGGGGGGTGTAGGCGAGGGTGGGGGGGAGGTGGGTGATGGTGGTGGTGAGGAGGACGAGGAGGGAAGGAAGGTGGTGTCTCATTGTGGAGGGTTGCTGCGGGATGCAGCTTGTTGTTGGTGTTGGTGGTGGTGTTGTTTGTGAGTGTGGGTCGAAATCATGCTGGGATATGATTGTAGCCCGTTGGTATGTATGCACCTGATCAATTGACGATTTTATCTCATGATGAGGTTGTCGGTATTCGTATTGAGTGTTGACTTTGTCCCAAAAGAGAAATGGCAACGTGTATGAATGAAGCTGAAATAGGATAAATTACAAGTATTGTCGGGTAACCCCACAGTGCATATCTTCTCCTTTTCTAGGTACCATAGTCAAGCCCATCTCGCTTTGCTCACAAGAATCGAATGTAACATTTCGGGTACGAAGGAGGCAGTAAGAACGATTCAAACTAATGAAGACGGAAAACGAAAAGCGAAGGTTTGTTGCTTTCCGTTTCCTCTCAGTTTTAAACCCGAATATACATCGCCAAGGTGTACTTCGTACAGTCAGTGCCCTGGGTGTGTCTGATCTCACTTTCCATGTGTTGGCCAAGGCCGCCATATTCTTTCAACCTCATCGGCATTTCTCTCTTCTTTTTTATCGAACCGCAAATCACCCCAGGCTAAGATTTACCAAACCAACAAACAATTCCCAACCAAAACTCATCACCAACTTTTCAACAGCCGAGCCAAAACACACCCAACTCAAATAAATCACAGCTCAAAGCGCGTCATCATCCGATCCGACAGGGCGTCGAACAGTCCGTTGCGCAGCCTCATCATCTCCTCATACCCCTCCCCAGCTCCCAGCTCCCCCACCATGACCAGCTCGGATCCCGCCGCGAGCTGCACCCACGCCTGTTCCGTGAACACGTCCACGGGTATCCCCATCTCGCGCGCCTCTTTGCCCATGTAGTCGTGTAACTCGCCTGGCGGGGTTGTTAGTCGGTTGATATTGTTGGCGAGGGGGAGGGAGGGGGTATTGAGAAGCTGAGAGAGGTTGAGGAACGGGGAAGGCTTACTCTGAACAAGCGGCGGCCAGACCTCGATGATCTTGGTGCTAGACTTGGGGTGCTGGCGGCGCAGGCAGGAGACATAGGCGGTCAGGGCGGCCTTGGAAGCCGAGTAGGCCGGCACCATGACGGCGGGGACGGCAGCCAGCAGCGAGCCGGTGAAGATGAGCGCGGTGGGGAACGGCTTCTGGAGCAGGTGCGGGAGGAACTTGATCGAGAGGTCCACGTGCCGCGAAAAGTTGATGTCCATCTCGTCGTGGAAGGAGTCCAGGTCAACCTGAGCCGGCCGCGAGAGCTGGAACGGTCTCTGCACGCCTGCGTTGAGGAAAACGCAGTCGAGGTCGGGGTAGTTGCTTACGACGCTTTGGGAGAGAGGCTGTTAGTGAGTGTCGAGGAGGCCGGACGTGGGACTTACCCTTCAACGAACGCATCAAGGCCAGCCCTGTCTGTGATGTCGTATTTAATAGCACTAGCTTTCTCTGGGCCATGCTTTTGAACAAATTCATCCAGTCTCTCCTGGCGACGCCCAACGGCGATGACCTTGATGCCCTCAAGGATGAGCTTGTCGGCCATGGCCGCCCCTATGCCGGCGGTGGCCCCGACGAGCAGGACGCGCTTGTAGTTGAAGGACATGGTTCAAGATTTTTTTCTGTTACAGGTCTGAGTCAAGAACTGACGGGTGGAGATGAATTTGCTGCCCTCGCAAATTAGGAAGTTATAGATATATAAGTGCTAAGCCCCACCTAGGTAGTCCCGCGCAGCCTACCAGCGGAGATAGGTACAACTCCAGGTTTTAAGTCCGTGAGGTACGGCATCTCTTCTAGGATACAAGTCAACTAACCTAAGTAAGCCAAAACCAGGACGAGTACGAATCATTTCGGGGGTGGGTGCCAACTGGCCATCCATGACAGCTGAGGATTCACCTCCCACTCAAGCAAATCCAATTCTGGGGGTTGCCCCGTGTGATAGTCACAACGACTACCAGTAAGCGAAATCATGAAGGCGGATTGACAAAAGTATGTGAACTCATAAACGATAGTTCAGGTGTCCGGGTCGATAACAAAAAAGGATCGTTTCAGGGGAGCTGTCGGTTGTGGTTGTGGGAATAGCTTGTTGTGATACCGGGATGGTGAGAGATTAAACGAAGGAGATGTTCCAAACGGGGAGATATATATGAGGGTTTATTAAAAGAGAAAAGGATGGCGCTCGGGAAATCCGAGTCCAACTGGAACCAAGTGACTTGATAAACAATTGGAGATATGGATGACGAACGACCTCTATATAGCGCAAGCTAAGCTTTGTCCAACACCTGGTTCCAGATGCCCGGAAACTGTCGGGCAGGGGCCCTTGGGACGCCATTGGTGTTAGCTAATGATCGTTCCGTAGATTTCCGGTGGCTGTTGTCGGGTTGATCTCAGAAGTACGAAGTCTGAAGAGCTAAAGGCCATCGCCGATGAAATTCATTGTTAACGCCGATGGACGGACCCACCCAAACCACCACCACCGTCGGTGATAAGTTGAAGAACATCACAATCGGGTTTCAGCCTTCGGACTCGAGTTCATCCGCCGAAAGAATCATGACAATGTTGGGGGCATCGGCATGCCGTGCGCGGGAGTTCACGGACTTAGAGAGGGTGATGGCGGACTTACAGACCTTGGCTCACAACCGCCTGGGTGCAGTTGATGAACGACAATGGCGACTCGACGAGTGTATAAATGTCGCCCTGTCGTACTTACTCCGAAGGACACCTTGAACGGCATCGCAACATCATCAACCTCACTCACAGGCACATCTTGAGGGCCAACTGACCTTATCACCACCAACTGACCGCAAACCAACCCCCATTCACCATCACCACCGCCACCACCATGTCACCCATGCCCGTTTTCCTCATCACTGGCGCCTCCTCTGGCTTCGGCGAAGCCATCGCATACGACGCACTCGCGCGGGGCCACCACGTCATCGCAACGGCACGCAGCACAGCCAAGCTGAGCGCGCTCAAGTCGGCGGGCGCCACTGTGCTGGCGCTGGACGTGACCAGTGACGAAGCGACGCTGGCGGCCATTTTCCGCGAGGCACACGCCGTCCACGGCCGTATCACGCACGTTGTTAACTCCGCGGGGTATTTGTTAGAGGGGGCCGTTGAGGAGGCTAGGTGAGTTCTCTTCCTCCTGTCTATGTGGGACTTTTGTGTGTGAAGGTGGAACGGCGCGCTGACGGTCAGGGGTAGTGGGAAGGAGGTGTTTGATCTCTTCAACACCAACGTGCTGGGAACGTGTAATATTGCCCGGGTTGCGGCACCGTATCTGCGTGAGGCGGCTAAGGAGGACGGGCAGATGGCGGCGCTGGCGACGTTTGGAAGCTTGGGAAGTTGGTTGTCCGCCGCAGCGGCTGCTCATTGTGAGCCACCCCCCGTTCCCCTCTTGCCCCAGTCTTCTTCATGAGATTCCTCTGTGCTAATACAAGTTCCTCCACAGACTGCAGCACCAAGTTCGCCGTGAGCGGGCTGACCGAGGGCTTGGCGGAAGAGTTCCGGCCTTTCGGGGTCGACGTCTGCTGCGTGGAGCCGGGATACACGCGCACGGCGATCCTGGCGAACGGGGCTGATGGCGTAAACCATCGGGTGAAGACGGCGCGGCAGTTGGACATCTACATGCACCAAGACACGGACGCGGCCAAGATGCGCGCAGCTATCGATGCTTACAATGGCAACCAACCAGGCGACGTCGTCAAGTGCGCCAAGGTCATTGTTGACGTGTTGACCAAAGAGGGCGTCGCCAAGGGGAGGGCGGTGCCTGTGCGTTTGGTTCTGGGCTCGGATTGCCTCGAGGTTGTGCGCGCAAAGTGTGAGAACACACTGAAGCTGGTCAAGGAGTGGGAGGCAGTTTCTGTGTCAACAATGAGGGACGAGGGGGCATAAATTTAGCTCGGCACTGCTCGGCGACCCTCTGCCGTTCTCAGGAGCTAAGCCCTGTTGTTCAGAGCCAAGCTTTTTAACAAGCGGCTGCCGGGGCTTGGCACTCTCTCCTTCAAGGGTTCTGTTCTCAACTTTCTCGCCTTTCTCATCTCAAAGACTTTCATGGTGTTGGGTTTCGGGTTGGTTTCCTGCCTGTCCGTTTGCAGTTGTCCCTGTATAAATAAACAATATAGACAGACATATTTTCTCTTGATATGATAGATCAGTATTCAACATTCAGGTCTCCGCCCAATCTGCAGTTGGGGGCTCGGTAGCTGTGACAAACTCGATTGGCGCTGAGGCTTGGCACCCACATGCCACTCACCATCAGGCTCGCGTGCCCCACGCTCATAGCATCTGCACGCGCAAGCAGCGGGCGGTGCATCACTTTCACCAGTGCCGCCCAGCCGAGTCCTCAAGGACGCCGGCGTATACAAAGTGCATTGTTAGCAGCTCCACTGACTCGTGTTTCTTAATCCGATGTGACACCTCCTCTAACATAGAACCGCGATATTCATCGACCGACCATGAACCCCACTAATACCAAGCCCGATACGCCGTCGATGCACGAACATGTGCAAGCCCCGGTCACCCCGCCATCGCCAGTGACCCCTCCAGACAGCCCCCACAGAGGACCAAAATCACAACGCTCACTGTCACAGGGCTCCGCCGGTTCAACACAGTCGGCACGGAGTCGCCAAGAGTATTTGGACTCGCTGGTACCGCCAACGAAGGAGGAATTTGCCCATATTGCAGAAACACAAGCCAAGCGCGAGGCCGAGCAGAAACGCGCCCAACGCCACAGACAGCGGCAGAGTATCAACTCTATATTGGGACCTCCATCTCCTTCGAGGCCTCAACCCCAACCACAAACCCACCATATACCCCTTGCCAGCCGGCTTGGCTTTGGGTTTGGTCGCCCCCGCGGCAACAGCGACGATGGGCTCCGCAATAGGGCTGCGACAGTCATACAGCGCACATACCGTGGCTACCGCACCCGCCGAGAGATTCAGGGGCTGGGTATCGATGCGTCGACACGTTGGACATATGCCGTGCGTGAGGCGCAATGGAGAGACATGACCACGCCCCGTGCCAGGGGCGCCTCGATCACCAACGGGGTGGCCTCCCCTGAACGGCCGGGAACTGCGAGCGGCCGGCCGCTGTCAACAGCACGACAGAATTGGAAGAAGGTTTCCGCCATTGCCCGGCATGCCGGGAACGACCTCGACGCCGACACCTCCTCCAGTAGCTGCTCCGACTCTGACCCGGATTCGGGCGAGCAAAGGAAGGAGGAACGCAAGCGGCGGGAAGAGGCCAAGGCGCGCCGCAAACAAACCGCAAAGATGATGGGCCTGCAATACTTCCTCGAGATGATTGACCTCAAGCACCGCTACGGCTCCTTCCTGCGCGTTTACCACGAGGAGTGGAAGCGCGCCGAGACCAACGAGAACTTTTTCTACTGGCTCGACTACGGCGAGGGCAAGAACCTCGACATCGAAGCCTGCCCTCGCGAACGCCTCGACCGCGAGCAGGTTCGCTACCTCTCGCGAGAAGAGCGCCAGTACTACCTCGTCAACGTCGACTCCGAGGGCCGTCTCTGCTGGGCAAAGAACGGCGCGCGCATCGACACCACTGAGAAATGGAAGGACTCTATCCACGGCATCGTCCCCAGCGACGACCCAACCCCCGCCTACACCCCCTTAGGGGAAAACCAGACCACCCTCCTCGGCGACACAACCACCGACTCATCCCCGTCCCCCACCGCCACAACCACCACCACAACCACTTTCTCCTCCTCTTTCTCCTCCTCCTCGATCACCTCCGCCAACGCAACACGCTACGCCTCCTCCCTCCCCCCCACCGCCCCCACCAAACAACGCATATCCCACCACCTCTCCGGCGCCACCATCCTCAACAAACTCCTCCGCAAAACCGTCCGCAAAAACACCTGGATCTTCGTCGCCGACACCTCCTTCCGGCTCTACGTCGGCATCAAAAACAGCGGCGCCTTCCAGCATTCCTCCTTCCTCCAAGGCAGCCGCATCTCCGCCGCGGGCCTCGTGCGCGTGCGCGACGGCCGCCTGACCTCGCTGTCCCCGCTCAGCGGGCACTACCGCCCGCCCGCGAGCAACTTCCGCGCCTTTGTGCGCGCCCTGCGCGAGGCCGGCGCCGACATGAGTCGCGTGTCGGTCAGCAAGAGCTACGCGGTGCTGGTGGGGCTGGAGGCGTACGCGAAGGCGAGGGGGAAGGCGGGGGAGGTGTTGGGAAGGGTGAGGGGGAGGGGGAAGGGGAAGGGGTTGGGGAAGGGTGGTGGTGGGAAGGCGGGGGCGGAGGAAGGGTTGGTTGTACCCGAGCCTGAGCCTGAGCCGGGCCCGCGCGTGGTGGACGCTGAGAAGCGGCTGGAAAGGGGAGGAGCTGCGTCGAAAGGGGAGGGAGACGACGAGGCGCAACAACAAGAAAAGCAGCAAGAACAACAGCGACAACAACAAAGAGAAGAAGACAAACTGCGCTCCGAAAACAAGCTCGCCGTTGATGTCCTACAGAAAATGAACCTCGGCGCCAAACCGATCGAACCCAAGGGGCAAAAAGGGGGCGGGGATGACCAGTAGGAGAAATGTTGTCGCTCCGCCGACCGCTCTTCTTCGCCTTTCTTGAACAACTCTGACTGATTAGCAAGCTTGTTGATTTTTGATACCCAACCGCCGTAATGGCGGCGAGAGAAGAAGGGATATGGATGGATAGTGGTATGACCGATCTGACCCACGACATGGTGTTTCATTTGTGATGGACTTTGTGTTTTACTGGAAGGGTTGCGCATAGCATGCATGACTTAATCTAGAGTTCGCACGATGGTTTCAATACCCAAATAGAAAACATATTGCCAACATTTAGTATTTGGTACTTGTTTCTTGGTCTACTCGTGGGTTGAATTCATCGAGTCGAAGCCGCCGGGACCCCGCGCACTCCATAATGAGAACTCAGGCACCGCAATCCTAACTAAAACCAGACTATTTTGCCTACCACGCAGACAGGACTCCAAGAACAATCTTTCCCCGCCCAACCCAGCCCACTCTAATCTATTTTCCAGTCCGTTTTTATCTTGGCCAGGCCCTATCTAACACTTTCGACCCTCTATCATGATCATAACTGGCTTGAACCCAACGTTGACAAACAGGCCACCTCATAACAACTGGTAACAAAGAGATAACCTGATAACACGCCATCCCAACTCCCTCCGTACGTATCCATGAATATAACATAAGGTATCATAAGCATGCTTCCACCGAGAAATGCAACAGAACAAAACAAGGCTGAAAAACCTGACATAGCTATCCCACCTCACACCCCCATGGACCCCTCCACTGAGCCCGGCGAAGCAGAGTGTTCCACCTAAGTAAGCCCCAAACTCATTTCCGTCGTTCCGGCCACTGGTTCACTCTTTGACTGCACCCTCCTGGAATATCGCGGGTACCTCGGACCTTCTTTTTCGCCTGTACGCGAACTGCAAGAAGTAGAACCAGAGTCCGACCGAGCCGGCTCCTTAACCTTGACCCGTCTCTCTCTTGACGGCTCCGGGGCGTCATCCTCCTCGCAAACGCTGGCCTCGACTGATTCGAACCTCCTCCTTGTCACCGCCGTGATTGGAGGCGGCAGCACAGGTTGCGAAAGCATTCCCGTGTGCGCTTGGAACACATGGGCATACGCAGCCGGCATAGGCATTATCAACATCGGCGCGGCAGCGAAGTAGTGGACTTGGTGTGGCGTAGGCGGTGGGGCAGCAGGAACAGGCTGCGGACTTGCGGGTGGGTTGCTAAAGAAGCCGTCCAAAGACCGATGGGGTTGCCGGGTTGGGGTCGGAGCAGCCACCGAGGACACGGCAAAACAGGACGCGGAAAAACCGGCCCCGGTCCCAGCGGCAGATCGAGGCGTAAAGCTTGCCGCGCTTGGGTTCAGCTGAGAGGTCTGTGGGGGTTAGAGAAAGCGGTAGCGCGGGTAGAAACGGCCAATGGATGTATGTATGTATATTGTGGCGATAATGATACATGCATGCTTCGACGGGTTTCTCTCGCTCATACCTCTTTCTCGTGTCCGGGGGTCGTTAAGTCGTTCGTTTCTGTCGCGGTGTCCGAAGAGCTGTCGGAACTCTCGGCTTGCTCATTCGTGGTTGGGACGGATTTGACCTTAGCAAGTTCCGAGCTGGTGACCTCGGCGGTCAGGTCGTTAACGATATTCGGGGCTTTCCGCCCCTTTGGGACAGGCTTATCATCGCGCGGCTCCTTGTCCTTGGGCTTGACGAAGATCTGTTTCGACCACAGCTCTGCGTACTTGCCGTCTGCCCGGATGAGGTCTTCATGGCTACCCTGCTCAACAATTTCTCCTCCTGTGACAACGATGATGCGGTCGGCGTTCATGATGGTGGACAAGCGGTGTCTATGTCCGTCAGTTCATGTCCTTAAGCTCCCACTAGAGTTTAACTTACGCCACAATAAAAGTCGTGCGGCCTTCGCAGAGTGTGCGCAGAGCGTCCTGAATCTTCTGTTCAGTCTCTGTGTCGACCGCACTCGTCGCCTCATCGAGGAGAACGATGGATGGCCTCTTCAAGATAGCTCTAGCAATGGCCACTCGCTGCAGCTCACCGCCAGAGAGCTTGACGCCCCGCTCTCCGACCTTAGTTTGGTAACCTGTCTCGGTCAGCTTGGCTCTACTGTTCTACCTGCGGGCCTAGGAACCTACCATCACTAAATGTCAAAATCTGGTCGTGAATACTAGCAGCCTTGCACGCTTCGTAAACCTCCTCATCGGTCGCTGTGAGCTTGGCGTACCGCACGTTGTTCATGATGGTGTCGTCGAAGAGGATAGGGGCCTGGGGCACCACTCCGATCTGAGCGCGGAGACTGAAGAGTGTTAGCGTAACCCGGTAGACCACCAACAATGGATCCCAGCCTACCTGTATAGATCAACCTTTCGGATATCCTGTTCGTCAATTTCGATTGAGCCCTTTGTAACGTCGTAAAACCGGTCGAGGAGCTTCAGGATGGTAGACTTGCCAGCCCCCGTTGCACCAACAAAAGCCACCGTCATGCCCGGCGTTGCGGTGAAGTTGATGTCCTTCAGAATCTCTTTTTTCTTGTCGTAGGAAAAGCAGACACCGCCAAAGCGAACTTCGCCGCCTTTGAATCGCAGGGGCGGTGCTCCCTCCTCGCTGAGCACACTTGGCTTGGTCTGCATGATCTCCAGAAGCTGCTCCGCATGAAGGAGATCCCTCGAGATGCTTTTGCCGAGGCCGGCAAAAAAGGTGAGAGGAGAGACCAGTTGAGCCCAATATGTCAGAAGCATAATGAAGTCACCAGGGGTGGCCTGGCCGTGAGTGACCTGGTACACGGCCAGGAACGCTCCAGCGAGCAGACCTGAGAGGAGCACCAGGAACTGGAATGCATAAGCGAGAACGTAGCCGAAGTAGACCTTTTGCGTCTTGGTCACGCGGTCCTCGACAGCTACCGAGTAGCGGTCTTCCTCGTGCCCAATCTGGTTGAAGCTGGCAACCGTCGACCATCCCTGAATTCCGGCTTGTCGGACATAGTGTTCCTTGTACCAAGCGCCCACTTCATTCCTGCGTGCGCCCTTGAGCGCGGCAATCATGCGAGTTGCGATGTAGATGAAGATAGCGGCGGTCGCGATGGTGATGAAGCCTTCGTACGGACCAAAGGTTGCCGAGAGGTACACAAAAGCAACCGTCATGTCGATAAGCATCGGCACGGCCCGGAAACAGATGGACTCGAGAATGTTGGAGATGCTCTGGCCGGACTGTATAGCCATCATGATGTCTGAGGAACTCTTGGAATCGTGAAAGTCAGAGGACAGGTTGAGGACGTGAGAATATGCCGCCGTGCTAATAGCACCGAACGAGTAATACTCAACAGGGATCCAGAGCCACTGGCGCAACAGTGACAGACCGGCTTCCGAAGCCACGAGCTTGAGGCCGGCGAAAAAGAGGACCTCGTTCCAGGGGTTCTTGCCGTTCGAGCCGGAAAGGCTGTCCATGATAATACCTAGCTGGCGCGGGATCAAGACGTTGATAAAGTTCATGGCAAGTAGGCATATTGCTACAAGCACTACCCGGATCTGAAGCGAACGGTGGTTCACGGGCCAGACGTAGGGGAAGAAAACCTAAACAAGTGCCTGTCAGTGACGGGATCCTGGGATCAGACATGGTAACAAGCGAATGACGAACCCGGAAACTCTTGGCATATGTGACCCAGTTCCCCTTTTCCTTGAGCCTCTTCTCCATCTGCTCGCTCGCTTGCCGCTGGCGTCTTTCGTAAGGGTTTTCGTCGTCGTCGGTGTCGGATGATGACTGGTTGCTGTCGGTCGAGCCATCTGACGTTGCCCCGTATCCGTTCTGCCGAGTCCCGTTGGGCTGATCATCCGAGTCCGAATCATGGCTCGCATGGCCGTTCGTCTTGAGTAAGCTTTGGCGTTCCGAGTCGGTGCCCTTTTCCTCCCGGGCGTGACGGTTCCCTTCCAAGTAAAATATCACGGCGAGGATGACTGCCAGGTATCTGACAGCGAGGGCCGAGAGGTCGAACACATCCATGAACTTGGGAGGCCCCGCAGGCCGAGCGATCAAAGACAAGACCCCCATGATCGGCTCGAAAATGAATGCTATCCCGAAGGACCCAATGTACGGGTACCAGACCGGATTGGCTGCCTCTGAGAGACCCGCAAAGACAACCCCAAATGCCAGGGCGCATGACATAAGACCGATGATAGTATCCTGCTCGGCGAATGGGAATACATGCTGCACAGCACCTTGAATACACAAGGCGAGTAGTTGGGCAAAGTAGGTGAGGATAACCGACACGAGCAACCAGGTGATCGGACGGCGGCGCGGGTGGGCGTCTTCTGAAGACCTAGTTTGCAGGGTGCATATGGCCACGGTGGAGGTGACCATGTAGTAGATGAAGATGGTGGTTGGATAGGCGTAATGAAGACTTGCTAGGACTTGGCGCAGCGGCAGCCGCCCAGCGGGCTCGTCGGCCGTATGGGTGCCATATAGATCAGCCATGATGGAGAGGCCGGCGCAGTGTCGATGCAGGAGGGCTGAACCCCACGAACGATCCTGGAGGGTACCGAGATGGTGGATGTGCCAGATCCTGATTCAGAATTGCCCGAAAACTGATAGCTCCCGGGTCGTTTAGCAGCGGGACGATGTACTCTTTTGTCGCTTCCCAGAATCCAAGAATCCAGGTTGGCGTGCAACACGCGTACAACACGCGTGGATAAGGTAATCCGACGGAAAACTTCCAGGTTGGGATCACCGGTTTGGTACGCCAGGAAGGTAACCCAACGGCCCCAATGCTTGGAACGGTTGAGACTTCCGAGTGAGACAAGCACCCAGTCTTTCCACGTGAACCGCCTTCAGCGGTGCCAGGTGGTCTTACCAGCCGCTTCTCGTTCCTTCCTTAATGGTCGCTCTGAGCGAAATCGGAGTCAATGCCAGGGAAGGACCGCTCGTCTGAAGAGTGGCGACAGCAAAGTACCTATGTGACTCGGACTGCGACAGGCAACAGCAAACTCTTGCAGGTTTTCCACCACCGTCCGCCCTGCAGGGTTTTCCAGGAACAACTCGAGTCGGGTTTCCTCACAGGGCGTTGGAGCTGATGCTAGGTAGGTAGGTATTTATGAACCCAACCCCCCTTTCCGCTTCAAAAAACCTCAACCTCTCGTTCCAGTCCACCCCTAACCGGCCGGATGTCAGGTTGCAGCGAGTCGCTTGTTTCTCTGAAGCTTGGCTGTTTAACAATAGCCCGCGCGCCTGTTCCACAAAGGGTTTTGCCTGTCGTGGAGGAGCTGGGCTCTTACAAACTACAGGAAGGCCGGCGAGCTTGTGACCCGTCTCATGCAATCAACGAACCGGCACTTGCTACGTGAAAGGTCAGCAGGCACAATGTCGTGTGAGGGTGGTGGTGATTACCTTTTGTGACGTCCTCTTTTCGAAGTCAAAAGTCGGAGAGACGTATGAGCGGGAGAGTGCGCACAGGTCACTGTCGGGTGAGCTCTCGGCGAAAGGGGATGGTACGGAGAAGGCGGAAGGGCAGAGAGTTTAGGTGGTTGTTGGCTCGATAACCCGTTTTCGGATGCCTGGAATGACGACCGCAACCAAGGGGCGCAAGAGGATTGACTGATGCTTAGCGGCACAGAATTCACTGCCACCACGCTTGTCTTGTTGGACCCAAAACCCTGGATCACTCAGTTATCGTGGCCCGGCACCGCGGTTAACGTCAGACGGCAGCTATGCTTGTATTGGCGTGCAAACGATGCCCTCGATTACAGCACGATTACAACATGAAAACACACTCTTCGACATGGGACGGCGGCGGGAAGAATCTGTCACCCTCGTGATCAATTCAGCGCGCAGAAAAGAGACGGTGAAGCTCGTCTGTATGTAGGGTAATGTCCGACACACACGCGCTAGACGCCGAAAGGCTAGTGGAACCTGGAATTCGCGGCAAGGTAAGTCTGTATGCGCCTGGCCGCTGGCAAATGCCAAGATCAGAGCAAACCTTTGGGTCGCAAGCCCCTGCTCTCCATGTGGGTTGAATCTCACACGGGGCGACGAGAGAACCGAAGCTGCATATCGCAACCAAATCGGGGAATTAATCGAGAGCGGTGAAGGTGACCCATGCGCCTGCTGGCTTGTTCTCTCCGGACTCCGAGCAGCAATGGGTCGTGGGGGACTTGGAATGGATTCCTCGAGGCTTGTCAATCAGAGTGGGTGATTCCACGACGGCGGGCATGTGCTTTACTCCATTGGAAACCGCTCCCGAATAACTCGTCGCCAATATATCGCTGGCAACATGGTATTGGATGCTCGTGGAACGCGACGTCCGAGCTAACGATGACGGCAACGGACGGAGATGCGAGGCGCAAATCATTGACATAAGCGAAGCCCGAAGGGCTGGATGGGGTTTATTCTCGCAGCCGTAACAGAGAGCCGTGTTTCAAGTGTGTGTTGGTTCGAACGAGGACGATGATGGAGAGAGGGATGAACTCCGAGCCCAGTCGCAGGCATTTACCGAGTAACTCCCAGCTAATCGGAGAATGGACTGGACGGGAGGGCGACCCTCTTGCCGTTGATATATGCGGTGCCCCTGGCTGCATCCCTGCATGGGCGAACACATCCTTGGTTGCCCGCATAGCAGTGGCAGCCTGCATGACTACTTGCATACACAATATAATAGTATGGATGTCGGTAGGTGGTCTAATTACCTCTTCCGACAACGGCGTTGTCGTGGCACCCCAGGTCGACCTGGACAAGGTCGGCGTCCCGTCTCTGGTTCGGCTCCCAGGCACGTCCGCCCCGGTCTCCTCCGGACTTCGGGCCCGGCTAGCTTCAATGCCATTGAGGCCCTTACATACTGTGTACACAGCAACCAAGAGGGTTTCGCCACTTACCACAGCACACTGCACCGTGTCATCCTTACCTCGTATGCACATGATACAAGGGAGAATTACTTCGAGAAGTCAAGGTACGGAGGAAGCCCCGAGAGCGCTTCTTTGCGCCAATGAGGATCCGAGAGTGCCTGCAGCCACCATGCCGGTCATCCCAAGGATAAATAAGTAAGGTAAGGGCCGGGGCTGGTTCACGCATACATTGCAGGTCAGGCTGATCAGGTTGCCTTCGGTGAGGGTCACGTTTGAAACGCCACTCTAAATACACGGTAGTTGGAGTATCACTACAAACACTCCTAAAATTGGGGTGATACAGAAGGGTGATGATGATAACTAAAGTAGGAACAAGAACATAGGAAAACCACCGTCTAATTGAAGACCCGCCCATCCGCTTTGTGGCACTGGCGACGATCTAGGGTTAGGGTAATCATATCGCTGCCTGTTCTATTCTGCAAGCCCAATAACAAGTTGTCGTTTGGTTTCTTGCGCATCGTCCTCTGATACTAACATGGTCGCCCAAGCAGTTTGTAAAATGTATTCGAATCATATCGGGTCATTATTGCTCCGACTGAGTCACCGGCAACGGAAATGGCACTAAGGCAGGCCACAGTGCCACAGCCTCAAGAACCAAGCCCCTGAAGCAACACTGGTTGTTTACTACGGGGCATTAAATATTAAATATTTCATCCAAATCGACGATTTTTCATCCCATTCACTCGTTCTCAAACCCAAACCTCCAACTCTGTCGCCATGCCATCTAGACGATCCAAGCCCGCTCACAAGGTGACCAAGCGGGCCAGGGCCATCGAGGCTCCGGTCCCGTCCGCTCAGCCTCAGCCCACGCCCTCAGACGACACATCACCAGTCTACTTCTGGCGCGAAACCGACCCCTTGACAGGCTACCTCTCACAATGGTACGCCTGCGCCTTCACCGACGACACCGACCCCACCATCGTCTACCCAACCGCCGAGCAGTAAGTCCAGCAGTAACCCCCTTAATAACAATCAACCCCAGTAATTAACCCCACCCCCGCCCAGCTACATGATGTACCAAAAAGCGCTGCTCTTCTCCGACGCCGCGATGGCCTCCCAGATCCTGCAGGCCGAACACCCGCGGCAAGTCAAAGCCCTCGGCCGGCAAGTCGCCAACTTCACGGACCAGACGTGGAACGCGCACCGCGAAGCCATCGTGCGGCGCGGCAACCGCCTCAAGTTCACGCAGCCCGCGAACCCGGCCGACGGCAAGTGGCGGGTGGCGCTGCCCGGGCGGGAGGCGGAGGAGGGGGCGGGGAGTACCATCAGGGAGCTGTTGCTGGGGACGGGGGAGAGGGAGATTGTGGAGGCGAGCCCGATGGATCGGGTGTGGGGGATTGGGTTTGGGGCGGCGAGGGCGGGGAGTGTGAGGGGGAGGTGGGGGTTGAATTTGTTGGGGAAGGCGTTGATGGCGGTGAGGGATGAGTTGAGGAAGGAGGCGGAGGGGGATGAGGTGGGAAAGGGTAAAGAGGAGGGCGATGGGAAGGGGGGAGACGAAAGCCGGAAAGAGAGTGAAAAGGAAGGTGGTGAGAGGGGCGGAGACAAGGGCAAAGATAATAGTGAAGATAGCGGCGAGGAGGTTGGTGAGGAGGTTGGTAAGGGGGACGAACAAAAGGCAAAGAGAAGAAAGACAGAAAAGCAGGGTTAGAGAAGGCCCGAGTTGCACTGCCTTGAAAAGGGCCACCGTGGGTCATGGTATCAGATTGTGTACCCAGATTGTAGGTATTATTATGTATCGTCTCAGATGCATCGTTTGGTCGTCGAGGACGCGCCCCTCCCATCGCATCCACGCTTCCCTCAATATTGTACATAGTATACTTTTCATGCCATGGCCGTCTCCAATGGGACCTCGTGGAGTGGTGTGATCGTAGAAATGCATCAAGACGCCTTCCGCCAGCTCCTCCTCGCTCTATACCACCATAGCCCCCAAAACTCCCGCAATCTCAGGCGGCAGAATCCCAGATGCCGTATGATACAGTTTTTGTGACAATAGAACACAATGAATGAGAAGTGACCAGCACCTTGGGCAAGGTGCTTGCACGTTCGTCCCCCTCCTGGGGAGCCGCGCACGCATCGGTTTCATAAAAATACAGGCCGTTTAGATGTAATCGCGGCCGCTCTTTTGCATCTCGATCAGCCGCCAACCCCTGGTCTCGGGATTGTTCACATCCTCGGCAATGCGTGTGATACCGATGGCGTAGGTAACCAACTGGACCTTGTCCTCCATACCCGCCGCGAGCTCGTTTGACTTGGCGTTGCGGTAGACGTGGACCTCCTGTGTCCGGCAGGTGACGATGAATACCGGGATCTCGCCAGGGTCGAGCATGCGTGCGCGGAGGATGTCCACCCCTCGGATGTCGAGGATTTTGCCGTCCGACTTGAGACCGGCCTGCAGATACTGCTTGGTCAGGGCCTCGTAAACGGAATACTGGGCTTCTGACAGCCACAGCTTCAGTGTCTCCACGTCACCCTTGACGTAGGCGTCCAAGACCTCGGGGAGAATGTACTCGCGGAGTTCTTGCAGGAACGGCTCCAGCTTGAACGCCGGGTCCATGGCCCGCAGCCGCTTGATCACCATGGCCGTCTCGTTCTCTGCAAAGAAGCCTGCAACCTTGTCGGTAATACTCCGAGCCGTCGAAATCAAGGGGTTTTCCGACTCTTGGTACACCGACTTCATGCCGAAGACGCCCTGGACGAACTTGTTTTGATCTCTGAAGTCCCTCCATGCCTCTTTCCACGCGGCATCCTTGTGAACCGTGACGTTGGTTCCAGCGCTACAGACGTTAGCAGACGTATTGCGAGAATATGTTCGGTTGGAAGTCTTACTTAGGATCCTCTTCGTGGATTGTGTTGTCCACCCCGTTCTTTTTGTCCATTTGTTCCCGCAACTCCCTCCGGCGCTTGCGCTCCTCTTTGTCGACCCACCCGCCGTACCTGGAGCTGCTCCCGTCGTCGATGACATCCTTGACATTCCTGTAGGCTTCGGTTTCCCGGATCGGCTTGGTCGCCTTGTCAAGTGCCTCGCCCGTCTTGTTTGCGCCCTTCCGCACGCCCTTCATTACGGGAGTGTCCCACGTCCAGGTGGCACCCTTCCCGATGACGCCGGCTGTGGACTTGACCGCTTTCGCAGCCGTGGACGAGACAGCGCCCGAGGTAGCTTCGTAGGCTTGACGTGCCTTCCGAACGCGCTCACTCTCGACAAACTCGTTCGCAGAAGATGCGAGGGCTTTTGTCGACTCGTTCCACTCTTTGGACTGCTTAAGCTCGGTGTCCATAGTCTCTAGGAACACCTGCCATGGCGTCTTGTCGCCATGTGGTGGCGGTGGAGGGAGATCCTCTTTTTTCTCCTTCTCCTTGCCCTCGGCTTTCTCATCCCCCTCCTTCTCTTCCTTCGCCTCCTCCTTGGACTCCTCTTTAGATTCTGTGGATTTTTCTGGCTCGCCTTCTTTTGTTTCTGGTGGAGTCTTGGCGTCCTTCTCTGCGGCTTCCTTTTGCTGTGTCCGGCCCGAGACGTGGAACGAGCGTGCGTGGTTTAGGGATATGCTGTTAAGCCTGATGGTGTTGACAGGGAGTGTTGAGCGCAGGAGTGGTTGTCGCTGAAGAAGCGTGGATGCAGAGCATGCTGCACTCTCAGAGATAGTGGGTTGTGTTACCCGAGACGAGAGAGAACGGTACTGGGAGGACGGCGGGCAGCGGGAGCTTCGTAGGCTGGGTGCCCTCAGAGGGGCGCCCGGGGCGAGCCTGGGGATTTGCCGCGCTGAATTCATAATTATGAACAAGCCGAACGTCCTCAATAGGAGTGGTAGGCGAGGTAGAGGATAGAGGACGGATGATGGGAGGGGCAACGCGCAACCTCGCTTGGTTGATAGGGATTTTGCTCGATGGCAAAGGCGAATCTCTAGAATTCTTTTGCCCAGAACCACTGCCAAGAGCCGGTAAATTCCCGGCGTGGTGGATCCCCGCCATGTCCAGTCTCGTCCCTCCACAGCGCAGCGGCGGGAAGTTCCGACCCCAAAATTTCCAGCGGGCTCCATTGAGCATTGAACCGCGCTACAGCGGCTCAATCTTGACTTTCGCGCCCGCAGCCGAGTCTCTTCGATCCAACTCTTGAACACCACCCTTATCCCCCGGCATTGAGGTCACTCGGATGACCATTGCCTGGTGGCGATGAACCGACTCACGATAAACCGTCTTTTGGCGCCGGGGTTGGCCCGGCCGCTCTCCCAGACCGTCTGCCCGACGACGACAGTCCCGCAATGGACCCGACTCTTCTCCCAGTCACACGTTGCCAGCAGTATCTTCTCGCAAACTCCCAAGCAGACGTTATTTAAACAGGCTGAGGGGCCGGGGAGTGGTTCAATGAATCGCATCCTCCAGCATATGAAGCGTGGCAGTGGGAGCCAGATCGAAGACGGGGACTCGCTCTCCGAAAACTTAGCTGCGCCAGAAGATGAGAGCACGGAACCCTACCACTTCCACATTTACAGCCACAAGCACAACACGCACATCACGCTTACCAAGCCGAACCGGGACGCCCTGCTTTCCTTGTCATGCGGGAACTTGGGGTTCAAGAAGTCTAACCGCAAGCACTACGATTCGGCATACCAGCTCGGCGCCTACGTGATCGACAAGATGCACCAAAAGGGCTATGCCAACAAGATTAACAAGATGGAGGTGGTCTTGAGAGGGTTCGGGCCTGGAAGAGAAGCGGTTGTCAAGGTGCTGATGGGGAATGAGGGCAAATTGCTGCGACCCAAGATCACACGAGTGTCAGATTCGACAAGGTTGAAGTTTGGTGGTACTCGGAGCAAGAAGAAGAGAAGATTGGGTTAAGGGGGGTTGGTTGGTGTTCGGGGCTTTGGAGATGGAGCGAGCCGTGGCCTCGAATGTATCGGGTCCGGGCCCGTACCCGGGACGGGTCCGGCTGATGTATATTTGTATACTACAAACCACCTTTTTGTTGGCCAATTTTGGTTCTACCCAAGCAATGACCAAACTCGTGTGAGAAATGGACCGGACTCGTGGTACAAGTGACCGGCCACACTCTAACCCTGTATTCACAGTCCACATGGCGGGGAGTCGGTGTTTCGCTTCCCGAATTCCCGGGACCCACTAAAATTTCAGGTCTTCGGCGGCGATCATCAATTCAGAAGAAAGCTCCCCACCATCCGCCATCCAACATCAACGGCGGGAATCCGTAACTTCCACACAAAGCGGCGCTACGTCATGTAGCGACCATAAACGGCAAAAATGTCACCAACAACGACCACAAACCCGGCAACGGCCTCTCAATCCCTTCACCCCTTCTTCGCCCCACCAGCACCAACCACACCCGCATCACCAACCACACCCGCAACCACACTCGGAACCACACCCGGCGCCCCACCCCTGCCATCACCATCCCCTTCCCCGTCCGCCCCCTCATTCCTCGGCCTCGACACCCTCTTCACCAACCCCGTCTTTGCCGGCGGCATCGGACTCGCCGGTCTGGGCGCAGCCGCCGCGTTCGGCCGCCGCGCCCTCATCTCCGGCGCCGGCCTCCTCCGCCGCCAGCTGCTCGTCAACATCGAGATCAGCAAGCGCGACCCCTCCTACAGCTGGGTGCTGGCCTGGCTCGCCCAGCCCCGCGACAACACCGGCTTTCTCGCCCAGCGCCTCACCCGCCTGCGCAACCTCTCTGTTACGACTAGCACTAAATCGCTGAGCCCGCGCGGGGTGGATGATGGCAATGGCGGTGGGGGGGCGGGGGGCAGGATCCATGCGGATTTTCGCGTGCAGCCCGGGTTCGGGCGGCATATGGTGCGGCACGCGCCGGGGGTGTACATCGCGGTGAACCGGGAGAAGGCCGGCACGGCGACGACGGCGACGGGCGAGCCGCACGAGACGCTGACGCTGACGCTGCTGTGGGTGCATCGCCACGTGCTGGCCGACGTGTTTACGCAGGCCCACGCCCTCGCCCAGAGCTTCCAGCAGGGCAAGACGGTCGTCTACACCGCGCGTAAGATGGAGTGGGCCGTGCTGGGCAAGCCGCGCCTCAAGCGCCCGCTGGGGAGTGTGGTGCTGGATGAGGGGGTTAAGGAGGGTTTGGTGGCGGACGTGAAGGAGTTTCTGAAGGCGCAGCAGTGGTATACGGACCGTGGCGTGCCGTATCGCCGGGGGTATTTGTTGTACGGCCCGCCGGGGACGGGCAAGACGTCTTTTATCCAGGCGCTGGCGGGCGAGCTGGACTACAGCGTGGCCATGATCAACTTGAGCGAGATGGGCATGACAGATGACCTACTGGCGCAATTGCTAACCCAGCTGCCCGAGAAGAGTATTTTGCTGTTGGAGGACGTCGACGCGGCGCTGGCGAACCGCCGCCAGCGCGACCCTGATGGATACAGCGGCCGAACGGTGACAGCGTCGGGGCTGCTGAACGCCCTCGACGGCCTGGCTGCTGGCGAGGACCGGATTGCGTTCCTCACGACGAACCATATCGACAGGCTGGATCCTGCGCTGATTCGGCCTGGGCGTGTGGACATGATGGTGCGCATTGGCGAGGCCACGCGGTACCCAGGCAGCCCAGATGTGGGACCGTTACTACGGCGATATTGACGGGGACTACGCCGGCCCGAGAGCGGTTCCTGAATAGGTTGGACGAGTTGGGTTTGTTTGGCGGTGACACTCAGAACCCGGATGTGCCCAAAAGACACACCTCTACCGCCGCTATCCAGGGTCTCTTCCAGTTCAATAAAGGGGATATGGAGGGTGCCATCAAGATGGCCGAGGGCTTAATTCCCCGGACATTCGAACCTGAGCAGCCGTCCGCGGACGGGACAATCAAGTCACCGGCGTGAGGCTAAGGGCCGTTGTGTAATATATGTAGGACTACGATGTACTATGTCATATAGATCGTTGATACCCTGGCGCACCGTGAAATAATGTTCTAATTTGTGAGTGTTTGATGGTGGTTTCCGTCTCTTCGGGCCCTGATGTGAGCACAGATAAACTTATATATGAGACTCGATCAATGCACTTGACAGCACCAGTGTACACTGCTCTGAATGTGCCGGCTTGATTTGCAGTGGTCGGTAGTGTGCGCAGTGCGCTGCGCTCTTGAACCACGCCGGTTCTCCCATGTCGTGAGTCCCAATCAAGTAGATGAACAACGGTGGTCCAATTCCATCGAAGTGCTGCGTCCGGGTTCCTCATCTAGCTCGAAGTGCGTAGCGTGGTGAGACTGGCGAGTGCGTTGTGGTTTGCCGATACTAGCAGGCGGACTTCATCTGGGCGCTGACATCTGACCCGGTAGAAGCGGGGCTCTGTTGAGAAGGGCATAGGCAGATATGAATTCGGAAAAGCCGCCCCGTCCCCGAACATACTAGCAGCTGGAGCGCGGGTAAAGAGGAGGCCGCAATCATCAGCATATGATCCGCGGCGGCGTTGGTAGCTGGCGGTCCAGATCTCGTTCGTTGATCTTCATTCAGCTCGATGCCTCGGTTTTCTCGGGCTTCGCCTCCTCGACCCCCGCCTCCTCCGCCTTGGGCTCGCCTTCGGCATCAAATCCCAGCGCATCCAACTCCCGAATCAGCTCATTCATCTTGATGACCTTGGCGATCTGCTCCGGTAGCAATTCCCCGCCAGTTTCCTTCTTCTCCTTAAGCTCCTTGGCTTGCCTCAGCTTCTTTTTCAGATTCCGCACCTTCTTCTCCTTCTCAGCTTCGGGGTCAACCTCCTCCTTGACTTCCTCTGCCGGTGCTGCCTCCCCTTGCCCCTCATCGTTGGCTTTGGCCTTCTTACGTGCCTCACGCCGCTTAGCGTTCTTGTTGGCGGCAGCAGATGATGACTGTGCCGGCTTGTCGTCTTTCAAACCCTCTGCGCCGGGAATAGGCCCCTTACCCCGATTGCGGAAGTTCTCAGCGGTCCGGTTCTTGTAAACCTCGACATCCTCGGGAGGTCGGTAGCCGGGCCGAATCTTGATGGCTTTTCTCGTACTGCCATCAGCCCTTCTAGATTCTGGGATGTGCCGCTCGCCGCTTGTTTCATCGGTCACAATCCCCGAGGCAGTCGGTTGCGCAGCCATGTTGAAGGTGGGGGTGTCGTGTGCTGTGGTCAACTTGTCGAACGGATCAAATTTCGTGTTTGAGGGTTTGGGTGGTGGGGATGGTTGGAAGGTGGAGAATTTGGAATCCGCCTTCACACCGTTATGAAGTCCCAGAACATCTGCGCTATGATCCGGGTGTGTCCCGAGACCTCCAGTTCTGTCGAGTGAACCCAGATTGATGAAGCATCTCAAAAGCGATAAGGTTGGCGGGGTTCTCGAGCCACTGGTAAATTTCGCCAAGCCTTAGGCTCTTGGAGAGCTCGGGCCAATCAGGGAGGCGACCGGGTACTTCCGTGAGGCCTTTCCGGCCTCACTGAGTGGTCGTTTTTGCTCGTCGCAGCGCAAACATTCCGGAACAGCTCTCAGGTTACCAACCCAGGTATAACGCCAGTCCCAGCACCCACCCTCAATTGGGATCACGACTACCTTCAAAATGGTAAGTTGGAGTATGGTGCAGCATTGTGAGCTACGAAGATCTAGCAGCTAACGGCGCGTTCACAGGCCACCGCAATCTACAAGCAAGTCCTCTTCCGATCAGCAGCCGCCGACCGAGCCCGAAGCTAACCCTCGTCACTAGCACCCTCTTCCGGAGGAACTGGACCATGCTCGGCGCTGTCTTTGTCGGTGCCTTCGCCTTCGAGATGTACGTGGCAGCTTAAATCGAGAACGAATGGGGGGATTGAATGCTAAGTGCACGTGCAGTGGCTACGACAACGTGATGAACAAGGTCTGGGACAACAACAACCGGGGGGTACGAATATTCCAGACTGTATTTCCTCGAGTACAGATGCTGACAGGGGAAAACAGCGCCAATGGAAGGACATCCGGCACAAGTACATCGAAGGTGGTGATGAAGAGTAGGCAGAGTCCAGGGGGGGGGGGGCAACAAAAACTACCAGAACGAGGACAAGAGCGAGGGAATTGCGTCGGCCCGGGGTTATGGGAGTTTCACCCGTGTACATTCGGTTGGGGGACGGTTGTAGAGAATAGAACTTGGCTTGCCGACAACGAATTCCGGTCTAGAATATTGTTTTTGCCCCTGCATCACCCAGGAATGGCACTACTTGCCTGCTAAGCTATCATCCCAACGGGGAGTGAAAGTTCTGTTTCACCCCAAATCTGCAGGAAATGGCTTAATAGCTGTGGATGTTATAAGAACAGCTATGAACATGTTACCATCGCACAGCTTCCACACACAATGTGCCGGGCTTGACATTGGCGCTATACCGAGGCAAGGCTCATACATAGTTATTGGACACCCCTCCTCCAATGGGTTCACCCCCAAATGGAACCCTACGTGGGTACCGCCAAAGCGCTGTGTTCCACTGCAGCAACAACTGATTCAGAGACTCGCTTGTGGCTGCTACTTTCGAGATCATCACCGCATTGTCCTATCTTTTTTCTTCTTTTTTCTCCTCTCCACTATGTTAAACAAAATCTCATTGTGAAAGCGAGAAAATCAACCATTTCTTTCCCAGCAGGCTTGGTAGTTACTCGGTTTGTGAAAAGATCGAGCGCCTATTTGGAACACGCCGCCACCCAGACGCCTGCTCCTGCTTCCTAACTAATCCAGGGACCGTCCCGGCCCCACGATAGGGACCCCTCCTTCACCGTCCGCCTCTGTCAGCCCACCGATAACCCAGCAAACTGACTTCTTCCCCCCAGAACTCCATCGTTTGCCACGACATCATCTCACAACATCACCGGTACATTTTGCACATATGACAGTAACGTAGCTTTTCTCATCTGTCGACCACGATGGAGGCACCGATGTCGACACAAGAGCAGCAGCTTTGTCAGCTGCTGCTAGAGCTACCTGTTCGCCACGGCTACCGATACACCGACGAGGCCGCCCGAGAGCTTCTGAACGCCCTTTTTTGGTGCATGGCCGCCGGAAAGTCCGACTACATGAACCTTTTCTTCCCGACCGGCGGCCCTGCTCGAAATGGAACACTCAAGCTTCGGGAAGCGCAGGGAGCGGTGGAGGGTGCTGAATACACCGAGGCCGCACGCGGCAAGGCTTGTGGGCACATATTCAGGCAGGGCGAGGCTTCATATGCGTGCAGGACATGCAGTGCCGACGACACATGCTGTCTGTGCAGCAAATGCTTCGACGCCACCGACCACACCGGCCACATGGTCAGGATCAGCATTTCACCTGGCAACAGCGGTTGCTGTGATTGCGGGGACCCCGAGGCATGGAATCGCCCCGTGTTCTGCACCATACATTCGATGTGGGAGGGCGGAGGAAAAGGAAAGGGCAAGGAAGCGCCGGCACTACCTGAAGACCTCGTTTCCAATACGCGGATGACTATCGGTCGCGTCTTCGACTATCTATGCGACGTCGTCTCGTGCTCACCGGAGCAGCTACGCCAGACGAAAACGGTCGAGTCTATCGAGCAAGACGAGCGGATGTCGAGGCTATCACCTACATACTGTGGTGGAGACACCGAGTCGCCAGGGGAGTACGCCGTGCTGCTGTGGAACGATGAAAAGCACACCGTCATAGACGTCAGGGACCAGGTGGCTCGCGCGTGCAGCACGACGATGGCGAATGCCATGTCTAAGGCGTACGAGACGGACGGTATTGGGAGGAGCATCTTGATGTACGACAAGAGCATTGAGAAACTCATCGAGGTTGCCACCACCCTTGAGAGGATCAGGGTCACCGTGACGATCCGTTCCGCCAGGGACACCTTCAGGGAACAAATGTGTGGCACCATGATTGAGTGGTTGCGAGACATCTCCGGATGCAGCGTCGGCGAAGACCACCAACTCCTGCGCCAGATTGTCTGTGAGGAGATGCTCAGGCCGTGGCGTAGGGGGAGCCCAGCGTCACATGCCATCGTCGGCAAAGGCGGTATTGACGACGAGGAACTGCTCGATCAGCAGGATCGAGAAGCGCATGAGGACTTCTATCTCCAGCAGGCCAGAATTTTGCTGCAGGCTCGCCAGGCAGCCCGGGCAGCCGGCATGGACGCCGCGGGAGGCGAAGGGAGCGATGATGGAGAGGACGACGAGGAAGACGGAGACAACACGCCAGGCAGTGACATGGAGGAAGACGGCGGCGACGACGACGAAGACGTCATGATGCTCGATACTCGAGAAGACGGCGATGTGCCCATGCAGGATTGGCGGCAAGACACAGCACTGGAGGAAGACGAGGCTACAGTTGCAGGCTATCCACCCCCGCCGCCACCACCTCCGGTCCCCCGGCGGACTGCCCGCGAGCGCGAACTCACTCCTTCTGATTCCGATACAGCAGAGCCTCTCATTGCTCCTACGGTATACGCAAAAGCCCACCTAGAAATCCCCAAGACCCCTGGCCAGCCAGGGGCACAAGCCTCGCCGCCTCCTAAGCCTGGCCAGTACTGGCTGGCTACGCCCAGTGGCTACGTGGAACAAGAGGACATCCCAGTGGCCGAGGATCTCTTCGAACGAGTCCGTCTGGATTGGATGATCCTCTTCGACCTCAGGATGTGGAAGAAAGTGCGCAACGACCTGCGATCACTCTACATATCGACCGTGGTAACCATACCCGAGTTCAAACGGGTTCTCGGCCTGCGCTTTGCCGGCCTCTACACCACTCTTGCTCAACTCTACCTCATCGGCGACCGGGAGCCGGACCACTCCATCATCAACATCTCGCTACAGATGCTGACCACGCCTTCCATCACCGCTGAAATCGTCGAACGTGGCAACTTCCTCACCAGCCTGATGGCTATCCTATACACATTTTTGACCTCCCGGCAAGTTGGACACCCGTGGGACGTGGGGTCGAACGCCGTGTTGTCCTTTGACACCGGCTCCGTCACAAACCGAAGAATGTACCACTTCTTCCTTGACCTAAAATACCTCTTTGGGTCTCCACATGTCCAAGACCGCCTCAGGACCGAAGAGCGGTACATGATGCAGTTCCTGGACCTCGTCAAACTCCACCAAGGCATATGCCCCAACGTGCGGGCGATCGGCGAGCACGTCGAGTACGAGGCGGACGGATGGATTAGTGCTTCTCTCGTTACGCGCGAGATTAACAGACTCTGTCGACAGTTCGCCGAGTCTTTCCGCAATGTTAAGGAACAGGATTTGCCCTACGTCTCGCGAGCGATCCGCCTCGCGGCCAAGACCGTCATTATCAACTCAATTGGAGCCGAGCGCGGCAGGTTCAGCCAATCTGAGATTAAGAACGAAGTCAGTTTCAAGACGCTCGGGGACTTTGAATTCGAGAGCCATGGCCGGAACTTTGAGGTTGTCAAGTTTGTGGTGGAAGAGGAGCCCATCAGCTTCCACCACGCTCTCCACTACACTCTATCGTGGCTGGTGGAATGCGGTAAATCGATGCCCGTCGAACAGCTCAGGGCGCTACTGAGCTTCACAACTCAAGAGCTCATGATGAAGCCGCGCTCCATGGGCAAGAAGACGATGCCTCGAGACGACGAGTACGGCCCGGAGGACTATTTAATGGCCGTGTTCGACTTCCCGCTTCGCGTGTGTGCCTGGCTCGCCCAGATGAAAGCGGGCATGTGGGTTAGAAATGGCCTCAGTCTACGCCACCAGGCTGGCACCTACCGTGGTGTCGGCCAAAGGGACGTCTCACATCATCGTGATATCTTCTTGCTGCAGACGGCCCTCGTGGTCTGCGACCCCAGCCGTGTGCTCGCCTCTATCGTCGACCGCTTCGGCATGGAGAAGTGGTCCAGGGGCTTCTTCGAACAGAAGTCCAAGGCTCAGGATGACATCCAACATCTAGATGTAGTTGAGGACATGATACACCTCCTCATCGTCCTCCTCAGCGACAGAACTTCGCTCATCCCCGCCGAAGATTCACGAGGTGCTTCCCACGTTGCGTCCATGCGCCGCGACGTCACGCACGTCCTCTGTTTCAAACCTCTGTCATTCTCCGATATTTGTCTGAAGCTCCCAGATAAGTTCCAAGAGCAGGAGGATTTCCACAAGATACTAGACGAGATGACAATCTTCAAGTCGCCCGAAGGCCTGACCGACGTTGGCACTTTTGAGCTCAAGCCGGAGTACATTGAGAACGTCGACCCCTATATTGCCCACTATAATAAGAACCAGCGAGAAGAGGCCGAGATGGCTTGGCGGAAGTGCGTGGCCAAGAAGACCGGGAAGGCTGTGGAAGACGTCGTCTACGAGCCCAAGCTGCGGCCCATCCCGTCGGGGGTCTTCGCCGGACTGAGCCAGTTCACAAACACCGGCATGTTTGCGCAGATCATCCACTACTCGCTGCTTTACACCCTTGTGTACGCTCGCCTGACCCCTCAGGTCCCGGCCACCCGCGTCGAGACATTTTTACAGGTGGTGTTGCACTTGGTTCTTATCGCCATTGCCGAGGACAAATCGGATGAGGACCAACCGCAGGCGTCTTTCATTGCTACCGCGCTCACCCAGCAGGCGCTAACCGTCCTTCTACCTGAGCCTCCACAAGCCAAGACGATCGTGGCCCTACTGAACCTGATTGGTTCCAAGGAGGAGTTCAAGGCCTGCCACCCGAAGGTGGCCACGATCCTTCGGAGGATGCGGCAGAAGAGACCCAAATCCTTCGAGTCCAGCTATGAGCGTCTCGGCCTTTCCGTAGACCGTATGGGCGCGGCCTCGCCCGCAGCCGGTAGTGGTGACGAAGAGCGGGAGCGCAAGAAGCAGGCGGCACTGGACCGTCAAGCCCGGGTCATGGCACAGTTCCAAGCCCAGCAAAAGAGCTTCATGGAGAACCAAGGCGATATCAACTGGGGAGAGGTGGACGAGCTCGAAGACGACGTGGATGTGCCGCCCATGGAAGAGCACCGGGACTTTTGGAAGTACCCGACAGGCACTTGCATTCTGTGCCAGGAGGACACGGACGATCGACGGCTGTACGGCACTTTCTCCTACTTCACCGAAAGCAATATTCTCCGGCAGACGGACTTTCAAGATCCCGACTTCGTCAGGGAGGCGTTCAATACGCCGGATAATCTCGATCGATCCGCAGAGGAGATCCGGCCCTTTGGTGTTGCCCACGAGAACCGGCAAGTCGTTCAGAAGGTGAACCAACAAGGCGAAACGTTTGAGACGGAACGCCAGATCATCGGCAAAGGGTTTTCTGCAGAACTCTCTCGCCTCGGGCCTGTCGCGATTGGCTGCGGCCATATCATGCACTATCATTGCTTCGAAGCCTACTTTGAAGCTACCGTGAGACGACACAACCAGCAGATTGCGCGGCATGCCCCGGAGAAGACTGCCAGGCTCGAATTCGTGTGCCCCCTCTGCAAGGCACTCGGGAATGCGTTCCTGCCCATTATTTGGAAGGGCCAAGAGGAATCGTATCCGGGGCCGCTGGTGCCCACCACTCCGTTCTCGTCATTCCTCGATTCCCAGCTCCACTCGGCATACTACACGCTTGGAGCCTCGCGCCCACCAGACCAGGTGCAGAATGCGTTTGCTTCCTACACTGCCCACCACATGATCAACAACCTCGCAGAAAGGTCGTCGCAGCTCCTGGATGACGCCTGGGTCGATGTGGGAGCCCAGTCTGTCTCGACAGGTACGCCGTTTAGCGAGACGTTCTCGATGGTTTCGGCCCCTGATCAAGGCGCCCGAGGGCCGACCCCCGATGCCAGCACCCCCATGAGGGAACTCGTCAATGTCTATCGCCGGCTCCGGGACACGCTGAGGGAGAACGGCATCATATCTCGCCATCACTTTGAGCCTCCCGAGCAGGACGCAAATGAACTGTACGGGAGCGATGTCCTGGCACGATCCGTGGGTTTCTCTATTTCTGCTGTGGAGATCCAGCAGCGCGGCGTGGAAGCTGAGTACGGCATGACGTTCCTTGAGAAGATCCCGGACCAGGTTCTCACCCAACTCCGGATCCTCAGCGAGACTGTGACCTCTTTCGTTGCTGTTGGGGGGCTACGCGAATCTGGGGAGAATAAGATCGACACCGAGTACCGCAGGGATAGCGAGCGCCAGCATTGCCAGATGTTCATCACGCAGTATCTGGGCGAAGAGACGGAGCACACCCGGTTCCCGGCCAACAATTACGCTCCTCTCCTCAGCCAGGATCCATTCATATTCCTCTGCGAGAGTGTCTTTGGTGTCGTGCCGGTACAGGGGTACGACATCGCGCACATGGTTCGCTTGTGCTACCTGGCCGAGATCACAAAGGTGGTCTATCACCTCGGCCGCAACATGCCCGCGACGCTTTTCCTCCAGTTTTTAGCCCGTCAAGAGGAGTTAGACCCGTCCACCGCCAATTTTGTCTCCTTCTGTGAGGAGCTCACCAAGATCGACTTAGAGTGCGCCTCGGGCCCGGAGCCAGGCGTCCATCGTCCCACGTTGGACAACAAGGGCTTCGACCAGCCGGGTTTGGATAGGTGGGATTCGTGGTACATCCTCCTGCGCAAGTACGCATTGGCGTTCCTGCGCAAGTGTGTCATGCTCCTGCACGTCAAGTACGGCGTCAACTTTAACAGCCGCGTGAGCCCTAACCCGGAGCAGCGCGAGCTCGAGCGTCTCACCGAGGCCCTGCGCGTCCCGTCGCTCGACGAGATGCTCACGGCGCTCACACCGGCACAAGGTGTGCGGTATGGCTGGCCCGCCGACACGCCACGGCTCGTGGCCGGGTGGATCAAGCACCAGACGCTATGGCCGTACAGCGGCGAGGACGAGTCGCTGCCGGGGTCGGCCGTGCTCAGCCACCCGGGCATCTTCGAACTGGTGGGCCTGCCTAAGAACTACGACACGCTCATCGAGGAGTGCACGCGCCGCCGGTGCCCGACCAAGGGCAAGGACCTGACCGACCCCACCATCTGCCTGTTCTGCGGTGATATATTTTGTGGTCAGGCGGTCTGCTGCGCCAAGGAGCTGAAGGACGGCCCGTACAAGGACTCGCAGATTGGCGGGTCGCAGCAGCATATGCAAAAGTAAGTTTAATCTCTCCGTCGCTCATCACCCTAGACGGCACTAACGCAACCGCTCTCTCCCCTGTGATAGATGCCAGAAAAACATCGGCCTCTTCATCAATATCCGCAAGTGCTGCGTTTTCTACCTCTCACGGCGCTCGGGCTCCTTCAGCCATGCGCCCTACATCGACAAGTACGGCGAGGTCGACATGGGCTTGCGCTACGGACGCCAGCTCTTCCTCCACCAGAAGCGCTACGACTCGATGCTGCGCAGCCTTTGGCTCGGCCACGGCGTTCCCAGCTTCATTGCCCGCAAGCTCGAGGCCGATATCAATAATGGAGGCTGGGAGACTATTTGAGGGGGAGGTTGGTTGGTGTACCCTCGAGATTGGGGTAGAGGGTTGGTGTGTGCGGTGGTGCATTTTGGTGGGTGGTGTTAGGAAGCGGTTACAAATGGTTTATCTGGCAGGCATTGGTTCTTTCTTTTGGTTTTTTTTTTGCGATGCCAAACAAGAATACATGACTACTTACCAGCAGTCTATCTTTTCTATCGGCCGATGTACAGAATGGGTGGGGATGGTTTTAGGAATGGGTTAGTGGATACAAACAATCTCAGCACATTCTCACAACAGGCTTGCGTTTCGTTGCCGCGTCAACGAGGTGTGTGTTGGGGGCAGGTTGGTGAAAAGGAAATGGTGGAGGGTTAAAGGAATAAAAAGGGAGCTTTTGGTTTTTAAAACCTATTATCTCGATCCGCCCAGGGCTCGAACCTGGAACCTCTTGATGACTCGCTCCTTCCTAAGATATCTCAGAGGAGGCAGAAGTCGTAGTCAAACGCTCTACCATTGAGCCAGCGGACCCCGTTGATTGTTGAATATCGGGGTGGGAGTTTGTGGTTACAAGGTGCGTGGCACTACGTCGAGTTCTTGGGGTATTCGAGGGGTCGAGGATGAGGTTCAACTTCATCACTAGATTATGTGAGTAGTCAAACACCCTATCATGGTGACAATGGATTGCGAAAAGACTTGGAAAGTAATTCAGGACCTAAAGGCATAGTTCGTAGATGGCAGGCAACTAACTACCTTAGGGTAGAACTGAGAGTAGGTGGTCTACCGACTAACATGGAGATAGCCTCAACCTTCCGCTCCATTCTCTAGTCATCGTGGCAAACCCACAAGAGTTAGATCGACCATCCCACTACTTATCATGCTTACACCATGCCAGGAAGTGGGAGTCGATATGATAAGGGTTGAAAGTAGCTGTGTGCCAAATAGGAAATCCAACTTTGTCTTCCTGGCCCATCCCCATTCCGTCTTCATCCTCACCTTCTTACCATCTCTCTCTCGCCACATCACGTCAGCTCGTCCTATCTAGACACTAGCACCACCACCACCACCCGCCGAGGCCAAGAGCGCCTCCCTCAGTCTCGCCAAACGCCTCCAACACCGTCGCCTCCAGCAACATGCTCCCTTGAACCCAGAAACATAAAACGGCCCAAACGCCCTCCCCCCCCGCCGGCGAAGCAATCCCAATATACACCGTCCCCGCAGCCTTGCCATCCTGCTCCCCCGGCCCCGCGACACCCGTGGTACCCACCCCCCACGTCGCCAACCCCTCCCCCTCCCCATCTCTCTCCCTCTCCTCCCGCTCACCCCCCACCACCGCCACCGTCGCGGCCCGCCTCGCCCCAACCGCCATCTGCACCGCCACCTCCCCATGCACGACCCCCTCCCGCTCAATCAGCGCGGCATCCACCCCGAGCAGGGTCCGCTTGAGCGGCGTGGCATAGGCGACGACGCCGCCGCGGAAGACGGCGCTGGCACCGGGGACGGACGTCAGCGCGGCCATGACGCCGCCTGCCGTGAGGGACTCGGCCACGCCGACTGTCTCGCCGGCGGCACGCAGCAGGCGGATTACGTCGGCGGCGATGTCGAGGGCGGTTTCGGTGGTGCGCGGGGTGTGTTGCGGGTTCTGGGTGGATGCCATGGTTGGGATGTGGTGTGGCGGTGTTGTTGTTCTCGTGGTGGTTCTTGTTCTTCGCGTGTTTGTGGGCTGAATGAGTGTGAGACTGGGAGTGTGATAAAGATAGTTGTATAGAAGAGAACAATGATACTTGGGTGTCAAAAATCTGAAGCCTGGCCTCAGGTTAAGTAGATACATGTGTTCAGCTTCTCCTCCTTTCTTGGCTCACAAGGCTCTACAAACATGTACCATCGTTTTCCCCTGGGTTAGGCACCTCTCTGCCCAACTCCACACAGCCACGAGGCTTCCTGCATGCAAGGCCGGCGGCTAGGAAACCTGTAAGCCAGCAAATCATCTTGACAAGGCTCCCGACTGACCAATGATATTAACACGGCCAAACAAAGTCCGAATGTATGTTGTTTAAGCGCCAGCTGTGTCAGCCCCAAGGCAGGCTCGGCTCGATATGCAATGAATATACTCCGTATTACTACTCGTCTCGGTACCTAGTATGTAACCAACTACTCGCTCTATCGATACAAGTCCTTCCTGCCAGCCTCACACGAAGCCGGCCGCCTGTCACATCATCTCTCCCTCCAACAAAACCCGACAGCTCACCGCAGGCTCCATGGACCGCTGTACATGGCCCTTACAACCGCAACATCGTCCCCCCACGGCCGAAATCCACCCCGCAGTTGTGGTTTCTCCTGTTGTTGTTGTTCTCCATGTGGATGTACCCTCGAGCCATGATACCCCCCCTCACCAACACGATTCTCCTCATCCCCCTTGCCCCCATCTACCCCATCTAACCCCACAGCCCCCCCAGCACCGACCTCACCACCGACCTCACCCCCACCCCCTTTTCCATCCTCTCCATCATCATCCTCCCCCCTCATCCTCGTCCACTCATATCCCAAAAACGCCGTCCGCCGCCTCACCTCCATCGCAACCGCGCAAGTCCGCCTATCCCTCAGCAGCTTATCACGCGGCCGCCTGCGCTCCCTCTGGCCCCCTTTCCCTTCACCATCACCACCTACCCCCTTTCCATCACCAGCAGCGCCGCCAAAGCGCCTGACAAACCCCCTCAGGTACGCACGCTCCGCCTCGGTCGCGTCAACCACCGTCATCTGCGCCAGGTACGCTTCCAGCACGCGCATCTTGGTGTCGACGCCCGTTGCGGTGGGGTGGTGGCGGTGGCGCGCGTCGATAGTACCGTCCAGAGCGAAGCTCTGCAACGGGAATCGCAGCCGGGCGGAGGTACGCGAGTTGCTCCTTCTTGGTGGGCGAAGACTGGGGTTGGGGGTGGGGATGCAGAGAGGGCAAGTGAGTCAGCGAGTGAACGGGAATCGAGAGATGAGAATGAGTTGTAAGGGGGTTGTTGCGGGTGAGTAGCAGTTTGTGTCGCTTGTCGCGGGGGGGGCTGTAGCTCTGTAGATAACCGGCGTCACCGCCATGGTCGGGGTAAGGGTGGGCGTGCGCAAGGGGGCTTTGGAAACATGTCGCGGGAGACCAGCCCGGGATGGAGCAAGCAGGCGGGGGGAAGAGCATGTTTGGGCTGTGCTCGGCGGCGCCGTCGTGGGCATCATTGACTGGGACATCCTCGTCTGCGGCCGCGCTCTCGCTCCCATCGCTTACCGACCCGCCGTCTTCAAAATAGTGCGTATCGTCAACAGAACGGAGCTTGGGTACCAGCGGCGGCTCTCAGCTCGTGCAGGCGCTTCCCAGGGAATGTGGCGGAACCTACTTGTGCGCCTTGATGTCCTCGGTCGTCGTAGGGAAACACATAGCGGCCGGGCAAAGTCGCGTATTTTGGATCCGGGCCCAGACGACGAGGAAGAGGACGACGAGGAAGCGGACGACGATGTGATCAGGTCCTTCATGCGGTAGCGCTCCGAGCAGAGCCGGTACTCCTTGTCTGCGATCAGAGAGAGCATCAGATGCTGGCATCGGCGAGATACGGTCGGGCGCGGAGGGAAGCCGAAAGTCTCATGGTGCCGTATGATGTTGTCCTTGGTCTGGCGCCGACCCTCTTCAGACAGAAAAGGGGTATGGCCGTAGATGCACTCGAACAAGATGACACCGACGCTCCACTAGTCACACCGCGCATCGTATCTCCTCCCCTCAATCACCTCGGGGGCCATGTACTGACTAGTCCCAACAACGCTCCTGGCCGCGTACCGGATCCCGCACCGGTTACGCCAGCTCAGCAGCGGCTCGCCGTCCTGCTCGATCTTCCTGTCGTGCCTTGCGATGGCGGCCGTGATACCGCTAGACCGCTTCTCGGTCTCGGGGTCGCGGTCCTCGCTCCTGTCCTTACCGTCGCCATCGACGCGGATGCCCAGCTTCCTCACCAGGCTCTACCGGTGGCTGTTGTAGTAGGTCGCGTCGTGGGACCAGTGCCCGTCAAAAGCTAGGCCGAAGTCGCTGATCTTGAGGTGGCCCGAGGCGGAGACCAAGAAGTTGTCGGGTTTGATATCGCGGTGGATGCACTTGAGCGAGTGCGCCGCCTCGACGCACAGGATAATCTCGGCCACGTAAAAGCGCGCCACCGACTCGTGTAGGATGTTCTCGCGGATCAAGAGACTCAAGAAGTCGCCGCCCGGCATATACTCCATTACCAGATACAGATTCGTCAGGTCCTGAAAACTGGCCACGAGAGGCACGATCCTAGTAGGATCAGTAAGGATTGCTGGTGGGGGGTCACCCCGTAGGAGCAGGGAACATAGGGACTTACCACCGCGACCCCTCGCTCGCCACCAGGATATCTCTCTCGGCCCTCAAATGACCCTCCTGGCTTGTCCTAAGCATCTTGCTCTTCCGGATAACCTTCATCGCGTACACCCTGCCCGCCCGCCCGCGCTCCCTCACCAGCCTCACGACTCCAAAACTCCCCTTCCCCAGCACGCTCACCGTCTCATATCCGCGGTAGCCCGACAACCCTCCTCCATCCATCCCACCCTTACCCCCCGTTTCCTCTTCACCCACACCATTCCCAATGCCACTCCCACTCCCACTCCGACTCTCAGCCCCTAACCCAAATCTCGTCCCAGTCCCAGCCCCACAACCCACCCGCACCATCCCCAACCCCCTCACCTTGACAACCCTCATCTCCCTCAAATACTCACTCTCCCTCCTCCAGAACCTCGCCCTCGCCGCCGCAGCCGCAGCAGCAGCTGCTGCTGCCCCACCAGAACCACCACCCCCACTCCCACCCCCATTCCCACCAACCCGATTCCGATTAAACAGCTCCGTCTCCAGCATCTGCTGCCGCATCTGCCTCGGCGACGGGCCCGGCCCGAGCAGCTTGCCGAAGTGGGTTTCGAGGAAGATCTTGGCCGCCGCGGCGCGCTCGGCTGTGGCTATGCTGGCGGTGGGGGTAAGGGTGAGAGTCGGGGTTGCCGGGTTCGGGGCTGGAGTTGGCGTTGGGGTGTGAGTTGGGGTGCAAGTGCGGGCTGGGTTGAGAGGTGAGGTAGGCGTCGGGGGATGGATTGGGGCGGGTGTTTTGGTGGGTGTTGTTGGGGCGGGAGTGGGGAGGCGGTAGGGGTGGAGGAGGTGGCTGATGGGGTTGATTGGGGTCGCGCGTTTGTTGTTGCTGGTCTTGGGGGTGTTAGGGCGGGTTGCTGTTGTCCTGGGAGGCGTGGATGGGGGGTGGTTGATGTTGGTGCGTCTCGGGGTGGACGGCGGCGTTGCTCTGCGCTGGGGATCTGGTCGCGGGGTGCCGTTCCGGGGGCGGTTTCCCCCGCGGCCCACCGTGTTGGGGTCTTGCGTCTTGAACATGGACTCCACCAATGCCTTTTGGGTCGTCTTGCCCGAGTTGCTGTTGGAAGCGCTGGTCTTGCTGGAGCTGGTGTTGGAGGCCGTGGTGTGCGTCGGCCTAGAGCCGGAATCTGGCTCCGGCGGGGTCTCTGCTCCTCGGAAGGTTTCTCTCAACAGCGGTCGGCTCTTCGGCGATGTCCTGCGGACGACGGTCGGCTCCAGGGGAGGGCGGAATATGGCGTTGGACATTCTGTGGATGCCCGATATCAAGGTGGACTTTGGTTCGTGTTCATCGGCCGGTGGGTCGGGCTGCTCCACGACGACGAGTTGTTCGGAGGCTAGCAATCTAACGTTAATGCGGTACTAGTAGAGCTGGTGCCGCTTAACACTTACAGCTGTTTGTTAGTGACTTGAGAGCGGTAACCACCTTGGCCTTCTGACGGCGGAATTTGGCAGAAAGCGAAGAACTAGATTTGGCTGGGACTGGATAGCAGCCACCGGAGACGGCTTCTGGCGTGTTCTCGGGACCTAGAGAGGAGTCGCCCTTCTGACTTGGGTCCCGGGCAGGATGCTCGTTCATGTCGGTCGATCTAGTCCATGGGATCCGGTCTGTAATACTATGTGGTATGTGGTTTGAGCCCCTAAAGTTAACGAATGTCGGGAGATGCAACTGGCGGTAAGACAGGTTTCGAGCAATTCCAAGCGGAATAAGACCTAGGTGCCTACCGAGTGACGAGATCTGGTCAGGGTAAGAGTGAGCAAGCCGTGGCCTAGCCCCGACGGCCCCTTCCTCTATCCCCCGGGCAACTCAAGCCTAGAGCCCGTTACTCTCAAAGCAAGACGACCCGGCAGGCGTCACTGTGTTACATACCTAGCATACCCCCCGACAACACAAGCCCAGCCAAGGTAGCAAAAAGATCATAAATGTAGGAAATATCACGAAACGGAGAGTGAAGAAAACGAATGCATGTATCTTCGAAGTGCCGAGATACCATTGCGCCTATGAACAGAGTAAAAGCAGTACACAGTAAGAAAACCCTCCGAAAGACTTTTTAGTTCGCCGACCCAGATGCAATGTAGACGTCGTCATCCCGTCAAACCGTGTCTGCTCCCTCCCCATAGACCGAGGGATCCTCGCAGACTGCGCCAGGTCAGAAGTCTCCACGGTGCTGTGCATTAACCCGCAGCGGGGACAGCAAACCAAAGGAAATTAAGCGGCCTAGATCTCAAGACGCGAGTGAGGCAGACAAGAAAAAAAGAAATCCTCATAAAGTACAGGAATAAGCAACGACCAACGCCGCGCTCAGGATACCGAGAGAAGGGCAGTCCAAATATAACCCCTCACAAGTGTTTGCAACATGGACCATTGTTTACTTGATCTCAAGGAGCTTGACGTCAAAGATGAGCGTGCTGTTCGCCGGGATCCCGGGGATCGCGCGGCTGCCGTAGGCGAGGTGGGCGGGAATGGTCAGGCGGCGCTCACCGCCGACAGCCATGCCGGCAATGCCGATGTCCCAGCCCTTGATGACCTCGCCCTTGCCGATCTTGAAGGAGAACGGAGTGCCCTTCTTATTGGCTGTATATCATTGTGGGTTAGCTTAATACGTTACCGAGAGCTTCACTCATGGCCACTTACAGTCGAACACCTTGCCGTTCTGGAGCTTGCCAATATACCGCATGCCGACTTTGTCGCCAGACTTCGCGGTGCGCCCGGTGCCGGCCTTGCGGTCGTCGACGGTCACTCCCTGGACAACCCTGACGCCGCCGGTGGCACCCTTCTTGTCGCCCTTGTTCTCGGCCTTGTCCTTAGCGGGACCGGTCGGGCCCTGCTCCAGGTTCTTGGCGAACTGAACCTTCTTGTCTCCCTTGGCGGCCGACTCCTTGGCCTTGGCCTCGGCGGCGACAGCCTCGCCCTGGTTGTTCTTGAGCTTCTTTTGCTTCTTGCTCAGCTTCTTGTCATCCTTGGCCATGATCTCGTCGAGACCCTCGGCCTCCTCCTCGGCAGCCCGCTTCTTGCTCTTCTTGGTCTGGACAAGCTTGGGTGCCTCCTCCTCATCGGTGTCAATCTCCTTGATACGGGGGGTGCCATCGATGTCATCGAGCTCATCGCTCATCTCGTCCGAATCCACGTCCTCAAGGCCGGGGGGGAGGTCGTACTCGTCGTCCGAGTATTCCTCGTCATCATCCTCCTCCTCATCCTGGGGGACGACGTAATTGCCAGTGAGGTACACGGCGTGGGTGCCCTTGACGCTGAAGAAGATCTTCTCGCCCTCGCCAACCGTGATGTCAATAGGTTGTTGGTAGGTCTGTGATGGGGTTGTTAGTCTATTTGATCCAATGGGATTGGCCATGCTCGAGGTCATTTACGTACCCGCTCGGTGTCGAGAGTGCACACGACGTACTCCTCCATGTTGGCGTCAGGACCATCATCGTCCTCCTCGTCGCTCTCCTCCTCGTCCTCATCACTGGCCTTGCTCTTGCCCTTGCTCTTGGCAGCATTGGGCTTGGCATCCTCCATCTCATCGTCGGAATCCTCTTGGGTAGCCTCAAGAATCTTCTTGATGGCGGCGGCCCGGCGCGCCTTGCTAGACTTGGAGGGGTCGCTGGGGCCGCCGTTGGCCTCCTCGTCCTCATCGTCGGACTCGTCATCGTCATCCCCACCGCCAATGAGCGACTCAAGATAGTCGTCCTCGTCGTCATCATCCTCATCCACATTGGCCTTGTAGATCTTCAGGGTCGAGCGAGGGACCGAAGGTACATTGCCTTGTCCGTCAGTCTCCGGGGCTGCGGTGGGGTCAATGGCCGCCATGGTGATGCGGATCTAGAACGAACAGTTAGCAATCCTGAAAGCGCATTCCATAATCTCAAACTGGGCGTACCGTCGCCGGGAACTCAATCTCGGCGGGGACCAAAAGCTCTCCCGTAGGGATCTCAAGGCCGTAAACGGCGACAGGCAGAAGCGGCGACATCTTGATGCGGGGTGCAATCGGTATCGAATGGATGGATAACCTAGAAAAGACTGAAATTGGCCTCTACGATGAATGCAGTAGAGTGATGCCACAAGATCTATTTAGTTGCAGAGGAGGAATGAAAATGTGAAGAGAGGCAAAGAGAAGCCGACTGATCGAAAAGTCGGTTCTGCAAGAATCCTTCACTTGACGGAGCTCGAATCCAGAAAAATTTGGAGCCGCCCCCACAGATTGCCGCCGATAAGATCTTATCGCCCCACCCGCTCCCCGGCCAACCATGCAGGACCCCGCCAAAACGGTCACCGCCTGCTACCTGTGGATTAGCGGCCTCCACAATGATGTTTTGACACGGACACGCAGTCCAGTCCCCGGCGCTTTTGTCTGTTCCCGAATGCCTGAGCTCGAGCTGAGCACCCGAGGAGTTCAAAACGAGACAAATACGGGTATCGAGAAAAGAAGGCAAAGAATAAGAAGGTAAAAATATATATATCTGTTTCCATAGTGGTCACCTTTTTTGGGGGTCATAGCTCTCTTATTTTCTAACTATTCATTTTTGTCTCTTTTTCTTCCTTTTCTCACTCCGAAGAAACAATCGCATCGTTTCTATCCTATGGAATCGAAACTCAACTCACCCTGTTGATTCAACACCTAGATTCCTATTGGGGTGACTTTCGAGAGTTATCTCTTCCAACATTGGCTGTCTTGAAGGGGTATATGCTTCTGGATATCCTGTTCCCCTCCGTCTAACTATCCTTACAATTCTCTCTGCCCTTGGTCTCAAGCCGTTTTCTTCTTTCCAAAACCCCATCAGCGCAGCCTTCCAAAATCTGCCACACAACGCCCAAAGTTCATAGCCATCTTCCCTGTCTCATATTGTTAGTGGCCTGTCTTCCCGTCTCCGTCATCACCAAGCCCAATTCTGGCCACCGGACCCGGGAACCGACCGTCTGGTTTTGGCATAGGGCCCGCAACCAAGTCATTCCCATTTGTGATGCCCCCTATGCCATTGTTACCCACAGTCAGCCAAACACTTTCTTCCTTTTCCCGCTATCACACCACCCCAGTGAAAAAGAGAGAAAGACGCAAGCAAAAACTAAAAAAAAAAACTCACCACTACTCCAAAGATTCCCATCCTTCACCCACCTCATCTCCTCCCCCACCCACTGCACCCCCTCAAACTTCTTCGCCAGATCTCCCTGCAAGTTCCTAGGGCCGCACGCCTTGCGCCCGCGCAACAAGCCCGCGGCACCGCACAGGTAGATGCCCGTGCACACACTCAAGATGTCGGTCTCGGCCCGCGCCGCGTGCGCCGCCAGCCAGTCCGTCGCCTCGGGGTGCTTGGTCCAGTCTGTTGCCGGGTCGGGCCCTGGTACCAGGACGACGTCGAGTTTGCCGGGCTGGACTGCGGGGTCGGACAGGTGGTGGGTGCAGCATAGGTGGGCGGCGGAGGTCATGGGGATGGGGTTGTTGGGTTGGACGGTGGAGATGTCTGTTGGGGGGCTGGTTAGTTGGAGGTAGGTATGAGAGGGTAGGTAGTGAGTAGGCATGGGAGGGTAGTAGGTGGCTAGGGGGTGATGGGAGTGTTACAGAAGATCTTGACGCTTGGGGCGAGGTTGGCGATCGGGCTTGGGACGCCGTCCCCGAGTATAGTGAAATACTCGTGGCTCATGGTGCCGAAGACGTCAACGCAGGCCATGTCCAGTAACTGGCATTCTTTCGGGATGAAGACCCCAACGCGGATGGTCGGGCGGGAATCAGTGGCCGTCATGGTGGGATATCGAGTCGAGCGAGTGCTATACACAGTCTCTAAGGCATACAGAGTAGGTAGTTTCTACGAGGGAGCTAAGTTGGACGGCATACATTACATCCATCTCTTTAACTAGCTGGCCGCCCCTGAACAACTAAACCATCACCGAGACGGCGCGGAGACTCGGTGCTGAGACTCAAGACCCGACAGGCCCCAATCCGGCGCTGGCGTCTTGATACTCGGCCGTCTGATCCCGGCTTAGATTCTGATTGGTCATTTCCTTTGCGAGCCTCCGAGTGCCCTCGGAGCGGAGCCGGTGGATTTCAATTCCTTTAGCAAGGAGAACTGGACCTACACTCCGACAACATCCGGTTCTTAACCCTTTGTTATGGGGTGGGACCAGCTGTTTTGATCTGGGGGATGCCGGCTATATATTCAAGGGCCGCGTCACATCTGAAGTGAAACTCGCCTTTCAAAAGGTGGAATATGATTCAAGCATCGCTAAACCCAGCTTGGTAACTGCACAGAAAAGCCCATTTCTGGAGTCAGCAAAGAGCCTTGCTGTTCGCTTCTTCCAAGTATCTCCTTAACAATATCCATTCCGTCTCGTCTCACCTTTTGAATGCAAGCCAAGTCGTCTCGTCTACCATTCTCCAGCACAGCCACAATCATGATACTCCGGCAAAAATCCAGATGCTGGAAACACCTCACCTCTCACTCAGCCCAAGCCGCGTCACTGCGTATTTTCCGCCCCCCTCGAACCCCATCAATCAACCCACCTACCCCGCCACAAAAGTCTTCTGAGGAAATAATTCGGCGACCTCGCTGAAGATGATCGTATAAGAAATCGGCTGACGACACCTTCAAATCCGCCTCGAATGAGCCTCGGCTGATTATGTCTCGGCCGGAATCCTCCTATCAGATTAAGTACAGATTGCCGTTAACTACCTAATGATATACGTCCTCCCAACAAAGCCAAGCAAGGCCCTGCAAGGGGAACGAGCGAACAAGCAACAAGATAAACACGCACCTCTTTCCCCCGCCGCCCCCACACTCATCATGTATGCACAATCCCTCCTGACCTCATAGCCAAGCCCACTACCACCACCACCACCACCACCAGTACGTACATACCACTCACAGCGAACAAGCAACCCAAGGGCATAAAAGCAAGCAACGGGAACGGGGCAACCCCAAGACAGCCCGCAGAGCCCGCAGACAGATAAGCCCGCCCCCGCTCCGCCCACACCTTCTTACAACCACCCATCCCAACCCCATCGAGCCATCAGATCCTGTCCTATCCGCCTTAAGCCCCCACTCCCCAACGCCCATCTGAGGCGCTGGCCGGTAAATTACATACTGTGTAGAAATTGGGCACGTGTACATACTTTTAACCAAAAGCAGTAAAAAGAAAGAGCCCAACTTGCTTGCGTCAGTTCTTGCCCCGCTGCGGTGCAGTGCAGTGCACCGCGCATCATGCAGGCAAGGTACCTCAGGTAAGGTAATGTACGCCGCTGCGTATGCCATGTGCAGAAAGGTACATACATACATGCATACGTACCTAGATAGAAGCATGCGAGCAGCACAGGTGGGATACAGGGAGTAAGGTAGCCCAACGCAGCTTGCTTGCGTGTCCGGATTGGGAGCAACGGGGCGAAGCACTGTAGCGAGCGACGCAGAGGACCTGTGCAAAGCGGCTGTTGAGCTACCTGCATCATCAGAAATTTGATAATATAGAAGCTGAGCTTGAAGCTGGTCACGAGAAGGAAGCAGCGAACTACAGCCGGAACGTTTGTTTGTCGTAACCGCAGGCCAGAGCGAGCGTGGTGAATTTATTCTTCCTCTCTACGCCAATGCCATCTCCAGAGCAGCATCCCATATCGGCTCCAGAATAAAGACGATACATGATAATAAACCCAGTGGCATGGCGCCCTGCCTCCCGCCCCCAACTCCCCCATCATCTGCCCACCGTCCCTCCCCGTACCAACCGGCCAGGAACAAACACCACACCTCCATCCGCCGCTGCGAAGCGGATGCCGTGATGTCCTTCCTCCGAGTCCTCCTTGTATGTACATGGTTATAAGATTAAATATTAGGGGGCTAGACGTGTGTGATATTAGGGGTGCCCCCCTGGGAATCCCGCCTCGTCCCAGTCTCGGATCGTAGGGCCCCGTCGCCATCATTAACCTCCTCTGTTGCCCCGCGCGCCAGGCCAAGCCAGTCCCAGGCGGCAAACAAAACCCATCTTCGTTGCTTGTCGATGCTCTGTTGTCGTGACTCCGTTCGACTCGGCTCGTCTTGTCATGTGGAACGTGTGTGCCTGCGCCACCAAAAGCCTGCCCTTTCCCGCGCCCTTTCTCTCCCCAAAAGTTTGTAAGCGAATGGGCGCCAGCAGGGCGGGATATCGTTTGTGTGTGATGCCAAACCCCCCAAAACCCCTGCCGGTATAATGATCTCTCCCCTCTCCTGCTCCTAGAACTCCGTTGGAAACCGCCAATAAAAAAAAAGCCGGGACAAAAAGATGACAAAAACGTCGAGTCCCCCATATCTAGATGCCAAATGCCGATGCCATGCCATGCATATCAACATTACCTCCTCTTGATGTACACACGCGCGCCCCATAAACCCGTGCTTATAAAGAACAAAGGCCGAAACCGCGGGCGCGACACGTGTCTGTCACCCGGGTCCGTGAAAATAAAGATTTCCCAAGAAGCGAAGACAAGGGGGTTCGGGACTCGGAGGTGTGGTGGTTGATGCTGGGGAGCTTCTCGCCACGAGTTGTCGTCAAAATGGGACGGCAGGACCAAGTCCAGAGGAAGAATCAACCGCGTAAAGCCACACGGGGAAAAAGAAAAGTCGTCCAAATTAAAAACTTCAAAAAAAAAACTGGCCTGGCCCATGCGTGTTATACCAACGCATCGACTGTTACCGACTTCGCTCTCCGTCGGGTAACCTTCTTGCTGACGGTGTATACCAAGTCCAGCGTCCAGAAGTGGCATATTTGCGCTTGCGCGCATGGAATGGAACCAAAGATTGGCGCGACAAGCGGCACCATGACGTAGTCGATGTAGTTGGTCTTGACTTCTCTCCGAGAGAAATGCATGCCCTTCAACAGACCGGCGTCGCCCATCTCCTTCTCGCGAGACTCAACGCAGATCTTGTGGAAGCGCTCGTACAGGAAGAGGTAGAAGGCGACCTCCATGAAACCGAGAGTCCGGAGAACGTTGCAGATGGTGTAGACCCAGGCAACTCCGTGCACGTCGCCGGTGCCGTCGGCAGCCCACATGTAGAGAGTTGAGGCGACAATCAAGATGGTCATTTGAACCGGCAGGAAGTGGGCTTCGAACAGACGATGGCCCAAGATGATGATGCGTTCCCAGTTGGGTCCTTTCAGAGTGTCGGTCACAACGTCGGAAAAGATGCCACTCTCGGGGACGGCTTCGGCATCCACACCGTCGATTTGCGATTCCGGAACGTAGTTGTCTGATTCGTCGTTCCTGGCTCGGGTTAGTCATCGTCGCTCAAACACCCCATGCTGGGCGCAACTTACATGGATGTATGCAGAGGCCGGAATGCCCTCGAGGTGTGCTTCCGCTCCTTCCAGACTTCGGCAACCTTCCTGATGGCGTAACCGGTGTCGAGAGCACCCCACATGTGCCTCTGAGCCTGCTTGTACCGGGCACTGACGTCCTGAACGATGCCAGCAAGTCCCTTGCCGCGCCCACCACCGGTAACGTTGGTTTGGCTGACGGGGCTCATGACAGTGCGCACCGTGAGGTTTCCGTTGAGCGCGAAGAAACACTTGAGGTACATGTGCAAATCCTCACCGATGGCCTCGGAGTCGCAATCCCAACCGCCGACACGGTCGACCAGCTCGAGAGGTACGGAGTAGACAGAGGTGGGCGGGGCAATGGTTGAGCCCTCGTACAAGCCGGACATACCAGCGGCCGACCACAGAACGTCAGCGACCCGGACGATAGCAGGGACGTTGTGGGCGTTGCGGTCAAAAATGATAGGGGCCGAGTACAGAGTCGTGGTAGCCAGGTCGGGATAGGCCACATGCATGGTCGTCACATTGGCGAAATAATTGGATGAGAGGTGGCTGTCGGCTGAATTGGGCAAGATTGGTTAGCGAATCCTGACGTGCAGATGGCACCATGGCTGTAGGCCTGGATCTCGGCCTACTGGTGGGGCAGACTCACCATCAATGCCCGTGACAATTACGTCTTTCCGCTGTCCCAGGTTGTACTTTTCGCTGAGCTTCCGCGCAGCCCATGCCATGTTGCTGCCCTTTCCGGCCAGCTCACCGGGAATGTCAGACGGGTGGATCGCGAAGTCAATTGAACGAAACTTCTTAGCGAACTCATTGGTGAACCTGATGGCCTTGGCCTCCGCATTGTGCTCTCTCTGCTCCATTGCAAGATAAACCTGATTCGCGGTTGTTAGCTCCGAGAATGTTATGGGGTAACGCAAAACAGCAAAGATGTTCCCCTGAAGATCATTACTCCACCTGTCGCCACTCCAACAAGCGACTCCGTGGAGAACTCAACAACAGTTGCCAGCTGGCATTGCGGGCGGCAAAGAAGCCGAGCAAACTCACATCGTAGGTGTTGCGCGCTTGCGGGTGCGAGGCTAACACCTCAAGAGTCTCCCTTAGAGTGTCGTTTTCCTCCTTGTAGTTCGGGATGACGATGGCATGAATGACGCGATCGGGGGCGATATCGCCGTCGCCGTAGCAATCGGGGTCCAGATCACCGGCTTCGCTGCTCGAGGTGGAGCTGATATCGCGCGACGAGGTCAACGTCTCGGAGCTGGAAAGCGAAGTCGAGGAGCCACGGCGACGGTGACCGAACTTGATGTCCCTCATGGCCCTCGTGCGGGCGGCCTTCTTCAGGCTGCTCGTGATGTTGAAAACAGCCCAGCAGGATCGGATCGGGAAGATGAAGACCAGAAAGTGGATGAGTAGGCAGTAGTATGTAAATAACTTGAGCAAAGCGCCACCGGTTTTCGGGTCGCGATGCGGCGCACTAAGGCTGTCGAGTGTCTCATACTTGAAAGTATGTCGTCGGTTTTCCAGTTCGTTCGAGATAACCATGTATGAAAGCCCAATGGTGGCCAGCATCGCCAGGCCGCCAGCGCGGCGGCTACACCACGCAAAGATCGACATGGCGTTCAACGGCAGAGACGGCGACGGCTAGGTTGACAATCGGAGTCCGCAAAAGTATGACGTGATGAATTGACAAGGCTAGAAGGCGAGTCGGATTGCTGTATTTCCCTCGCGGATTAGGGTTCGCCGATGGATTGACCGAGGGCGAGCGAACGCACGACCGACAGCTTGACCGGGCGATGTGAAGGAGTCGGAGTGTCGGTGGAGGCCCGTGTGGACAGAGGGGGACGCGAGTCGAGATACACTCGGCGTGATGCTTCAACAGGTCCACAGGCGCAAGCTTCGAGCGAAGGGGGGAAGGAGGGACTGCGGGAGGAGAGGGAAAAAGGAAGAAGGAAAAGAGGGAAAATATTGGGGTGGAATGATTCCCGTTCGGCGGCGCAGTTGTGGTGCGCTGGGGCGGCTTGTACTGTGTCGGGAAACGGGCTAGGAGCTGAGGGCAGGTAGCTGTCGATGAAACCCATGACAGGCCCTTGGCCACCAGCAGAAAAAAAAAGGGGGGACTGCAGCCCGCGCGTTCAGCGCCCACCATGCACAATGCTCGGGCTAGGGTGCGACTTTTGGCTAGCCTGGATGAGCGCCATTAGGAAACAGGGATTATATGAGGCTAGCCCGCTCAATATTCTGCGCTTACCCTCTTTGGGCAGCAAATTTCCCACTCCACTCTGAACGGGAGAGCGAAACATGGGTTGTCAAAACGTTTTTCTCGCAAGCAAGCAAGCGGCAAGCGGCAAGGAGACCGACATTTGCTCCAGATGGATGCCGATTTTTTTCTCAAACCTTCTTCTGCGTTGGACTGGCCCTCGAGGCTCGGCAATCATCCGAGTCACGGCTGGCTCCCTGAGTTAACCTAACTTGGCACTCGTCACTGCTCCTGAGGCAGTGACAGAGCCGCCACGCCACCAGCTCCCGTTCGAATTGCGGGGAAGGGACCGAGGGCGCGGCAGCTTTGCCTCGACGTTTGAGTCTTCCATTTTTGGCGACGCGCACAGCACGCAACGGTGATGAAAGCGATGGTTTCCTGTCACAGCCGGCGACTGAGACAGCTCAGCGTCACGTTGAGGAAATGCTCGGGTTCCAAGTCGCTGCCAAGCAGCGGTAGTTCTAGCCCGGTTGCTTGTCGCTTGGAACTTCGTTGCCTGGCTAGCAGCAAGAGGAAGGGACATGACGGTTTCTTCACCAACCACAGACCGGCCTCGAGACACGCGTGGGGATCAACTCCACCAAGACCACAGCGGTGTATCCCAAGCCGAACCATGCTTGCATCGTTGCCATCAAGACACTCTCTAGCGGACTTCGCTGGCATTTTTGTTCGCTAGGTTGGACACCGTTTCGTGTCATTGGCTCCTCAGTGCTGTGCGTTCTTCGCAGCCAGCATGAGAATAGCGCTCGGCCCGTCAAACGGCAGGAGTCGCACTGAATGTGGCTGTTACTTGGCGAAACAACCAGGGAAGTTGATAGCGGACGGCTTGGACGCTGTGGAGCATTTGGTGTGGGGCCCCAGGTCTGGTTTTGAATGCTTGCGCACAGCATGACCCGCATCGCGTCCCGTTGAGATATTGAGGGACTTCACTGGGCGACGGGAGCGAGCGAGCCGGCAAGTCGGCACAATGCTGTTTTTTTTCCATCCCTCGACTACCAGAGCACGAGCAAAAAGCTGGAGCTGGGAAAGCTCAAATTTACCAGCCTCCCCAGCCTGTCAAGCTGGTCCCGTCCCATACTCTCTGTTTTGGTTGGTGGATCGATACCACTTTGGGGAAATTATGATGAGAGCTCCCCCTTCTTGTCAAGCATATCGACGTGCCATTGGACTCGCAAAAAAAACGGGGACAGGCTTTTCCCCACCCGTGCTTGAAATGGTAACGCTAAAACGCGTTACGACCCGGTACGAGAAGTGTTGCGAGGAACATGCCCAGGCTCAGCCATGCTGGCTGCGGTCGAGTCCTGCGACGATGAGAGGTGGATGCTGGGTCCTACATCGCCTCGGGCTCACAGACAGACCCGCTGTTGATGCTGACGCAAGATGACCATCGATTGTGATTTCTCGATGCTGTAATATTCTGGCCTCCCCATACCTCCATACCAAGTCCACAGGGCTGCCCAGCTGGCTGGGCAATCTGTGGAGGCTCACTCGATTGCCGAACGACGCCCAGTTCGCGTTCGCAACAAGGCGCGATCCGTGTAACGACATGTATTGCGGGAGGCCTCGCTCATCTGACGGGCTCGGCAGCTCCTGCGCGATCATCTCATTTTAATCCAGGATGTGACGGGCACTCATTGGCTCGTCGAATCCTCAATCTTTGTCCAGCGATTGCCCCAATCGGCAAGGGCCTTCGCAAACTTTTTTTGAAGCTTCTTTCCCTCCCCTGTCAGCCTTGGGGGACATCATTTCGCTTGGCCCTGTTAACAGCTAAATTCGGGGCCGAAATCGTCAATGATGAGTTGGTCAGTTCTTTTGTCCGCGGAAACTGGTGATCCTCCTTGGCGACTCGGCGCGTTTTCTTTCCTGTTGCGCCGTTACGAGTTACTTTGTATGGACTTCTTTCGTAATCTTTCGTTCGTACACTTCAATACATACCCTGGTGATCATGGGGGTCTGAGACATTGGAAGCTTGGGATCCCGTCAGCAATCGGGCGGCTGGTGAACCGGCAGGCTGCGTTGGACCCGGCCAGAGAAGACGCGCCACAACAGGATCCTCAAGCATGGTTACGTTCAATTTGTGTCACCCGATATACTGCAGAAGAAGGAGAAAGGAAGATGGCTCGAAACATGGCTGACTTGATGACGGGCTTGCGCAACACCCCACGCTCAAAAACTCAACTGTCCGTTCGGAGCATGGCCTCGTACTGGTGAGTGTCTCCGACGGGACTGCGCCGTGATCCCGTCCCCGGCCCGTCACTTGGGTCCCGTTTTTCAGCCTTGTTCGGTCGTGTCGCACCAATGAGCACTCGCCGCAATCTTAAGGATTTATCTCGCGCGTCTTGGACGCGTCTGTCAGCGTGAACGAATTGGCTTGAATAGAATGCCGACCCCGCTATGGATCTCACCACCGCGCGCAAGCGCTTATCGATCTAATCTCCGGTCTAATTGAAGGAGCATGCGAAGTCCAGGACCTCCATTTTCCCCATACGGGTTAGGTAGGTAGTTACCAATGATGATGCAATGCATGTTCCCGATCGTGTACTGTGTAAGGTCCCGTTTTCAGCGGCCGAGAGCTCGCATCCACTCGTATGCTTCCACATCATCCAGACATGTTGCGACGGGACGACACTTGGTTTGCCGTTCTCGGGAAACCGCATCGGATTCGGGGTAAGGGCCTGAGTGGCGTTAAAGCTGTCCCACCCCGACCTCCCCGCCGACTAGCTGGTGCCCGGCAAGATGCAGTCCAATTCGAGATACGGCCCGGGTGGCGCAGACCGGCGGACGTCGATGTCCTAATAGTTATTGCCCCACATGGCCTCCGAACATGGCTGCTTCAACAAGCTGGCCCCTCTCTGGTTTCGATATGGGAGAGCCACTTGCCTCATCCATCATCCTTCCACTGCCAATTCTGCCCGGTTTCTCCTCGACGAAACAGTGTACTGGGTGGCGTCGTTTGTCGGGGCTTGGGCCAGAGCTTTTGCCTCTGTATGGGGTGTAATATGTCGCGTAACCTGGAAGCTAGATGGTCGGGCCGTTGGATTGGGGGCGTTGAGGCGACAAGGGCTGGGAACCTGGTTTCTTCCCGGGCCCTTCAATCCACATCCATGGCCGACCTGAACGGCGGAGCATAGCTCAAACCACCTTCTCAAACATTTTCTGGATGGGCTTGGCCGCCTGTAAAGTGACTTGTTAGTGACATCGTCGTCCGTAACACCAACGGTAACTTACATCGATAAACTTCTCCAGATCCTTGTCGAGATTCGCCAAGTCGTCTCTTCGCTTCTTGTTCTCGGCGATGAGCTTCTGTTTCCGTTTCTGCAGCTCCAGTCGTTGCTGCTCAAGCGTTTCGCGCTCCGCCCGCTCATGGTTGATCCGCATCACCATCAACGCATTCTCGTCGGCGTCGGCATGCTCGGGGTGCTGGGAGAGAAACTCCTCTACCGGGACCAGCGGGAGGAGCTGGTACGTATGACTACACAACAACGAAAATAACTGTTAGCAACATCGAATCCTCGCGGATAACGGAACCAGAAACACGCACTCAAATCCCTCGCAAGCCGCAATCTCTCCTTCCAAGTGCCGCTGCTCGTAGTACAGATTCTGGAGTTGCAAGTGCAGCACATCCACCTCGTGGCGCGCCTCTGCCGTCTGGCTCTTGGTCTCGCGCGCGCGAAAGTGAGCGGTCCGGTGCAGCCCCCGTAGGTGGGCGAGGTTGGTATTGAGCAGCTTCTGCTGCTTCGAGATCTCGATCAGGGCATCGGCGGGAAGGGGCCCGTTGGTGTTGGCGTTGGCGGCGATCGCTTGCGCGACCAGGTCGACGAGCGTCTGCGCCTGCTCCCGCGCGGCCCCGGATGTTTCGACGGCCGACGCGAGAGAGGGATCGGTGATGTGGGCGTCGATGGCCATGGTTGCTGGCTCGCTGGCTGGATGCTGTATGAGTTGGCGAGCGGTGGGCAGCGATGCGTCGGATTGGGTTCGGGCGTTCGGGCCGCCGGCTTAAGAAAAAGATGTGGGCCGCCGGGCGATGGTCGGACTGGTGATCAAGTCGTGGGGAGCGCTGGGCCAAGGACCGGACTTTGTTGGTACAGTTTGAGTGGGGATAGCGAAGAAAAGCCGCCAATGATTTTGTGGCGTTGGTGTACGTGGTGAGGAGCTTCTTTGCGTTGGCGATTTTTCCGAGTTGGCTTCCATGTGATGCGGAGAATCGCTCCAGTTGTTGAAAGGAGAGTCAAAAGCAACAACCCGACCCCTGGCTTGGCATTGCCTGCTGTTGAGCTGTGTGGGGCTACAGCGGGAACGACGGAAGTAATTGGCGCCCTGACACATTGTTGAATGCACCAGAGCGGGCGCTTTCGGGCGCTAGGTCTTAGGCTCGGCCTTCGCTGTGGACAAAACTACCCAGCGGTTAAGGGAGGAAACCGACAGCCCCTCACCCTCACGTATTTACTTTTATCTCGCCTCATCTGTCAATCCCGTCCATCCCTTACCTGAGGTTCCTCCTCACTGACCGGACTGGCTCTACTCAAGCGCACCCAGTGACAGGTCTTTGACGGAATCGGATCTCTGGTAAAAATTGGCCTGACGGTCGCTTCTAGAATTTCTCTTTCTAACTACCTGACTAACCGTTTCCCCTTCTTCCGACCCTGTTTCTCATTTCTCAAACGGCAAGTGGCGACCAAACGGAAACGAATTTTACCTCACCACCAGAACACATCCCGTCGCACCCGATCTCCCGATTCCCATTCCCGGGTTTCTTGCTTTTCGAAAACCGGCCCTGCATACCCTTAGTGGCCCTTCCATTTGGCCACAATTCACGGCTACACCAACCGGATACCTCTTCCGGTCACACACCAAACTGTGTCCCGTATGTCCGGCCATTTATAACACATAGTACTTTTTGTTTACCACCATGGATGTTTCGTCCAACATGGGGTGTCCCGCCCCTTTCTCATTCAGCTCCTGTGACGATGCCGCAAAGGGCGCGTCTTCGGGCGCTGAGCCCCACAACCGGCCTGCTGCCCGGAGACGCCATTCCCACTTTATGCAGAGGAGGAAGTCTATTGTCAATCATCTCATGGACGGCGAGGAGGCCCTGCTTCTCAAATTGGATCTTTTCTTGACCGAGCTCGAGCGGCGGCTTGAGTACTGGGAGAATTATGCCGAGCTTAGCTTGGATTCGAACATCTCGGCCGCTCTTGAGACGTTGCAGGCTGTCCGGACACGATGCTCGCAAGCCTCGGAGGAAGTCATGGGGGCTGGGCGGAGGCGGCTGCACGTCATGGTAGAGACGCTCGAGTCTAGCTATCACGAGGCCCTGTCTGCGGCTAGCTCGTTGAACGAGAAGGCAAAGGTTGGCATCGAACTGCTCGATGAGATGCTGCAAGAGATGGAGGAACAGGTGGCCAAGTTCCGCGAGAAGGGGCTGGCGAATGCTGCCGAGAGCCTCATGGACGAGGCCCACCGCGTGGTCGACGGGGGCATCGAGAGGGCGATTCGTGCGGCGGAGACCCTCGAAGACCATGTTCAGCGCGCCATCGCCCGGGCTAGAGAGCACGGCCTGCTCCGGTACGAGGATCTACCGATGCCCTGGAGGACCAACCCGCACATCACCAAGGGCTACCGCTTTTCCGAGACCAAACTGGCCTGCGTGAGGTCAGCCTTCAGCTTCTCCAACGAACTTGTCAATATCTGGTCCCATACTATCGGCCTCGTCCTCGTCCTGGCCGTCGCCTTCTACTTCTACCCCACGAGTACAAACTTCTCCCAGAGCTCCAAGGCCGACATCTTCATCGCGGCTGTCTTCTTCTTCGCCGCTTGCCAGTGTTTGATCTGCAGCGTCATCTGGCACACCATGAGCTCAGTCGCCGATGTCGGCCTCATCTCCATGTTCGCCTGTGTCGATTATACCGGCATCTCCCTACTGATCGCTGCTTCCATCATGACGACTGAGTACACCGCCTTCTACTGCGAGCCAGTGAGTCGTTGGGTCTACATGGTTACCACCGCGCTCTTAGGAATCGGCGGCGTCGTCCTCCCCTGGCATCCGCGGTTTAACGGTGCGGACATGGCGTGGGCGAGAGTTGCCTTCTACGTTGCGCTCGCCGCCACCGGTTTTCTCCCGATTGTCCAGCTTTCCATCGCGCGTAGTCCCGAGGCTGTCTTCGAGTTCTACACTCCGATTGGCAAATCCCTTTTTGTTTATCTACTCGGCGCTTTAGTCTATGCTAGCAAGGTGCCTGAGCGGTGGCGCCCGGGCATGTTTGACTACGTCGGTGGCAGCCACAACTTATGGCACATTGCCGTGCTCGGGGGGATTCTGTTTCATTACACAGCTATGCAAGAGCTGTTCGCCCACGCCTTCAAGCTTGCTAGAGACGGTTGCACGGCATACTAAGCTAGGGTGCCTATCTGCTCTCCGGTTTTACGCCAGGAGAGCAGGATGCGAAAAGAACGGGGGACTTTCGGCGGGCTGGGTCGAGATTCAGTGCGTTGGGCCACCAACGTCAGGTCTCTATCCATTTGGGCGCGCCGATTACTAGCTCCATCATATGTCCT